GACAGCATCTTAAAAAGCAGAGATATCACCTTGCCGACAAAGATCTGCATAGGAAAAGCTATGGCTTTTCCAGTAGCGATGTATGGAAGTGAGAGCTGGACCATAAAGAAGGTTGACTGCTGAAGAATGGATGCTTTTGAATTGTGGTGCTGGAGGAGACTCTTGAGAGTCCCCTGCACTGCAAGGAGAACAAACCTATAAATTCTGAAGGAAATCAACCCTGAGTGCTCACTGGAAGGACAGATCCTGAAGCTGAGGCTCCAGTACTTTGGCCATCTCATGAGAAGAGAAGACTCCTTGGAAAAGACCCTGATGTTAGGAAAGTGTGACGGCAAGAGGAGAAGGGGACGACAGAGGATGAGATGGCTGGACAGTGTCATCGAAGCTAGGAGGGCCTAGTGTGCTCTGGTCCATGGGGTCACGAAGAGTCAGACATGACTTAACAACTAAACAACAAGAACAAAAAAACATATTGGTAAAGTGGAACGGACGTAACATCTGAGCTTGAATAGTATATATATCTGCATTCCCCATCCTAGTGCCCTCCAAAAGTAATAGGTAAAGGTAAAGGTTCCCCTTGACATTTAGTCTAGTCGTGTCCAACTCTTGGGCGCGGTATTCATTCCCGTTTCCAAGTCATAGAGCCAGCGTTTGTCAAAAGACAGTTTCCGTGGTCACATGACCAGCGCAACTAGACATGCAGCACCGTTGCCTTCCCACCGTGGTGGTACCTGTTTATCTACTTGCATTTTTACATGCTTTCAAACTTCCAGGTTGGCAGGAGAAAAAGTATTAGACTGCAATATCTGCTGGGGATGATGGGTATTAAATCAGAGGTTTGCCAGGTCATGAAAGATAGTCTGTAGTCTGAACATGATTAGACTTCTATGCTTTATCAGTCAACCTCAGTCAGCTTAAAAGCCTGTTTATGTACTTTCTTCCCTCATATTGAAAAATTTCAACGTGGTTAACTCTTTCCTGTTCATCTTTACGGCTCAGTTAATATTCCTTAGATCAGAGGTCACCAACCCCCGGTCCATGGCTCGATGCCAGTCTGCGGCCTGAGCTTGACTGGACCGCGAAGACAAACCTTCCGCTCCCCACATGCACTCATCCCTGCACAGCCTGTTTGTGCCTGCGCACGCACTCCAGCGTGCACGCACAAGTGCTGCACCACTGTTTGCATATGTGCCGCGCAGCTGTTTGCGCATGCGGGTACCCCGCCTTCCCCAGCCGGTCCGCAGGGTGAAAAAGGTTGTCAACCCCTGCCTTAGATTACAATTATTTGCTGCTTGGTACAGGTCCTTCATTTTGCAGCTATGGCTGTGCTTTTCATAAGATTGTTTCAGTCCATCACGGATTGAAAGGATGGAAAGGAGAAGCCTTTCTATCTGTTTTGCCACCTTCACAGGTGTGTCTGATGGGGCACAGGAGAAGAGCCTTCTCTGTTGCTGCTCCCAGACTTTGGAACTCCCTCCCACAGGAGGTCAGACTGGCCCCATCTTTGCTGACCTTCCGCAAGCAGGCAAAAAACGTTTCTCTTCAGGCAAGCCTTCCCTCATTAACTGGCTACCTGTGTGTGGTTTGTTTTTTGTTTTTGGATGAATTTTTGTGCATTACTGCTTTGACTGACTTTTGAATACTGTTGTTGTTTTCCAATTTTCTATTTTCCATTTCTCAATGACATTAAAAATTGTATACTGACATTGCCTTTTGCTTTAATATTGCCTTTTAATGATGTAAGAGATCTCTTTACTCATTGTTCTTAGTTTTAATGATGTCAACTAGAGATGGGAATATTTGTATATGAATATGAATATCCCCGCACAGGTGGCGTTAATGAGGGTCCAGCCCCATGGGGCCGGATGGTCCACTCACCGATCTGCTGTGGACAGCGCAATTCTCCGAATGGTTCTGCAATGTGTGATCCGCTTGCCACTCCTGGCAGGAGACAGGAGGACAAGCCTCACTGCAAGGTCAAAGAGTGGCGAGTGGATCGCGCACTGTGGAGCTATTCATAGAATTGTGTCATCCATGTCTGTGGCGGATCAGTGAGTGGACCATCCGGCTCCATGGGGCTGGACCCTCGTTAACACCACCTGTGCTGGGATATTCATATTCATCTATGAATTCCCCCATCTCTAATGTCAACTGCTGTTGTATACTCATTGTTTTCAACTTCAAATATTGTATTTCAATGTTGTAAGCCACCTTGGGTCTTTTTCAGGGAGAAAGGCAGGGTAAAAATAAATAAACAACCAACCAAACAAACAAATAAAGTATTGGATGGAAGAGTGGTGAGGTGGGTGGGTAGTAGGACATTGAAGACTTGAAAAGTAAAGATGATGTGCTAGATATGGAAATAGTCTAAATAAAGAAAAGCAGTATTTTAAGCATTTGAACATAAATTTCAGAGTAACAAATAAAAAAGCTGTGATATTTCTACATAATTTGAATGCATATGATGATGTCTTTATCAAACTACTAAAAATATAAGCTAGTTTTCAAAGTAATTTCAGAATAAGGCTTTTTACTGCTGTTACAAGGTAGATAATGGCTTTCTTTTCACAATTCAGTCTGCATGTGGTTCTGTTTGCTTAAATTACTTTGGTCTCCACAATCTACTTTTAAAGTTGTTAATGTCAGCCAAATGCTGCATAATATTTATAGTTTGAGTAATTGCTTCTTGACCACTGAAAATGAGCTGAAGTATAGTTCTGGCTTCTGAGGTCTCATTGGCTCTGTATGTTTTTTTTAAAATATCATTATATATTGGTCTCTTGATTACGAGGTGTATTGCAACAAGAAATGTGTTGGTCAGTGCAAGTTTATAAATGCTAAATGATGCTTTGGTTTTCCTTCCAGGTTGAGGGAAGTTTCAGAGAAGCTGAATAAATACAACTTAAATAGGTGAGATTGCACTAATGGCTGTAACACCAAGGGAGGGAAAACTTCAGAGAAATCCTTGCTATTTATACTCTCTGTTTTTAGAATTGGTAACTTGAGTGTTTTAAAACTTGTTTCACTGCTCAGCTATTTGACTCACTTGGATAGGCTACTGGGGGACGGAGGAACCGCAGATGTACCTATGACAGTTACTGTGCCATGAATGTGCTGTGTTTGGGTCTTCGCTGGTGTCCAGATTACTTCTGGTTGGAACTACCAGCATTTGCTTGACTGATCATTGCTGAGGATGCAGTGGCCGACAGCTAGCCTGCTTTGAAATTTCTCTTGCTCTGTATTTCGGATTGGGAGGGAGAAAACACTTCAAATCTGAGATCCTTTGATTTCCAGTCAGTAATGATAAATAATGTGTCACAAAACATTAGCTGTTGGGCAGCTGAATCACATAGGACCACTCTAGGCGGTCAATAATGATAAATAACGTGTCACAAAACATTAGCTGTTGGGCAATGCTTTTTCTAAACCAAGCTTCTACTTCATAAAGTCATGCACTTAAAATACATAACTAAAAAGCAGTATCACATTGCTTTATTATGTCAACAGTTTTGTTAATTTTTAAATTTTTTTGCCTAGAAATACTTCTGTCAATTGATCTAATGCACATTTATGGTCATTTTCAGATATTATATCCATTGTACATTCCATATGCCACTTGTTTCTTTTTTATCACTCAGAATAAAGAACTTTTTAAAATGTTACACATGCTCTCCCCCCCCTTTTTTTATTTTCAGCCATCCCCCTTTGAATGTATTGGAACAGGCTACAATTAAACAGTGTGTGGTGGGACCAAATCATGCTGCGTTTCTTCTTGAGGTAAATTATTCAAACTATGTACAGAGAATAATGGTCACATACTGAAACCTAACTTTCTCAAGCTCAATTATACAAAATCAGTAACTTTTGCAAGTACTTTTTTTCTGTGACTCAAATTTAGTATTGTTTCAAATATAGACACTCTCTTTTTAAAATCCAGGATGGTAGAGTCTGCAGGATTGGCTTTTTAGTTCAGCCAGACAGATTGGAATTGGGTAAACCTGATAACAATGATGGGTAAGAATTGTTTTTTTGCTATTCTATAATATATAGTATCTAATCTTTTCTAGTATTCACAAAAATAACTACTGATTTTTAAATGGTTATCAGAATTTAAAATGGACATGGAAAGTGGCAGAAAAATCTTTTGAGTATCTCAGCTTAGCAAGCTGATGGGCTCTTTACCAGCAATTAGAACTAGTTACCTGTTCTTAATCTTAAATAATCAGAATTGAATAAAAGTAATAATTCACACATTCTAATTTTAAAAAGTTATAAATGAACTACTCAAGTTTGAGATTACATTTTCTTTGGATTTAAACAGGGTTTCTGGCTTGACAATGACTCACAATAATATTAATTTATAATATACCGGTAGCTTGTGTTCATCTCTTCAGACATACACTTAATAATTTTAATATAACTGTTGACACTGATGTTTTTTTAAGTTAAAAATATTTAAATTGTGGATCATATGTGTTAGGTGTGCTATGCATACTTTTTCTTTTTTCATGTTAGATTGTCACATCTTGCAGCAAAATAATGAAGATTCCCCAAGGGTGTTGCTTAAGCTGGTGTGTTACCAGAATAAGTCCCTGAGAATTTAAACCTGGAATTCCAGACTTTGTTCTTAACCCATTTGGGATTGTATTGTGACTGATCTACCATCTTTTGCTTTCAGTTCAAAGTTGAGCAGTGGCTCAGGGGCAGGAAGGACATCCAGGCCAGGCAGAACTAGTGATTCCCCATGGTTTCTGTCTGGTTCTGAAACTCTGGGCAGACTGGCAGGCAACACCCTTGGGTAAGTTTTGGTAGGGTCAAGGCTGCATCCTGTTTGTACCATACTTTGTGTAGGAATACACACAAAACTGTCTCCAGTGTGTATATAAACCATAGAAATGCAGCAATGGTTTAGCTAGCTTTTGTGGTGGGGAAATGCTAGTAAGCAGGATCTTAATGTTCGGTCAGTTAAACCTACAGTATAAAGCAACGATTTATCACAATTATGATGCAAAAGCTATTGCTTTGAGGGGTAGTCTAGACCCCTGGTTCTTAACCTTGGGTTACTCAGGGGTTTTGGACTGCAACTCCCAGAAGCCTTCACCACCAGCTGTCCTGACTAGGGTTTCTGGGAGTTGCAGTTCAAAAGCATCTGAGTAACAAAGGTTAAGAACCACTGGTCTAGACTTTATTTTTCTGAATAGTATCCCCTGTTCTAGGGAGACCCAGCTGACTTAAAATGTTACAGTTCTACATTCCTATTTCACAGTAAGATGCTAATGTTAAATTTGAAAGTGAAGTTTGATAGGATGTCTAGTTAAATTATTCAACATCTGCACAACTATTACTTGTGTTCCATTTTTGTACTGACTTCGAATACTTCACTACTTAGATATGAAATTTGTTAAATAAGATATCAGATCAGTTTTATCTTTGGACTGCCAATTGGACACAGTTAATAAAAATTAAAACAAGTCAATACTTCTTTCAGATATGAACATCTAAAATATATTGTTCTTTTGATAATCAGAATATTTTGTAATAAAATGGTTTTTCACTAGATTCACTGGAAGGATAAATGGTTCTGATATGGTTCATAATTTATCCGTATGAGAATAATGAAATATATTAATTTTTTTGTAGGAAATTATAATATTTAAAGAGAAGTTAAGTTTTAATGATTTGCACCATGATTGTGAGATTCTTTAACGTTGTGGATCATGTGGCTTCTGGATATGAAAACTTAGTACAGTGGTGCCTCGCTAGACAGTTACCCCACATGACAGTTTTTTCGCTAGATATTAGCGAAAACTGCTGTATAGAAAAAAATATTTGTATAGTAGCATCAATTAAACAGTTGGCATTGTATGGCTAGTATGCTGTAGAAACAATGTTAAGAAGTCAAACATTATTTGTAGAAAAGCTCAGACATACTGATCTGTCACTTTTTTAAAAAAAACTCCTCAGAAGCCGATGGAGCTCAGGCGTTGGAGGTAGTGGAGGAGGATCCTCAGGTAGATCGTCAGCAGGAGCTAGAGATTCTCGGAGGCAAACACGAGTTATTCGAACAGGACGTGATAGAGGATCAGGACTGTTGGGTAGTCAACCTCAGCCAGTTATTCCAGCATCTGTTATTCCAGAAGAACTCATTTCACAGGTATGAACTTTTGCTGTAAACGTTTCAAAGCTTCCATGGAAAATGCATAATTTGGAAGGTTTTTTTGTGACATTTGGAAACAGGGTAAAAGGCAAATCTGACATCAGATAAATGTCAAAATGATGTACAGTGGACCCTTGACTTACAGACGGCTTGACTTACAGACTTTTTGAGTTACAGACTTCTCTGGCCGCAAAATTTAGGTTTGACTTGCAGCCTGAGAATTGACTTACAGACCAGAAAAAAACCAAAATGGAACAAAAACGGCCTGTTACGGGATTAATCGGTTTTCAATGCACTGTAGGTCAATGGAGACTTGACTTACAGACTTTTTGACTTGAGAACCGCCTTCCAATACGGATTAAGTTCTCAAGTCAAGACCCCACTGTAGTCTGTTCACACTTTGCTTGTAGCCTGGGACTGAGTACTAAACTGGAAAATATCTAGAACCATTTTCAGTGAATAAATAGAATCCAGCAATTTCATTAGAGATAAAATAAAAGAACACTTCTGTAACATTATAAATCATTTGTTCATATTCTGGTCTTTGAGAAAATTTTATACTTTGTTCTCAAAACATCTATGGATAGAATATGAAATTTTGAGGAGGAGCCATTCAGTGATGAGGGGAATAGAAAAGAGTTTGCAAGTAGATTAGTTGCTCAGTTTTTATTCAATAGTTTTTCTTGACAGTAACAGAACTTCAAGCCTTTTGTGGTTTGTCTTACCAGTTCTGGTTTCATAGAGATAATTGGTAATTGCTCTTGAGATTACACACTGCTTGTAATGAATGTTTGTAGTAGTTCTGTGCTTTTCCCCAGAGGACTGCAACACTGTTACATGATTTATGCATTCTGTTGCTAACTAATGTTTTCCCCCCGATATAGTGAACATTCTGTCTAGCTGCCTAGAGTGGTCTTAAGTGGCTAGATAGGCGGGATATAAATAAAATAAGTAAATAAATAAATATAGCAGGGGTCCCCAACCCCCAGTCTGCAACCCGGCAGTGGTTTGTGGCCTCGGCAGGACCAGACTGGACACAGATCTCCTCCCCCCACGAGCGCCCCCGTGAGAGCTGCCGTGCGCATGTGCACAAGTGCGCTCCACCCCCCTGAACATGCTGTGTGCGGGTTCCCCCTGTGAGCGCCGCCATGTGCATGCGTGCAAGTGTGCTCTGCCCTCCGCAAGTGTGCCATGCACATGCACAAGAGCATCCCCTGTGACTGCCATATCACGCATGCACACCAGCAGGCTCCACCTCCCCTGCAGGTGTGCCACCCCACTGCGAGCATGCCAGGCCCCCCGAACTGGTCCAAAGTTAGGAAAAGGTTGGGGACCACTGGTCTGTAGTACATCCTTTTTGTAAATTATTGTCCACTTCCTTAATTTCTTTGTATCAAATATATGATATAGCTGGTGTATGGAGAACAATATTCATTGGAAGCAATTTTTATTTACTGAGCTATTTAGATTTTCTCTTTTCTCTATTGGACCCAGGGTAGAATGTATTATTAGAAATGTACTGCTATAAGTTGTAACAATAAAAATTTGAAATGTCTAATACAAGTACAAGAACTGTAAAGGTGATCGGTGCAAAACACAGAGAGATGAAATGGAGTCAAGCTGCTAGATCAAAAGGCTGTTAGAATAATTGAGTTTTCAAAGTATGTGCAGATAGTATAAAAGTGGAAGCAGAGCATGTCTCTTGAGCACGAGTTCATATCCTAAGTGCTACTATGGCATATGTACTCCTCGGTATCCCAAATATCCTCTTTTCTGAAGAGAGGCATATGTAGGAGAGCTTTCCTTATGCTTTGAGCAGATCTATTTTGTAGGCTATGTAACTCACACATATGAATCTCACAGCTTCATAAAACCCCATTCAGAACTTTCTAGATGTGGCGGAGGCACAAAAAAGGGACACATTTTAAATCCCTGTTGTTTTTCTAGGAGGCTTTTTCCTTTGTTGTTGCTGTCGCTTCACAATGAAATTTCAGTGGTAGTTGCCCCAGGGAGGGGAATGTTTGTGGGTGACAAGTTGATCATAGAGTTTCATAGCATCTGTAGACCATATTGTGCCTTGAACTAAGCATATCCCTGATTGTGACCAGACTTTTTGCTGGTCTTGAATAGAGATGTTTATCTTTGCTTTAGAACAAACCTTTTACCTGCTTTATAGAGGCTTGTGGCGGGCTGCATAATAGCTAATTGTTATCTTTGCCCTCTGAAAGGAACTTTGGCAATCTCTCTGAAAGTAGCCGTAGGGTCAGGTTATGGAAAATGAAAATGAAATGTGTCTAAAGAGGAAGGGAGGTAGAAAAAGAAGTGAAGCACAGGGAGAGTTTTTGTATGCAAGTGAGAATGGGATGGATTTGGAAGCAAAAACAAACTGAAAATTACAGGCGAGTGTTATTTGAGTTGTGTCAATGGAAGACTGCAGTGAAATATTTATTTTACTTACTTATTTAAAATATTTTTACCCTGCCTTTTTCCTAAAAAAAGCACCCAAGGCAGCTTATGTTGGTGTTATGAGCCTTGTAACCAGCCTCAGTAACAATCTGGCTGTCACGTTTTGGACCTGCTAAGGTTTCGGAGCTCTTTTGAAAGGCAGCCCCATGTAGAGCGTGCTACAGTACATTAATCCAGCGGGGATGTAAGTAAGGCATATGTCACTGTAGCCTCTCAGACTTCTCCAGGAACGGGGGCAGCTGGCACATCTGTTTTAACTGTGCAGAGGCATGCCTGTCCACTTCTGAAACCTGGGTATCCAGGCTCAGCTATGTCTCCAGGAGCACACTCAAGCTGCATACTTGTGCTTTCACAGGAAGTATAACCCTTTGAAATATGCTCCTGAAGGAAGTAACTGTCAATCTATAGCCCAACAAATTGTTGTAATCATGAAAACTTATTCGTATGCAACTAAATAGAACTTTTATCCATTTTACAAATATAATCCAGATCCACTAGCTACTGACTATATGTTTCTTCTGAGCACTTTCCAAAGGCAGACCCACATAGAATGTATTACAGTAATCCACCAGGATGTTAAGGTGCCTTAACTTGGTCTTGATACGTATTTATTTTTTGATATACTGAATATCATTACTCCAGAAAGATTTTTCTTCTAGATAGAAATCTACCTTGAGAGATGATTTTCTTCATCACTGTATGTATTCTTTTTTTGTACAGGCACAAGTTGTTTTACAAGGAAAATCTCGAAGTGTGATCATAAGAGAGCTCCAGCGAACAAATCTTGATGTTAACCTTGCGGTGAACAATTTGCTGAGCCGTGATGATGAAGATGGAGATGATGGTGATGATACAGCCAGTGAATCTTATCTTCCTGGAGGTTTGTGGGGGAGGGTGCAATGTTTCCTTTTTCTTAAAAATAATTGTTATCTCTTTGTCAAAGTGAAATAAGCTTTCAATTTGCAACCCTATTATAAGGTTAATATTATATTTTCTACAGCATACAATACCAAGATGCAAAATGTAATTGCTTTTGGTCAAGAAAGAAGTAGATGAACCAGAATCAGAACTATTATTAGAATGAGTCTATGTAGCCTTGAATTATTTCAATTCCAGTAAATTATCAACTTAGTGAATTTGTATGGTGGAAATTATGTATTCCAAGAAAGGATATACACAAAGCTTTTGTTTAGTAATTGATCTGGTTAGAGTAGCGTTTAAAGGTGTCCCATTAAAGAACCCCTATTGCAAGAAGTGTCTGGCTCTGGACAGCACTACACTTGAAATACCATTTCACTCTTAAATAAGTGAGACTTGGTGCTTTATGTAATAGTTGTTATGAGCTCTTAAGTCACCTCTGACTTTTGCAATCCCATGAATTACTCATCGCCAAAAGATCCTATCATTAATCCTACATAATAGATAAATGTTCCTGTTCAGAACATGATTTTCCATCTTAGAAACAAGCGTTTATTAAAGCAAAACATACATGTTCACATAGACACACAAAGATCCTGTTTTTCCCCTTTAAATTTGTCTTGTAAAGTAGGGGTGGGCATCTTATTACTGCTAACAGCCATATTAAGAGGCTATAAACTGGGAAGACTGAAGCAATTTCCATATTTGTTTTTGCAAGTGAAGAATTAATCTAAGCAATATTAATATTATGAACAGTAAATCACAACTGTACAACATTTCAGTTGATTGTGAGGGGCTAGAGTAGTGGTTAATAGATGTATGATATGCCTGGGAAAGGATTTCTCTTGAGTTATAGCAGACAAATGACTTATTTCTACAAAATGATTTTGCGCTATTCGAAAATCTCCTTGACACGTCCAGTAATTGGATACACACATCAAGAAATGCAAATCCAAAACTTGTGACTGTTCCCAGATGATCTTGGGAATATTACTGATATGCTACCTTTTAAAAATAGTTCTATTGTTTGTTCATATGTTAATTTTGGCCATTTTGGGTCTCTTCAGTAAATGGCAGGATGTAAATATTTTATTGGCATTCACCTCCTGTTCTGTTATTATTGCCCTCCCTTTGGCTTATAACTTGTTTCTGTAATAAGAAACTACAGCAGTCTCCACACATTGCCACTATGTTTCATCCATAGGTGACTCATTTGCAATACTAGTAAAATACTTGAGCAAATCTGCTTGTGACTCCATAGTCCCTCCCTCTTGCCTTGATCCTCTGCGACAGGCTAAAGGAAGAGAGATGAAATGCCTTCTATATTCTCTACTCACATAAAAGTAATAGTGTTCTTGAAAGGTGTCCTTTGGCAACTGGCTTGTAAGGTGGTAGATATGCGTGATTGCATGCTTTTTGGGAGTTGCTTAGCAAGCTCTGTAGAGATGATTATTTATGGGCTGTTAGGCAAAGCATCATTGTCAGTGCTTTGAATTAAAGAACTTAAAGAAGAAATATTTCAAGACTTTTAAGTATATATTTTAAAAAACCCAGTTTGCTTGCTACCAAGTAGATGTATGATACTGCTTCTGTTTTGTTTGTTAAATATAAAGAATGAAAGATTTATTAAGGTAAAATAGAACAAGTTAAAGAAATTCAGATAGTAATACTGCTGACAGTTCTTTTGCATTAAGAAAGTATACCATGTGCTTTGTAAGTGAGTTTGATATAAACCTAGCAAGTCTGATCTTGAGATGTACATGATCATAGCTGATCTAAGTGCCCAGTGACTCTCATCCACTTTTGCCACAAGATGCTCATGTAAACTAGCCACAAGGCTTCATGAAAGAGAATATTCCTTTTGAGAAGAAAGCAAAGGCTTGCTACTTGGATTTTGATGTGTGTGCTCTGCTTACATATATACTTTTTCCAGAATTCACTGTAGCTGTGCTAAACTAATGATTTGGAGCGGTCAGATTATTTGTAATCTGTCAAGGTGTAGCTATACTGAAGTAGAATTATATTCAAAAATAGACCCACCGAAATAAGTGATTGACTTATATTCTGTTGATTTTAGTTAATCTGCTGAAAGCATAACTATAACTGGATCTAGTTTAGAGTATACTTGATCTTTGTGATATGATTACAGTTGTTATCAGATTTGAGTAATTGCAGAATTTTAACGAGGAGTTTTGGTAGGCTACTGGAATCAGTGTTGTAACAGTGACTCGGTTTGCTGTTTAATTTGCTTATATTTGACATCATGATGAGGGCCAGGATATATCGCCCTAATATTTTATAGCCATTACAAAAAGGATTAACTGTGGTGATATTGCTGTGCCCTCCATTGGTTTTTTCCCCCTACATACTGCAATTTTCTTTACATTTTTTATGGGTGCTGTCAAAATCATTACTGGTTTAGTAGTGCTGGAGAGGCATCAAAGAGCTTTCAGACAGAGAAAGCATCTGTTTGAGTTTTGAACAACACTTCAGCAGAGATCAAGGGGAGATGCCTTTGGAATGTTTCATGGCATGTTTTTCTTTAGCTTTGCCTAGACATAATTCAGAGGGTATAGCTGTCTTATGTGCATATGGTAGAGGAAGGGATAATACTACTGTACTTCATCTTAGTAGATTTAGTGTTGTTTCAGTTGTCTATATAGACTTATTTTTTATGGTAATCAGGCATGTGTGTATTAAGAGAAAAGTAAAAGAGAGTGCTCAGTTATCTTAAGCGTGCAAAGGGAACTAGTAGAGGAACCAGTAGGTAAAGTGTTAATTTCCCAAATGATAATACTGATATTTCCAGAGTGTCAAAAATAAATAAATACAAGGCCTGCTTTGCTGCCTGTTTATAAATTGCAAATCTGGATGTTTATTGTCAGGCTGTTGCTTTTTCAATACTTTTGGTTAGGTTACTTTCGTATCTGCCTAAACGAGCTGAGAAGTTGAATCATGATCTGCCAGAATCTGGAGATTAAGATGACTCTGTTTATTGCATTGTTTTTCTGCAATTCCAAAATGAGATTATTCTCCAATGACCACATATGTGCATGGGAGTGAGTAACCATGGAATATTCTTGTGGGTTATGGAACTCTTAAATAATATCTGAACCATCTATATATAAGCTGTTTTTCTTTGAGATGGTACAAGATGAACACATTCAGAGAATATCAAAGTGTTTAAAATATGGGGAAGCAAATTTTTGGGGCAAGGAGGTGAAACAGTACTTTTCAAGGGGATAGTGGAGGCTTGTGTTTTCTAGTGCTATGCAACATAGAGTAGTTATGAACAAGTTGGGTACAAATATTGGAGTTTGTGAGGTTGCAACTGAAGCTAGAGAGGAGTTGATGACTGGATGTCCTTCCCTTCTTGAATTGCATACATCTCTTATTTCTCTTTAAGAAGTGGTTGAAGATCTCTGACAGTGTTTTCAAAGAAATAAACATATGTTGTGATCTTGTATCTAAGGCATGATCAGATAGCAGGAAAGGTGCATGTCTGGTCTCACTGAAAAGGGTTGCTTTGTAACGAATGATCTCTCTTAAAGCAACCCTTATTTCGGGGTCCATCTTGGACATGGATTGGATTAGGGCTGGAGTGCAGTTCCCCATATGGTGTATGATCACCAGGAAATAGATCATACTACTTTCTATTTCCTGGTTTGATTACAGTTTACGTTTCATGAATTTCTTCCCACCTATTATTTTTAATAGTAAATAGAGATTTTAAACTTTTTTGAAAAGATGTGTAGAGAAGCTGGAGTAATTGGTGTTCAAGTTCTGATCTGTTGCAGTGTGATGCTTAGGATGCATGCTGAAAGATTTACGTAAACCAATATTCTCAGATTAAGGAAAGGGTCCTTGGGATATTGTAAGATATTAGTGGTGGGCATAGGATAGAGTTGAGAGTAGAAGGTAAAAGTAGAGATGGGCATGAACTGCAGTTTGGCCTGGTTTGGCGCAATGCCTGCACAGATGTTCCATAGATGCTGCACTGTTCCCTCCCCCACCTCCTCTGGGTGATCACCCACTCACAGCATCTCCTCATCTGAATGGGAGGTCCCCAAGGAGGCAGAGGAAGGAAGTGTGTTCCTGCCAGTGAGTGAATTATCTCCCAGAAGAGGTGGGGGAGAGAAGTGTGCAGTGCCTGTGGAACATCTGGGTGGGCACTGCATCAAACCAGACCTAACTGTGGTTCGTGCCTGTCTCTACTTATATCCTCTACTCCCAACCACACCCTATGCCTATCTCTAGATATAAGATTTTTTTAACTGTTTAGTTTTCTCATATTGAAGTCTACATTCTCATTGTACAGGAATCATCAAGTTGACATTCCTTGTCAGCTATGGTTCTATCTACCTTATGCTGTTGTAGAAAACATGGGGAAAGGGTATGTGTAGGATCTGTAAACAGATAAGTAAAAATGGGATTTAAGAGCTGAGCAGGTGAATAATTAGCAGTACGTGATAGAGCTTGATTTAAATAGGAAGACCTGTGGTCAAGAGTTATGTAGAAGATCTAGTTGATTTAGAAGTGGGTTGTGACTTTGTTAAGTTTGAGAAATGCTATGTAAAGCTAAAAATGTTTCTGTGTCCATTGTGGGCAGCATTTCCTACTTGCTAGAAAATTTAGTAGAACATCAAGGAGGAAAGATACTGTTGAGGGGTGTGTTCTTTTTTATGACAGCAGTTTAACTAAGGATCATCACTGTTCCATTACTTTGATAACGAAAATGTAGTTTCATAAAAATATATTCTTTGGAGACCATATTTATTACTTTCTGTAGTTATCTTCAGCATTTTTATTTTTAATGATAGATTTCAGATTAGGAAGCTATTGTCTCAGTAATAGTAACATGGGAAGTTTCTTATGCTTCGGTACTTTGCTTAGTTGAAAATCTGAGTAGCAGGCAGTACATTTATACACTATAGAATATGAAGAAAAGAATATCAGATTTTTTGGTGGTTTTGTTTGGTGATGGTCTTTCTAGATAATTGTTAAGTAGCTGATAATTCACCTCAGATCCTTGTCTCCTCTTATAGAGGATCTTATGTCTCTTCTGGATGCTGACATACATTCTGCTCACCCAAGTGTCATTATTGATGCTGATGCTATGTTTTCAGAAGATATTAGTTACTTTGGTTATCCATCCTTTCGGCGCTCATCACTTTCCAGGCTAAGCTCATCCCGAGGTAATTTTGCACTTTTTTCTTTGTAAATAAATAGTATTGAGTGCAGTACACTATTCATAGCACATGCTGATGACATGTGTCTTAGGTTTGCATAGTACAGCTTTTTCAAGTGAAATAAAGATATTTTAAAACATGTGTTCTAAGCTGTAAATTTTTACTGTGTTCTAGTAGGTTTGTGAAATGATTGCTAGGTGTCTATTTGAAGTGTCTGACAGGTGAAACGTGTGTGAGGCTTAAAAAAAATTATCCACTTAAATAATTCTTTCAAAAAAATTGTCTGGTTTCTGAAGAACTGATGTAAAAAGTCAGTTTTTCTCTTGTACAACATTCTGAAAGAATATTCATTTACTTTAGATGAGTTAGTTTTATGTGTCAGAGCTGGTGTATGAATAGTGATACGTAGGGAATTTTCTGCCTTCCTGGGTTTGGAGGCATAATTCGGTAGTGTAATTAGAAATGCAACATCTGTTCTAGGTAGTAACAAAAGCTCTTCCACAGCTCATTATGCACCACTCAAGTAGAAAATGTTTTGTTTGCAAGATATAGAATTAAGAGCACTTTCAGATATGGGGCAGGGAATATTGGAATTTATCTGCATCCTGTAAATGCTTGCAGCCTTCAACTTCTAGCTAGTCCTCCTTTAAAAGTATATTTAGACTTAGAAATAATTCATTGTGAGTATAGAATACCTTAGATAACATGTTTTAAGCATGACTTGAAAAGTGTCTGTCATGTAATCCTGGATTTGGTGTCTAGTCATTCCTTCATCATTTCTTAAAAATAGCTATTATACTTGGTAGGTATCAAAAGCATTTTTCCAATTGTTAATCCAACCTCTGTCAAGGTTCTGTTTTCATTGAGTATCACTGTACACATTTAATATTCCTGTTAAGTGTTTAGGTGCCTGAACTACTAAATCTTAGTAAGACACAGTACTGTACATATTAAGTATAATTTGATATTGTTTTCCTTGCATATCATAGATGCATTATATCTAGATTTATCACATCTGGAGGACCACAAGTTGCCCATTTCTGCTATAGAAGATTAAAACCAAAATATCAGTGTTGAAACAAATGTTTTAGGTCTTGGGCTCAAGCTCTATATTCTTTCCCCTTTGAAAACATCCTGCTAGCTGCCTTCTTCCTAGTTTGTAACACCATCATTGTGGACAGAATATTTAGGTACATGGTTGGGAAGAAGAGGAAAAATGCATGATTATGTGATCCTTTGGCCTGTTTCACATCTCTAAACTCTGGTTTTAATATTTAAGTTTGACCAGGCTAAATAGATGAACATGAAAGAGAAAAAGAAAAGTTGTCAAGCAAGCTGTAGAGAGAGGCCATTATGAGTTTTGGGGGGTGCTTTTTTAAGAGAAGAGAGAATGCGATAATAGATATTGGAAGGAAAAAGAGAGAGCAAGGAGGAAAGGCAAGAGAGAAGAGACTTGTTTTAAGAATTTTATTAGCACAAATGAGGAATCGTATTTAAAATGCATTATGTGCATGTACAAATAGATATTCAACCTCTGACTTTTCTTAATTCCCTCCCTTTTTCCTTTCTAAGGTTATTTCTATGTTAAGATGAAAAAAAATCCTTATTTCCCATATATATTTGACTCTTGGATATTTAGATTGGTTACCTGACTTAAAATTTTAATTTTATGAGAGAACTGGGAGTACTGGCTTTAGACAATTTGTAGGCCAATTGGAGGGAAAGCATTTTGGTAAGGAACATTTTCCTTCAAAAATCTCTTTTGGGACTTTTCTGACGTAAAAAATATTTCTGTTCAATTTTTATATCAACATTGTGTTTTTTTTTAAAAAAAGAATAAAGTCAAATCCAGTCCTATATGTTTGCCTAAACTAAGGGGTTGGATTATCAAACTTTTACAAGAGTTTAAGAATGGTTTTTAACCTTTTCAAGTGGTGGTTGTGGTGGTTGTGGAAATGCTGAGACTCTCTAATAAACACTCCTTTTGGGCTAGCATTAAAGTCTTTAGGATACATTGATTGGTTAAGTAACTTTTTATTTTGTTTTATTGTGTTTGTTAGATCATCCACAATATGCTTTTTGTGTGCAATACTATTTAAAAAATTAAATTGCCTTTTATTTCATCCAAAGTAAACAGTGAGATTATTTGTTTTAATTCATTTTTGGGTAGCTTGAAGCTCCCGTACTTTCAGCCTTATTTCTAGTCCCATTCTTGCATTTCAAATTATTTTGGCAACATTAAAGTACATATGCTTGAAGGGGTTAATATTTTGAGTGCTGCATGTCATTTTTATAGTTACACTTTCATAATTAGATTTGAACTGCTGTTAGTTACATCCTGAAGGGTCTTTACTAGAGAGTGGCTTACTTTTATTCCACTGGTGTGACCCAATTGCATACCAGTTCTCCTTCTTCCCTTAGAGAGAGACTCTGAGCTGTTGCGTGAACGTGAGTCCGTTTTACGTTTGCGTGAACGAAGGTGGCTTGATGGAGCCTCATTTGATAATGAAAGAGGCTCTACAAGCAAAGAAGGGGAGCCAAATCTTGACAAGAAGAATACACCTGTTCAAAGCCCAGTCTCTTTAGGAGAGGACTTGCAGTGGTGGCCAGATAAGGTACCAATTCTTTTAAACATTACAATATACAAAGTGTATAATCTGTGTATGTTCATTTCTTCTCTCCACCCTGTTGCAAATGATCTGTAATGTAATTTCTTTGTTATTGGCTAGTGCACATTCAGTGTATACCATTAGTGTTCATTTTCGCATGTGTTATGACATGTTGTAAATGTCAAATGTCCAAGTGTGCATAGATGTTTTCCCTTAACAGAGTTATAGGCTAGCAACGTTTTGGCTTGGATAAGAAATCAATTTTGCTATTTGATATTCGATTTTCAAAACTTGGTATTAATCTTTCTTTCTCACCATGCTTCAGATTTTCTAATTTCTACTTGTTACCTTAGGTTGGAATAATTTTGTTCTCCTCTTTACCTGGGTTTAGTTATTTCTTTACCTCTTTCCTTTCACCAACGTGTTCATTTTCTTTCTTTCTATAGCCCTCTTGATGAAATGATTCTATTTTTCCCTGCTTAAGTGGAGTTTTGCAGTTTCTTGTTAGGGTTTGAATTTTATTCATTTTGCTTTGACAATAATAGTGACTTTAAATTTTCCTCCTTTGCCCTGCTAGAGGACAAATGTAATGAAAGTGGTGGCCACATCTAGATTTCATATATTCCTAAATATAAAGAACTAAAGAGCTAGTATTCTACTTATTTTAAAAGACAAGGTTGGTTTGTTTGAAGAGGCATTTTATTTATTAGTTTATTTTATTTATTTATTAAACTTGTATACCGCTCATCTAGAACGTGTCTGCTCTGGGCGGTTTACACAAAATATAAAAATAGACTAAGAAGGTATAACTGAACTAAAGATACAACCCAAATTAACAGCAGAATCCAAGATAGAAAAAGAAAAAAGAAAAATAGGATAGGTGATGGCTGTAGGGAAGGCCTGCCTGTATAGCAATGTCTTCAGATTGGTCTTAAAGGCTCTCAGCGAGGGGGCCAGACGGATCTCTGCAGGTAAATTGTTCCAGAGACGAGGGGCCACTGCCGAGAAGGCCCGATTTTTAGTTTTTTTCCCCCTTCGGACCCCTCTTGATGTTAGGCCCTTCAGCCGCCTGGCCTGACTGGAATGGGTGATACAGGCAGAACTAGGCGGAAGAAGGCACTCAGCAAGTATCGAGGGCCTAAACTGTTTAGGGCTTTATATGTAATAGTCAGCACCTTGAAATCGATGTGGAAGCAACTAGGTAGCCAGTGTAAGGTGGCCAGGGTGGGGTAAATATGGTGGAATCTTTTCACCCCTGTTAATAGCCTGGCCGGCATGCTCTGGACCACCTGAAGCTTCCGCATCAGTCTCAAAGGAAGCCTCACGTAGAGAGCATTACAGTAGTCTATTCTTGAGACTACGAGTGCATGGGCCAACGTGGTGAGCGTCCCCGTGTCTAGATAGACTATTCTTGAGACTATGAGTGCATGGGCCAACGTGGTGAGCATCCCCGTGTCTAGATAGGGACACAGCTGGGCAATCCACCAAAGATGTAAGTGGGTGGACCGAACCATGGACGCTACCTGGATCTCCATGGTAAGCGCCAGGTCAAGATGAACTCCCAGATTGCGAATCACATTCTTTGTGGTGAGAGTCACCCCCCCCAAAAGGGAGGGAGTTTCCCAAACCACTGACATTGGGGTGCCCTCCTGCAAGACCTCCTTGTTCGGGTTCCAACCTCAGTCCATTTGACGCATCCATTGTAGAACGGCCTCCAGGCAGTGCACAAGGGATTTTTGCTTTTTAACCCCAGTTCCTGTGTGTGCACTTTGATTTTTCGGAACACTAAGCACCATTTCTGAGTCCTACTGATCAGTGTAGTGCAGTTGTCACTTAACATAATACAAGTGTTAGTATGGAATTTGTGTTGCTTCATTGTTTCTTCAGACACTTTAGAGCAGTGGTCCCCAACCTTGGGCCTCCAGATGTTCTTGGACTTCAACTCCCAGAAATCCTGGCCAGCAGAGGTGGTGGTGAAAGCTTCTGGGAGTTTTAGTCCAAGAACATCTGGAGGCCCAAGGTTGGGGACCACTGCTTTAGAGTACTTGCTGTGAAGTAGCCTCACCAGGAAAGGGAAGGTAGATGAAGTTAGGTACCTGAAATGCAACTGAGACATAAGAAAAAAGAGACATCTGCTTTTCTTATCCTATTTGGGAGATGCCAGAGGTGGAATCTGGGACCATTTATAAGGAAAGCATGAACACATCACAGTTGAGCTGAAGTCCCTGTGAACTGAAAGACTACATATTTTCTGATCATGCAGATCACCAGCATGGATTTTTGTTTCGTTAAGATATGTGGCAGAGCAATATTAAACACTGACCTTGACCTACTTTATTTATTTAAATGCTGTGGGCAAACAAATTGATTTGTTTAGAAACAGTGAGCAATTTTCTCTTTGCAGCTAAGATATCTGAGGCTTTGGAGAGTTTTTCTCTTTGTGACTGGTTTATAGTATATCTGAGGCTTTGGAGTTGTAATACTGGAAGTTTCAACCTTTGGTTGTATGCTTTTATAGGATGGAATGAAATTTATTTCTATTGGTGCTCTCTATTCTGAACTTGTGGCTGTGAGCAGTAAAGGGGAACTCTATCAGTGGAAGTGGAGTGAACCTGAACCGTACAGAAATGCACAGGTATGTTTAATTATGTTCAGTAAAATTTGAAATATCTCTCATATGTTTTGATTGTTTTCATTACACCAGAATTTGGCTAGGGCTACAAGGATAGGTGCAACACTTAGCACTCCAGGCTTTCTTAGTGGCTCCACAGTTTTACTTGGAAGAGAGATGAAATTGCTGGGAAATGAGAGAGAGAGAGAGAGAGAGAGAGAGAGCTTTGTGACACTTTGTGCTTTGAAAGATTTTTCATCTTTTCTCTCAAGGAGTGGAGCAGCCTCAGGAAAGGGGTGGGATTCTTTGCAGTATTACTCACCAGATTCTTTGTGGTAGCTTCATAGGCTCTGCTGTATCCAAAGAGAGATAATTTGTTTATATGGCAGGAGGGACTTTGATGTTCTTGATGTCATCACTGAAATGACACAAAGTCCTCTCCCCAGTTGTGACTAGATTCTACCTCCCTGTTAATCACACTTATAAAATGCCATCTTATTTTATTTCCAAAGAATCCTTCAATACATCATCCACGTGCGGGGTCCTTGGGATTAACCAATGAGAAAATAGTCCTACTTTCAGCTAATAGCATCAGAGCAACTGTTGCCACGGAAAACAATAAGGTATGGAATACTGAGAGTACGCTTTCAGATTTGTTAATCTCCTTCTCTTGTCATACTTGGAGAGAAATATTATAGCTGGCTTTTTAGAAATTATCTACAATGATAGACCTAAAAATAAGGTTGCACCTAAAACAGAGGTGCCCCATGAAAACAGAGATAAAGGTGTGTAAATATAAGATTGGAGATTCTTTGGGGTATCGACTTACATATTTCTGAGTCTGAAACTCTCTAATGAAAGTGAGAAAGTGTACAAAATAAGAGGAAATTTGTTCTTTAAAAAAATGGTAAATCCATATACATATTCCAAGGTAAAGCTGTCTGAGCATGAACTGCTGGATAGCTCTGTGGTTTAGGCATCCTGGGAGTTTGATTCCCCTCTGTGCCTCCTTGACAAGGGCTGGATTCAATGTTCCATGTAGTCACTTCCAACTCTCCAGTTTTAAGATGGTCTATTATATATAAACACCAATGTCTAAATCACACACACTGCATTTGCAAAACTTCTTGCTGATTGAAATGAAACAATCAGATCTTTGCTAACAAAGGAATGTTTAGACAAATAATATTTTTCAGGGGAAATGAATGGGAAATGTAGTGATTATGGGATGTTGAGCATTTGAATGACCTTTGACTTAAAAAAAGGCAGCTGTTGGAGGGAGAGCCATTGTATGTGTAAAATCAGTATCAAATTGTAATTTAAGAGACTGTTTTGCCTGGATTGATCTTAGTACCAGTCTGTTGCTGTTTTATATCCAACATGAATACAAAGCCTTCTATGCATTATAGCTCCACTACACATACTTTCTTTTTACCTTTTAGGTAGCTACCTGGGTAGATGAAACTTTGAGTTCTGTTGCTTCTAAACTAGAACATACTGCACAGACTTACTCTGAACTTCAAGGAGAGCGGATAGTTTCACTGCATTGTTGTGCCCTTTACACTTGTGCTCAGCTGGAGAATAATTTGTACTGGTGGTAAGTACATATCAGTTTACTGGTCCAACTTTTTCCATTTTGCTTTGAAGAATTTCTTATAGGCAAATTTGACATGCTGAGGGGTAGTCAGTAATTCATTCAAGTTGATGGGATCCTTACTTATTTCGATGTAACTTCATTTTACTTTTTAGTCACACATCATTAGGCTTTGTCACTTGTTTTCCTTCATTGGGGCCTTAGGATAAAATGAAAATCAAGGTGTTGATTAGTATTGCTTGGTTGTTAGTTTTAATTATTAAATAAGCTTTTCTAAAGATTAAGTTTGAAGTAGCCTGACCAAGTAGGATGGGAAGAACAGAAGATAAACCTTTCCTGCTAGATCATGTTAAGGGTCACACATCATTAGGCTTTGTCACTTGTTTTCCTTCATTGGGGCCTTAGGATAAAATGAAAATCAAGGTGTTGATTAGTATTGCTTGGTTGTTAGTTTTAATTATTAAATAAGCTTTTCTAAAGATTAAGTTTGAAGTAGCCTGACCAAGTAGGATGGGAAGAACAGAAGATAAACCTTTCCTGCTAGGTCATGTTAAGGGCCTTTCTTGTTTGTTTAGTCACGACAGGAAAAACCATAGCTTTGACTATTCGGATTTTTGTTGGCAAGGTGATGTATCTGCTTTTTAAGATGCTATCAAGGTTTGTCATTGCTTTCCTCCCAAGAAGCAGGCGTCTTTTAATTTCGTGGCTGTTGTCTCTATCTGCAGTGATCATGGAGCCCAAGAAAATAAAATCTGTCACTGGCACTGTTTTTTGATGTTGAGCTTCATTCTGGCCGTTTTTTGCACTCTCCTTTCTAGTCTAGCATAATTTCCATGCAAGACACAAACAATAGCACTCTCCCATTCATGTTCCTCCTTGATAAATATTAACTGGCATACTGCCTTTGATTTTAAAGCCATTGTATAGCTTTTGTGATTAGCAATTGATACACTCATCCTTCATGAATTTGCCTAATCCTTTTTGTTCCTATCCTCTTTGGCTATCATTTTCTTTTTGTCGTATGCACTCCATAGTTTAACACTGTGCTGTGAGAAAAATGCTTCCTTTGTCCTGAATTTCTCATTGTTTACATTCAGTGGATAAGCTAGGATTCTGAAAAATCTTTCCTTGTATATTTTCAGTTCATATTTTCTACACCCTATGCATAGAAATTGTTTCCTATGCCCAGAGGTGCATAAAACAACTGTGTCACGCTTGCCTTTGTCATCTTTTTCTAACTTGAAGAGCTCCAAAATTGTAACTTTTCCACTCAAGGGATTATAGTAACTCCTTCATAATTTTGTTGTCCATTTTTGAAACCTAATATGTTGATTTCAGATTAAAAACACTTACTCTAAATAGAATGCTGAATAGAACAGTGCTGTGCTAAATAGTGCGTTTGTCCTGTGCACTAGAACACAAGTCTTTTTGGCCATTGAAGAAGAGTAAGCATTGTGGCCAGGTAGCAATTGTATCACATCGAAAGACATGCACTGATGTTTCCACATGGTTAAAATAAGCTGTTCTCTTATGTATGGGACTTCTACAACCTGCCAGGTTGTAAGTAGAGTTGCTGACTTGTGGCTGTACTGTATTCTTCTTTGCTATTCTGTGCATCCACATGTTACTTTTTAAATTCATACTAAGGAGACTATTCAAAGCTTATACTCTCTATTACAAGGGGATCTTTGGTCCTGTCCTCGAATTGACCAGTGGGTGAAAGTGAGCAGAAGGGATACACAAAGGGGAAATTGGAGGGTTTTTTGGTGCATGTGTATTTCATTCATTTTCAGATCTTTTATTTGCTAGTCCTTTCATTAAATGCAAAAGGAACAGGCTTTTTCAAATTTTCCCCATTTGTGTTCTGGCTGGCAGTTGTCTAAAAGCCCTAAAGAACCTTTAAAATACGAGAAAATAACTCAGGAGTGAGGCAGTTAACAGAGAATCAATTCAGTCCCATCCCAAGGAATCCTTAAAACTGGTTTAGAAAAGCAGGGGCAAGACTTGACAATGCATGATATGATAATGATTGGTAAACTTGGCCAAAGCCTCAAATTATTCAAAGCTTTCTAGCAGGATGTATGTATTTGGGTGGTCTGTACAGGGATATTTTTATATTTAAGTATAGGCTGGATTTATAGGGTAGCTTTCTCTCACACATGGGACTGACAGGCCAGAATCCTACTGCAGTTTGCATAAGGTTTGCATAACTTACCATTACTTGCAATACATTGACAAGTTAGTGGGGCACATCTTGAATGTCCGTTTGGGCACTGACAAGGTATGTGACCAAGATATGCCTTGGTACATTGATAGTTAGCTATAACAAATTGCAGCAAGTTATGAAATTAACTATTAATTTGTATTTAACAATTTTGCATTTGATTACATATTTAATTTAATTGTATTTTATGTCTGGATATATATGGGTGTGCGGGTGTGTATGTGAGTATATTGTTACGTGGGTGCACTGTACGCCTACTGGAGGAACAGTAGTTGTAAGCGGAAATAATGCTTTACATACACTTATAATAATGTTAATTTCTCATAACAGGACTGTTTTTCATTAGCAGTCCTGGGGCATATGAAAATCTATTATTTTTACTTTGAATTGACAGTTTACTAGTAATGTTGTGAAGAGAGGTCTGATGTCTACTGTCAACATTGAAATAATATTTTGTTTCTTTTAGGGGTGTAGTTCCTTTTAGCCAAAGGAAGAAGATGCTAGAAAAGGCCAGGGCCAAAAATAAGAAACCCAAGTCTAGTGCTGGTATCTCCTCAATGCCAAATATTACTGTTGGTACTCAGGTATGAAATTGCTCACTGTGCAACAAGATTTTATTCAAAAAGTTAGTTATGCAATGTGCTGTGAAATTCTTTCAGATTAGTAACCTATGTCAAAATATGTTTTAACTTGTTTTGATGACACGTTCTGGGATTTTTAGTGTTTTGAAATTACCTTATTGTTCTGACTATATTTGCATACCACCCTGGAATGAGGTGTTCTTTGTCTAGAGACTACGTTCTAAGACTTTTATGTTGCAGCTAACATCATTTATCTTGAGTAATCATCAACCTCCAGGTGGCTTCTTTTGACCTCCAATTTCCAGCAAAGCAGACCAGCAATGTACTCTTTAAATTTCAGCCCTGCTGGGCAGGTCTCTTTCTCTCTCATGACTCCCCCACATGCACGGTTCCATCACAACCAGAGCCAAAGAGGTTGAATGTGATTGCTGTGCGGAGGAGGAAGAAAGCTGCATGAGGTGGAATCTTGCATGGGTGGGGCTTAGAGGGAACCTTGCAGACCACTATAGCCAATGATGAGGAATTACAGGAGTTGCAGTCTAAAGCTGTATGGAGGGCCACATTTGTCCGCTCAAGTATATCCTGATTTTATTATGTCACTAGCAATGTTTCTGATTAAAATATATTGTTTCCTTCCTCTTCAAGAGATTGGTTTACTTTTGTTTAGTTTTGATTCTCCATTTGATATAAATACTAGATTCCCTCCTTTTTTATTGTAGGTGTGTTTAAGGAATAATCCTCTCTACCATGCTGGAGCAGTTGCGTTTTCAATTAGTGCTGGGATTCCTAAAGTTGGTGTCTTAATGGAATCTGTTTGGAATATGAATGACAGCTGTAGATTTCAGCTCCGGTCACCAGAAAGTTTAAAGAACATGGACAAAGCTAATAAAATAATAGAGGCAAAGTAAGTGCTCTTAAATTTTATGTGTCACATTTAGAACATCATACAGTGTGACTGGGGAAAGGATGTTAAACTGATTCTAAATTGTGAGTTGCCTTGCTTTCCAGGGTGATTCAGGAGGTGGGAGTCCCAAACTCAGAGCTGTACTCTTTCATTCAGGCTCCTAAATATGGTTAACCTTCAATTGACACAGGGAGCTATACATATTTATCTGATCAATATTTGTTTGAAAGCTATTTATTAGATGTAACTGAGTGAGCCATTACACATCCTAGTCATCTAAGAGAAAGGTATCATTTGGAAATCCAAAACAAGGGTAGTGTTTTTGATCTGAAAACAATATCTTAAACACTCATTTGTTATTGTTACATCAGGTGTGATTATCACTTAAAAAAACAAAATTGGCAGGCCTGTCCAAAGTGTTGGTTAGTTTTCATAATGCATTAATAGGAAAAGTGGGTTTAGTTACATGTTTATAACATGTATTGTATATGTTATCCTTTAACAGTTACTTGGGTATCCTGTCACTAATCATTAAATAAATGCAAAATAAGCATAGAATCAAAAGTAGCATGAATGCAACAAAAAACAAAAATCAGGCAGCTCAAAATGCGTATTTTAAACTCAGTGGCCTATGTTACATGGATTATTTAATCAACTTAACACTGATTGTCATTTTAATTCAAGACCTGAAAGCAAACAGGAACCAGTGAAAACTGAAATGGGGCCACCACCATCTCCAGCTTCAACCTGTAGTGATGCATCTTCAATAGCAAGCAGTGCATCAATGCCGTACAGTAAGTTCTATAAACAATAAGATTATTGTTTTCTCTTGAAAACCACAGTGGTGCTATGTGTGCCAGCTATATTAATATATCCATACTTGATTACTGATTTCCCTATGCAGAACTGCACAACAGGATCTTAGCCAGTAATACTGCACACCTTCTCATGGAAGACTTTTATAGTACAGAGCAGCCTTTACATCTGAATGTTCATTTTCATATTGGAAATGTGCATTTTATAGGAATGCCACCAAAACAGTATTAAGATTTGCTATTTTGTTTTTACCTAAGAACGGCGGCGATCTACACCAGCTCCTAAAGAGGAAGAGAAAGTGAATGAAGAACAGTGGTCACTTAGGGAAGTTGTGTTTGTAGAAGATGTTAAGAATGTTCCTGTTGGCAAGGTTTGGCTAAAACAAGTTCTGTTTTATGATTATTATTTTTATAGTTGTTGAGCATCAATTCCTTTTTATTTTTAATTAGCAGAGCTAGTTAACAACAAACCTAGCTGTGCTGGTTGACTGGTCTTATTCTGAGATAGTGTTGTATACAAATGGTTCTGTGTGGACGTACTTTTTGCTTGGTATGGACTTCCTTGCATATTGCATATTCAAAGAAAAATCCATATTAAGTATCCTGTAAAACTAAAAGCTGCTTCTGTGTTAGAGGATACTTTAAAAGTAACGCCTAATGAATTTCTGTGCATTAAAATAATAACTTATTTCATGTCTGTGTGCCTGTATTCCTTTTCCCCAGAGATAAGGCACCCATACAACTTTCCATGAGGACTAGTAATTGTTAATGTTGCCAGTTGAGATGCTTGTGGACTACAGCTCTTGAAAGCCTTATCCAGCACAGCCAGTGGGTAGCACTCCTGGACCTTTATGTGGGAGAGTAAGGCTGCTGCTGCTGGTGCAGTTCAGCAGCCTTTTTAAAAGGCCGTGCTTTCATGCAAAGCTCCTATAGCCTTCTACAAAAATTTTTTTGAAAGAAATTGAAGAAATTATTGATGCAGAGTTGGGCTTTTTGCATGTGCATAAGTATCTCTTCCTCTGCAGGCAGAAGGGTGAGATCTTGTTTAAGAACACAGTCATTTCCCTTGCCTAATAATTTTCACACATGTTGGAATTGTCATCCGTAGTAAATAACTGTATTATGGGATTTGTAGTTATCTGGAAATAAATGTCAGATGAGGAAGACCATCCCAATATAAAGTAAATAAGTAATAAATGGCTTTAGCCATTTTGAAGGAGCCAATAGCAAATGTGAAAGCCTACGTGCTGTTCTCTTTAAACCCCACGGTTTCCTTTAAAGCTTACAATTTAAATAATTGACTAATAATATTAATTAGGTTTAAGTGATGAATTAATCTCCCCATGTCTAATTGAAACTAATAAACTAATTTTAAGACTTAATGATCCAAGCTCTGATCTTTTTCCTGTAACATTTTGGGGTACTTATAAAGTCATTAGTCATTTAAATATCTGATTAAGTATGATTGTATTGTTTTGTGTTTTTGTCCTTTTAAATTTCTCTGCAAGTATTTGCCAGTTAGATAGAATGTAAGTAAGAACACAGTCATTTCCCTTGCCTAATAATTTTCACACATGTTGGAATTGTCATCCGTAGTAAATAACTGTATTATGGGATTTGTAGTTATCTGGAAATAAATGTCAGATGAGGAAGACCATCCCAATATAAAGTAAATAAGTAATAAATGGCTTTAGCCATTTTGAAGGAGCCAATAGCAAATGTGAAAGCCTACGTGCTGTTCTCTTTAAACCCCACGGTTTCCTTTAAAGCTTACAATTTAAATAATTGACTAATAATATTAATTAGGTTTAAGTGATGAATTAATCTCCCCATGTCTAATTGAAACTAATAAACTAATTTTAAGACTTAATGATCCAAGCTCTGATCTTTTTCCTGTAACATTTTGGAGTACTTATAAAGTCATTAGTCATTTAAATATCTGTTTAAGTGTGATTGTATTGTTTTGTATTTTTGTGCTTTTAAACTTCTCTACAAGTATTTGCCAGTTAGATAGAATATAAGCATAATAAATACATAGTTTTTAAAAATCATTTTTTTCCAGTTTCATTTGAGGTGGTTCAGTTTATTTCAACACTCTATATAATGTTATCTTCCTATAGGTACTAAAAGTGGATGGTGCATATGTTGCTGTGAAATTTCCAGGGACATCCAGTAATGCAAATTGTACAAACAGCTCTGGTTTGGATCCTGACCCATCTTCACTTCTCCAAGATTGTCGCTTACTCAGAATAGATGAACTTCAGGTATGTGTCTTAACATAAGAGACATGGCAAATTTAAATTGTTAACTAATCTCTTCTGTAGTTGGAGTTCATACTTTGTGTGCACTTGCATTGTTCTGTCTCAAAAAGGATGATTGAACTGGAGAAGGGGCAAGAAATGGGTAGCTCATGCAAAGAATCAGGGTGTTGGTAGTTTGATTCTAATGTTTGGTTTAGCAACAAGATAACTGCAGTTTTTTGAGTTTAGAAACAGTCAACGGCAGGTAAGAAGGGGACATAACCAAGATGTTGAAGATTATACAGTTAATTTTTTGCCGTTTTATAAAGGGAGGTGTTACCAATGAAGTTGATTGGGGATAGGTTCAGGACAGATGAAAAAGGAACTAATTTTTGTAATGTATACTTTTTGGGCTGCATTCAATGTAGAATATCTGGTTGTGAAATAGAAGTATGGGGACAAAATCTCTTCTTTCTTTTTATAGCCTTCAGGGCTCTCAGAAAACCGTTCCCAGAAGATTGGGAATTCGTTCAGAGCCAGTTTCTGGGTAGTTCTCTAGTGTACATAGTGGAGATGATGGACAATTCTATGATATGTCTGAGCATTCTATAGTATTTAGTGCCTTGAAATGATGACTGCTGTCTTTAAAGAAGAGCCGGATAGCTCCGTTGTTTAGGTATCTGATTGTGGAGCCAAAGGTTGGGGGTTCAGTTCCACCTGTGCTTCCTTAACATGGCTGAACTCAGTGATCCAGCTCTGCAGTTCTAAGAAGAAGAAGAAGATGGTGATTGTAGAGGGATAGACAGATTGATGAATTATTGGGTCAGTGTTTATTAGTCCTGAAAGTTAAGAGGAAACTCCCTGGTCAGAGATCACCACATATCTTTGTTAGATATTGAGGGCAGAAACGGAAGGGAATTACTGTAATTTCTTTCTTCTGATGTCCTATGTATGTATTTGTCAGAGGCATCTGCTCGACTGCTCTTAAAGAGAAATGGCAGTCTTTTCTAGAAATCTTTTATGTTCCTAATGAGAAAATTACCGAGATTCATTAAAGTCTTAAAAATATAGAAATGTATTTTCGTTGCAGGTGGTAAAAACTGGTGGAACACCGAAGGTTCCAGATTGTTTTCAGAGGACTCCTAAAAAGCTGTGTATTCCTGAAAAAACAGAAATATTAGCAGTCAATGTAGATTCAAAAGGTAGGGTGAATATTTTTTTCTTGTTTGGTTTCTCTATCACTGTATTTAGAAGTTGACAGAAAACTGAGCACAGAGTGCTGTCCTCTGAAGATGCCGGCCACAGAGACTGGCGAAACGTTAGAAAGAACAACCTTCAGAACATGGCCAAAGAGCCCGAAAAACCCACAACAACCACTGACAGAAAACTGTTGAGCTCATTGTGTTAGACTGTTAAAGCAGTGTATGTTAATCTGAGTGACGTATATTTCATCAATGAATACATGCTGATTCTTTTTTTTAGCGGTCAGGTGATCAGCTCATTAAACATATTTATGGTTAAAATATACAAAATGCAGTTTAAAAATATACAACCAATTCATAAAACATATCATGTGGCTAAAATATACAAAATGCAGTTTAAAAATATAAAATCAGTTCATAAAACATGTGGTTAAAATACACAAAATGCAATTTAAAATGTGTACAGCCAATTCATAAACCATATTATTTGGTTAAAATATAAATATTTCCTGCTGATTCAGTAGCTTGGAACAATGTTTTAAGAAAATAAAATCAATTGATCAGTATTTTCTCTGTGCATGTTTAGGGGTACATGCTGTTCTGAAGACTGGAAACTGGGTTAGATATTGCATCTTTGATCTTGCAACTGGAAAAGCAGAACAGGAAAATAATTTTCCCACTAGCAGTATTGCTTTCCTCGGGCAGAATGAGAGGAGTGTTGCTATTTTCACTGCTGGACAGGTTTGTGTGTTTTTTTTTTATTTCAAGCATTTTAAATTTTTCTTCAAAAATTACCCTTAATGGGTTAATGTTTATAAATAAAGATGTAATAAGCTAGTATCTTTATCGTAGAGCCAGAGATAATCAACAATAGGGAGTCTAGGAGAGGCAGGAAAGAGAGATAGTGAAGGTCCAGTTTGCGACATGTACATATTGAAACCCTTCCACCCACCCTAATCTTTCTGGTCTCTGTTTCCTTAAATGGATTGTATTTTGTATTCTCCAAAGATGTGGGGAAGGGACATTTTCTTTCACTGAATACCCAGTGTTCATTCCATATTGCAACAGTTCCTGAAAATGGATCCCTGGCTACTGCTGGAGACCAACTGTTGAAAGCCAACATAGCTGGTAGTCAAGTATTCTGAGAATTGTACTCCAGCATCATATCTGAACAACAGTCAGATATGATGATTCCATTACTCTGTGATTATCTTCCCTAACATGGCTCCTCCAGGTGTTTTGGATTATGACTCTTGTCAGCCCAGACATCAAGGTCATTGAGGATGGGAGTTATAGTTCAAAACATTCGAAGAAGCACTGTCTTAGGGAAGAGTTCTTCATGGTATGCCTGGCTAATGAGTAGAGAATCTTTAAGCTCAAATTAGTTGGCTATTTATTTATAAATGTGGGCTGTGTTCATACTGTGTCTCCTTGTCTAGTTAGGATGTTGACGCATCTGGAAAGGGAAAGACTGAAGTTAGGAAGGACTTTATGCTTTACTTAATCAATGGTTTGTGTATCTTTTGATGGACCATCTAATGGCATTCATATACTGTTTCTATGAACACAATCTTCTCATGTACTAATGGAATTGGGGAAAATTTTGGTTGATTTTTTTAATGTAATGAAAGCATAATTGGTGGTGAGATATGATCACTAATTTTTCTACCTAGCCAGAGTATAGTTTGGCTGCTTTGTGGGAATAGGGCGGTAGCCAAGTTGGATTGTGTTTTTCTCTGAAAGTTTCATTCGGCAGTGCCCTATTCTAATATTGGAATAAGGGAGATAGGCACAAAGAACAATGTCATAGATTGATGTTGATTTAATTTTGTTCATACTGTTTATTTTATCTTTTTATTGTTGTCTTAGTCATGTTTGTGTTCATTTTATCATGCTGTCGACTGTCCAGAATAGTGCATTGCACTAATGAGGCGGTATATCAATCAGTCAGTCAATCAGTCAGCCAGTCAATGTTCAAACATAATGTGAAACCTATAGGGAAGAATAACTCTATGTAAGAACTGTATATATGCTAAATGATGGAATTGTTACAGCAGTAACTGAAACAGTATGAGAAGACTAAAGTCTGAGTTGGATAAAAAATTAACTCTTTGTACAGGAATCCCCTATCATTCTTAGAGATGGAAATGGAACTATATATCCAATGGCGAAAGATTGTATGGGTGGAATAAGGGATCCTGATTGGCTTGACCTTCCTCCTATTAGCAGTCTGGGAATGGGAGTTCACTCTTTGACAAATCTTCCTGCTAATTCAACCATCAAGAAGAAAGCTGCTATCATTATAATGGCTGTTGAGGTAATTTATATATTTAACCAGCTTCCTTAGAAATAGTACTACTGTATTATAGATAATCTACCTCTTAAATTGTGCTCCAGTGTAGATCTATATACCTAAGTAAAATGACTTTGGATGTACAAGTTCTGTGATTTATAGTGGGATGTATAGGCCAAAATCCTATTAGTATTCATGAAGGGATCATGTAATTTGCTGTGACTAGCACTCATCAATTATGATTAATTGATGAATGCTAATCATCTGTTTGTCACTTGCCTGGTCAAATATCTGATAAAATGCTCAACATGTATCCCAGTGCCTTATCAATTAGCCGCAGCAATTCTTGTGATCCCTAACAGGATTTTGGCCAAAGGGATTTATTGCTACAGCTACAAAATATGGTTGGCTAATAAATATTTATTACATATAAATCCATCTTTCCCTATCACATTTCTTTTTTTTTTTCTGGTCAGAAATCTTCCGTCATTTTATAAATGTGCTAGACACATTCATTTTTTAGAATATGGCCTTAATAAATTATTTCTCATATTTCCACTTTTAAGCAGGTGAATGGGTCACCCTTAAAAATTGCATACCATCTTGTATAAATGTGCACATTCCTTTGTGAACAGGCATATACATTTATATTTTACTGGGATGAGAGATTGTTTATAGATGGCATTTTCTGGAAATGTAATTTGCTTTTGCTTTTTAAAAAAATAGGTGCTTGGGAGTTCTCCAGTTTAAGTGACAGAATATTTACATATGAAAATACCCTTTCCCCTATAAGAAAGAGACTCTGGATTACTTGGGATGCCTCCACCACAGGGTGTTTTATTTCAAGTTTTGACATCAGTTATTTGGTTATAGCTTCAGAATTGGCAGACTGTGTTGTTACGTGCTTTATACAGGAGTGGACAACTCTGATCCTTCAAATAGTTTAAATCCATAACTTATGTCAGCACAGCCTATAATGAGGGATTATGGGAGTTGCAGTATAAAAACATTTGAAGTATCATCCGTTGCCCGGCTCTGACCTAATAATATACAGTGGTGCCTCATTTAGCGATGTTAATTGGTTTTAAAAAAACATCGCTATGGGAAAATATCGCTAAGCGAAACACCATTTCCATAGGAATGCATTGAAAACCGGATAATCCGTTCCAATGGGAACGGATTACCGTCCTTAAGCGAAAATCGCCATAGGAAACATCGCTAAGCGATACAATGTTTTCTCCATTGGAATGCATTGAATAGGTTTCAATGCATTTCAATGGTTTTGACAGGTCCATTTTCGCTATTTTTAAAGTGTCATAAAATGTTCAAAAACTGTTTTAAATGCTTAGGATCGTTAGTGCACCTTGTAAAACCTTTGTAAACTTAATTTGGCTTTGTTCTGACTCTTCGTTAATTTTTGGTGAATTCCCCCCCCCCCGTTGGAATGCATTGAACTATACATTTGACAGCTGTCAAATTAAGTTTGCAAAGGTTTTACAAGGTGCACTAACGATCCTAAGCATTTAAAACAGTTTTTGAACATTTTAAGACACACTTAAAATAGCAAAAATGGACATCACTAAGCGAAATGGGGACCTAAACTGTCATCGCTAAGCGAGGCAAGGTCCCAAACATCGCTATGCGAAATGTCCTCATAGGAAACATCGCGCAAAATCGCTCCGAAAACCTCATCGCTAAGCGAATACATCCTTAAAGGAGGCAATCGCTAAGCGAGGCACCACTGTATCATTGTACTGCTATGCCATAACACTCAAATTTAAAAGCACCCTATTTAGCGTATAGCAAAATCTCTCTGTTCTCAAATGATTTTATTGATCATACATGGTGGCTAAAATCTTTCTGGTGCAATTCCTAATTTGATAGAAAGAATTTCAATGTGCAAAATGCTTTATGATCAATCACATATGTATCCTGCCTTTGTCTGTGGATCTCAGATAGGCTGCATACTGAAGCATAAGAACAACACTTGCTTCCATGTTATTGATGTTTCTCAATTTTCTGAATACAGAAGCAAACTTTAATGCAGCATATTCTCCGATGTGACTATGAGGCCTGCAGGCAGTATTTGCTGAACCTTGAGCAAGCTGTTGTCTTGGATCAGAATCCACAAATGCTGCAGACATTCCTTGGCCACAGATGTGATGGAAATCGTAATATTCTGCATGCCTGTGTGTCTGTGTGCTTTCCAACCAGTAATAAAGAAACTAAAGAGGAAGAGGGTGAGTTTGGTGATCTCATGAAAATTCCTCTGAATAACGTTGAGAGGAAACTAGGTCAAAATGGGTTGAAGCCTTTTTTGAAGCAACTTAGTAAATAGTGAGACTCCCCATAAATGATGATGAATGCATATTATAGTTTGTGACCATTGTGGAAAAAATGAAGTTTAAAAGCATCATGGAACAAAAACTTAATTTACAGCAGGTTTCAGTTCAGCACAATACTTTATCCTTCAGAGGCTGACATTAGTTTCTTGGCTTTAAAGAATAAACTCAGTGTTGGAAAGATCTGTAGTTACATCAATCAGTGGGTTTAAGATCTGTTGTTTGTAGCCCAATAAAGATCAAAGCAAGTAGTGAAGGTGGAATATTAACATAGTTGCATTGAAAAGGATTAAAAGAAAAATACAGTGAGCACAAGTGAGAGAAAGCCCTCATGCTTGTTCCGATCAGACATTGCAGCTATGATGGTCAGCTATCCATTGATCAGAGACCCTTTTCACCTGTTCCACCTGAGCACAATCATATTTAGAAGCATATCCTGCCATAATCTTACTTGGAATTTTTAAAAACTTATATAATTTTCCAGGCTTTTTTCTGAACATTCTCATTATTATACACACTGTACCTTATTAACCTCCCCACTGTGCCTTAAATTGGAGAAGCTTTTGGTCCTCTCCAGTCATTGTTCTCAGCACTGTTATTGACTTTCCTGGTAATAGGTATCAAGTCAGTTTAGGTGCCAGTTTTGCACTACCAAGTGCAACCTTTCTCCCCCTAAGTAGCATCTGACAGTGTCTGTATTGAAGATCTGTTCTTCATGCCGAAACTTTGTTCTTCATTCAGCATCTTATCAACAGCTCCATGGCCTTATTCTAAACAACTTGTATTTTTCTTTTGTGCATCAGAATAAAATCAAAATGCTTTTATACCTTCCATGTGCAATGGGATTGGGAAAGAAGGCAAAAATAAGCAAATCCAGGAATCCATCCTCTAAATATCCATTGTATCTCTGAGCTTCTGATTGTTGTATACAGCAGATGAATGGCTTATGACTGTTTGTCTGACTTTTAATTATACAAATATTGGTAAAGTCTAATGTGTTGTGCCTTTGACTGGGAACTGGAATTGCTCTGTTTTTGCATTTGCATTTTATGTCTCCTCTGTGCTCAAAGTTGTTGATAGTGGGCAATCAAACCTGTAGTTCTGGAGTAATTTTGAGAAATTCAGTGCTAAATTCATATATTGAATGTACATAAAAGTGAACACAAAAAAGGTATAAACTTACTTCTTCAGTTTATAACATTTGGTAATTAAAAAAAAACAAACCCAAAACTAGTCACCAAAATTCTTCTTTTTGCTTCAGAAGCAGAGCGCTCTGAAAGAAATACATTTGCTGAAAGGTTATCTGCAGTTGAAGCTATCGCAAATGCTATTTCCGTGGTGTCAAGCAATGGACCAGGAAATCGTGCAGGATCTTCAAGTAGCAGAAGGTAAGATAAAATGAATGTTATTTTTTCTGCTATTGTGATATCAATCATTGTTTAGATATTATAGCCCCAAAAAGCTGTTTCGGCTCTTCTACATTGTTTAGACATTATTAATTTCATATTGGTGTCCAGTATATCCATTTAAACTTTAAGTAAATGTATTATTTTCAGAATAATTCATTATCTCAGAAATAGATTTTCCAATATGGACTGTTAACGCCTATAACAAGATAAAACAAATTGGAACAGAATTCGCCTTTATCAGCTAAATTCTACTTCTCAGTGCCATTGATGTCTGTAGTATGTTATCTTTTGCCCCAAACAGAAATACACATGACAGACATTATAAAAAGGATGGAATTGCTCCATTACTATTTGTGTAATATAGCCACAAAAACAAACATGCTTGCATGTGCACACACATCAGAATTTGTGAGACAGACAAAATCCTGTATTTTGCCATCCATCTTTTCACATGTCGTTTCTGAAGTGCTTGCTGTTAGTCTGTGCAAACATATTAACAAGAAGAACAAAAGAAAATGAAAGCAAAACCACAGAAGACAAAGATGTTGTGCCAACTTAAAAACTGACTAGTATATTTTAATGTGTGCTTTCGTGGAACAAGTCTATTTCTTACCGTGTTTCCCCGAAAATAAGACAGGGTCTTATATTAATTTTTGCTCCAAAAATGCATTAGGGCTTATTTTCAGGGGATCTTTTATTTTTTTCCATGTACAATAATTTACATTTTTTCAAATACAGCAATATCATCTTCTTCTGGTTGCTGCACAATAGTGGTGGGCGGGGTATCACTTAACTAGGGCTTATTTTTGGGGTAGGGCTTATGAGCATCCTGAAAAATCCTACTAGGGCTTATTTTCGGGGAAACAGGGTAGTAGTCTATGTCTTCTACAGAGGCTACATGGCAGAAAGATGCATACAAGATTCTAAGAACATCTTTTGAGATGTTTTTGGAAATAGTATGGACCTCGATTTACATAGATATTTGACAGCAAATTTACATTCCATTTCTTTTAATTGGGGTAAATAAGATCCCTGATAGTCTAATAAGATAAGCATTTAAAATGAAATGAAAATAATTCAAATTAATGAAACTGAAGCACCATTTACTCAGATTTGCTAGAAAGATTTACAGATTTCGTGCAGATGTAGAGGCCCTGAACTAGATGGACAGATGGTCTGAATTGACAGAGGGTAGTGTCCTATATTCCAGTTTGAATATTGCTTCCCCTCCCCCTCTTAAACAACAAGCCCCTATATTGGATAGTATTACAAATTACTTTTTTAAAACTCCATGTTTCCAAAGTGTTTTTCATGTAGGTGAGTAAGGAGATTGCTATTTGGGAAGCATAACACTGGGTATATAGATAGCTCCAAAGGCTAATGTGCACACATGACATAACACCAAGTTCTCAGTACTCTGGAGTTTGATGGCCATGCTTTTCCATTGGATGAGGTGGCTGTATCATTGCTGGTTTTCAGTAAAAAAAATTCCAGGAGGCCTTCTATTTGTCTTCTCAAAATTTCATCTTCTGTTTTGTTTTCCTTTTAAGGAATTGTATTGGTTTCAAGAAGTCTGTAGCTGATATTTCAGCTGTATCTAACTAACTGTAGCTGATATTTCAGCTGCATCTAACTAAGCAACTTCTCATTTTAATGGAACTAAAATGTTTTGGTATATAAATATCATGGTGGGGGAGCCAGGTTGGATTGCTTTAGTATTTCAAATAATAAATGCAGACATGTGAATAAATAAATGAAGGTATTTGGCTTTCAATCATACATAACTAATTTAAGCACAAGAACGTGCCATATTCATTTTTCTTTTTATCCTTAGTTTGCGACTGAGGGAAATGATGAGAAGATCTCTGAGAGCAGCAGGTTTGGGAAGGCATGAAGCTGGAGCTTCTTCTAGTGATCATCAGGATCCTGTTTCTCCTCCAATTGCTCCTCCAAGCTGGGTTCCTGATCCTCCTGCAATGGATCCTGGTAAGTTCTTGAGATGCCCTTGTCCATACATCTCAGGTTCCAAGGCCTTTTCAGATAGACTTGTTTAAAAACACACACACAAAAGAATTGTATGAATTTGAAATGCAGATATGCACTAAAACATTGAGAAGCATTGAGCTAGTTACAATTCCCTTTGGTTCTTGCAGGAAGATATTGGGTCTTGAAATTACTGTTTACAGCTTATTGGAAAATGTTGCTAATTTAAAAAATTACCCTTTGCGGTCTGCTGTAACGTTAGCAGTTATTTTTCATTTTGTTGAATATCCTTTGCCTGGAGAGAAAACTTAAACATGTAGCGTGATTAGTTAGTGTGGCGTGCACATGTTGCCAGGGATGTGTTTTATGTATTGATGTGCATCCTGCTGTTCTGTTTACTAAAAGATGGTGACATTGATTTTATCCTGGCCCCTGCTGTGGGATCTCTTACCACAGCAACGACTGGCACTGGCCAAGGACCCAGCACTTCTACTATACCAGGTGAGAAAACGCTATTTTGTATGCTTGCATATGTTGCTCCCCTCTGTATTGCCTACTGTGACCTGAAAATGCATCTTCCTATTATTATTTTTTCATAATTTGTGAAACATAGGTTAAGAATACTTACTTTATCAGTCTTTTCTATAAAAGATATACAAAAATTATGGTTTAGTAGCACTATCTTCTTCTTTAAAATAATTACTGTTAACTCAATTCTAGAATGTCACATTTCTGATCTTGCATATACATCAAAATTTGTCATTTCTGATATAACTAAAATGTTGATTGCTCATAAACTGAGTACACTTGTGCCTCTTCTTTATACTGTTGTGTGTGAGCTGCTTTTCTAGATAGTTGTTTTTCACCAAATGCTTTTCTGATTGTAGGTCCTTCTACAGAACCCTCTGTAGTGGAGTCAAAGGATCGGAAAGCAAATGCACACTTCATACTGAAACTGTTATGTGACAGTGTTGTTCTACAGCCTTACCTTCGGGAACTGCTATCTGCAAAGTAAGGGTCTTGATGTCTATATCCCCTACATTGTTTCATTGTCTTAGGAAGCAGATAGACAGACATGATGTCTCCTTCTCTTTGCCCACCTCAGAGATAGTGGTGAAAGGCAACAGATATCCAGTGTTCATCGTCGTGCCTCTTCTCTGAGAATTTATCCAGACGGAGATTGGATATGCTTATAAGGGGTGATAGTGCAAAAGCACCGAATTCCTGTAAGCGAAAGTAGAGATTGTGTATTATGAATAATGCAGATTTTTGAAATGAAATGCCGCCACATCTCCTGCCATTTATTCACAAACATGATTCACAGAAGCCACAGATGTTTCCCCTTGTCCCCTCCCCAAATCCTCTCCCCCTCAGAAAGGAGATGGGTCAAATCTTGGGTCCTCTAGGGTCAGAGAGTTGACTTTACGGTAGGTCCATTACATAGCTGCTCCTTGCTCTAATCATATTATTACGAACTTGTCTGTTGTCTATGGTGAGTAAGTAAGTAGCAAGAGGATTTGACTTTTATTATTATTTTAATACTTCATTTTTTCATTGCTTGTTTTTTTCCTTTCTGTACCGTATTTTGGCATCTTGATGTAAGTTTTAAGATAGAGATTGGTATCTGAATGAGGTTCCTCTGATAAAGGTGTAAAAAGGGTATTTAGAGTTCACTGAAAATGACACGAATGAATTACTGTTTTAGGGATGCAAGAGGTATGACGCCTTTTATGTCTGCTGTTAGTGGCAGAGCGTATCCTGCTGCAATTACCATTTTGGAAACTGCACAAAAAGTTGCCAAAGGTAAGTAATGTTGGCAGTTGGTTTGTTTTATGTATGCTAACAATTGAAGAGTAAGATGACAGTCTGAAATGTTTAAAAATATGACTGTAAAGGAAAGGAGCAGCTTCCATGCTATGTAATGTGTTTTTCCCCTCCTATGATTAATCTATTAGAAGGAGTTTCCTAGCAATTTCCCTAGCAGTTGTTCCCTTTGCTTTATCTTAGGAGGATTTAGATGTAATATAACAAATATAATATTTGAAGTTATTTTTAGTTAATCCTGAGAGGTAATAAATGCTGAAACATTATGCTTTATATTAGGGCTTTGAAAACATTTTTTGTATAATCAAATCTAAATGCCTTGCTGTTCAGTGGTTCTTAAATTTTCATTTTGAACTCCCTCCTCCTCCTCCTCTTCCTTCTCCTCCTTTGGTTTTAAAGCAGAGGCAGCTTCAAATGAAAAAGAAGAAGATGTATTTATGGGAATGGTTTGTCCAAGTGGCACAAATCCAGATGATTCTCCTTTGTATGTTTTGTGTTGTAATGACACCTGCAGTTTTACATGGACTGGTGCAGAGCATATAAATCAGGTAAGTTTAGAAATGGGGAAACAGGTCTTTACTAAAACATTGCATGAATCCTCTGATTCAGATTGTAGATCAGAGATGGATCCCAGTTTGGTCTGTGGTGATCCAATCCCTGCTTACTTCAGTTTGTACCTTGAATCTGAAAGGATTTGTGAATTGAATGAACATACGAAACACACACACCCCTTAACTGTCTTCTCAAGAACAGAACTTTCCTCGTTGAGGCTGCAGTCAGGAATAGCTAGGTGTAAAGACCTTGTTGCTTGTGTGTATGTTGTACATATGTGACTGTGAGTTAGTGAAGCCTATGGTCTGTGAAGCCTGTGTTAGCTGGCTGGATAGTTCAATGTGTTAGGTCAAGTTTGCCACTGTGCATCCCAGAAGAGTTAGTCCATATGGCCTTGGATAAGCTGCACAGTCGCAGGGTGCCCCCAGAAGAAAGGATTGGTAAATATTTCTGAATACTCTGTACTGGAAAACTCTGAAAAAGATTGCAATAAGTCAGAATCCATCATCATCATCATTCTTTATGGTTGCAGACCAGCAAGATTATAAAAAGACAGAACATACAGAAAACTCCTATATATGGAGTATATGAATCCTTCTTTGAAGGTGACTGCAACATTTTCTCTCTAGTTCTCATAGCAATCAATAAAAATTTAGACACCCTGTTAGTAATATAAGTGGACACACCCTCTAAATAGGACAGTAACAAATCTGTAGGGCTACCATGCAGAGAGACACCTATTATGGAGAGATTTACTTCTTTCTGCAGTCATCATAAGTCAGAATTGAGGTGACAACACACCGTTATTATTATATTCCTCAAGGGTAACATTATGAACTGGGGTGCCTCTGGCGGTCTGACATGCTTTGACTCCTTAAACATAATGACACATATAGTCTGTTTAGGACTTCAGTGGTTATTGTTTTTGTTTTTTAAATGCATGCCAGGGCAGTTTTATAATGCTTAATGCTTTTTCAGCTGTAAACGTATTTTCCTGATCCCTTGCTTGTGGTTTCTTTGCCAGAAGATTTCATTCTAGAAGATATAAATTGAAAGGAAATGGCCAAAATTATGCACAGGATTAATTTTTTTTCTGAAATGCTCAATTTCTCTCCCTTTTAGGATATATTTGAATGTCGGACATGTGGTTTACTGGAATCTCTGTGTTGTTGCACAGAGTGTGCAAGGGTGTGCCATAAAGGTCATGATTGCAAGTATGTGATTTTTCTTCTTTTTGTTCCTAAATCTCAAGTGTTAATATTCTGCTGTGAATTCTTCTAATGCAGTGGTTCCCCACCTTGGGTAATCCAGGTGTTCTTGGATTCTAACTCCCAGAAGCCTTCACCACTAACTCTGGGGTTTCTGGGAGATGCAGTCCAAAAACACCTAAGTTACCCAACCACTATTCTAGTGGTTCCCAACCTAAGGTAAGGAAGTTGAAATTGTAGTTGTTGGGTTTGCTTCCCATTTTGGGGGACAGGAGATAGAACTAGCCAACTTTCTGATTAAAAAATATCATTATTAAAATACATGCTGTAGTAGAGGAGAAGGGGAGTCTGTTTATTTTGGACTATGAAAGGAAGAGAAACTGCTATCTTGACTTCCCAAACTAGTGTGGCTTTTCATAAACAAGATGACCTGTAAAGTGGTGCTTAGATGCACATGCTTCATTTGTTTCAGCAGATGTTTATAAAATTAAAATTATGACTTGTGTCATTACCAGAACTAATTCTTCAGCAGGCTCATGTATTATGATGTCTCACACACATAGAGATCTTAAATCAACTCTGCTTTCAGGCTGAAACGTACATCCCCCACTGCATATTGTGACTGCTGGGAGAAATGCAAGTGCAAAACATTAATTGCGGGCCAAAAGTCTGCTCGTCTTGATCTTCTTTTCCGATTGCTGACCACCACAAATCTTGTCACTATGCCAAACAGCAGGTGAGTGTCTCTTTACTGATAATAATTTGCCTGCGAAGAAGTCCAGGGTTATTCCCCTCTCGTATCTCTTATCTGTCTGTTTTACAGGGGAGAGCATCTTCTATTGTTTTTAGTACAAACAGTTGCACGACAGACAGTAGAACACTGCCAGTACAGACCACCAAGAATTAGGGAAGATCGAAATCGTAAAACTGCAAACCCTGAAGGTAGGACTATGTTCATGTGAAAGATTTTCTCTTAGAATATGAATTTTTCCGCAGGGAGTGGTCACTTATTTTTCTTTCTTTACTTGCCGTTAGATTCAGATATGCCCGATCATGATTTAGAACCACCACGATTTGCACAGCTTGCCTTGGAACGTGTTTTGCAAGATTGGAATGCATTGAAATCTATGATCATGTTTGGATCCCAAGAGAACAAAGACCCGTGTGTATTAATTACCTTGTTTTAGTTACAGTTCTAAAGTTGAATTTGTGTTACAGAATTTTCAACTTACATTATATTTCTGCTTCCACTATTTTGTTTCACTTTTTTCCAAGTCTTAGTGCAAGCAGTAGGATTGGCCATCTTTTGCCTGAAGAACAAGTGTACCTTAATCAGCAAAGTGGTACTATCCGGCTGGACTGCTTTACACACTGTCTTATTGTCAAGTGTACAGCAGACATTTTGGTAAGGCATATCTTGTCTTTTAAATAATAGAGTAACAAAACCACTTCTGGGTTACTTTGACAATTATACTTTAAACTGATTCATAAATATATATAGTAGTGAGTTCATAATGCTCTTTGCAAACTGTTTTACATATATTTTCATAAAGAAAATTGATGTTCAGGCAACAGTACAAACTGCTCCAATAAATTGCTTTCTACAGCTCTTAGATACTTTGTTGGGGACTCTTGTAAAGGAACTGCAAAACAAATACACTCCAGGTCGCAGAGAAGAAGCAATTTCTGTCACAATGAGGTTTCTACGTTCTGTGGCAAGAGTTTTTGTCATCCTGAGTGTGGAAATGGCTTCATCAAAAAAGAAAAAGTAAGCTTAGTTGTTTTTTTTGTGGGTTTTTTTGGTAAACTACTGCTTGGGGAATGAAGATATTTAAAATGTCATTTGTAAATGTTGTAGTCAACACTGTCTTCTAAAGACAGACTGTGCATGATGTTTACATTCAGTGTCATAAGATAGATGTTCCAGTCTGTGTATCTCAGATAAATGTAGCTGCTGAACAGAAACTTTGCTATTCTTAAACATTTGGGAAGCATTTCTATTATATAGCTGCCTAGAGTGGTCCTCACCCGACCAGATAGGCGGGATAGAAATAAAATAAATACATAAATAAATATACACAACAAAACTGGAAAGGGCTACCAGCCTGCAACCTATGGATGGTCACCAGCTGTACTCATGTAAGTTAAGGGGATGTGTTCTTGCCATATTCCTGTTCTTTGACGCTCTAAAGATTGCAATGAAAAAGAACATTTTAATTTTTAAACACAAGTTGTTTTGCATCCACTAGATAACTAGTGAAACAGTTCTGTGGATACCTATGTAAGGGGAATTCTTGATTTTACTACAGTGGTGCCTCGCAAGATGAGCGCTTCGTTTTACGACGAAATTGCATAACGACAAAGTTTTTGCGATCACAAAAGCGATCGCAAAACGATGTTTCCTATGGGTTTTTTTTCACTTTGCAACGATTTTTGCTCAGCTGATTGGCGGTTTCAAAATGACCGGCAGGTAAAAAAAATGGCCGCCCGCTGTTTTCTGGGACGGATTCCTCGCTGCACGGGCATCAAAAATGGCCGCGCTATGGAGGATCTTCACTGGACTGTGAGTTTCAAGCCCATAGGAACGCATTAATCGGGTTTTAATGCGTTTCTATGGGCTTTTAAAAATCGCTTTACGATGCTTTCATTCTACAGCGATTTCGCTGGAACAAATTAACATCGTAATGCGAGGCATCACTGTATATGTTCTACACACAGTAGTGTGCTTCCCAGAGGCTTCAGAATAGCAAAATGTGAGATTCAAAAGTATCTATATAACAATGATACTTGTTTTTAAAAAATCTATCTTACTGAACTGAAGTGGAAGATTTTGTAGGGGTAGACAGGAGTAGACAGTGACTGAAATCCCATTGGCGTAATTTATACTGGATAAGGCTAATGATGTCATCAGCAACAGTGATTTTTTTTAAAGTTAACATTTTGACTTCTGTCCCAAAAGCCCTAAAGCTCTTGGGAAGTCCCTTACGTTGTCAGGGAGCTGCGGGGGATGCAGTACGTGAGAAAGAAGTTTTTAATTATTAAAAATATTTGCAATTGGTGAAGTCATCCTGGTAGCAGCGATAATTAAAGAATTCTTCCGTATGTCCCATATTTCCCCCCACAGCTTTCTGACAATGAAGAGGTTTCTATGGGAGCCTTAGGACTTCAGGAGAAAAGTTGGAGATGTTTCATTTTCAAAAAATGGCAGCTGCTGAGATCATTAGCCTTAGTGGTATAAGTTATGCCAATGCGATTTCAGGCACAAAAATCAGTGTAGGTTTATATGTAGCAGCATTGCACAATCAGATGACAAAGAGAAACACATTATTATGGGAGCAGAATGCAGGATAGAGTGGGGAAACCCAACAGAAATCTAGAGGGGAAAGAATGTACTAGTTTATGTGAGAAGATTTTTTGCCAAAAGAGTGAAAAGGAAGAGCCATGTTTCTGTGCCGTTGTAAAGGGAAGAGTTAGCATGGCTTAGCTACTGAGTGAATATGGAGAACAGGAATTGTTGTAATTGTGGAAGAACTGTCCTGACTTTTATATTGTCTGGACCCTCTATATAAACACTTACCTTTTTTTCCAGCAACTTTATTCCACAGCCCATTGGAAAATGTAAGCGTGTATTCCAAGCTTTGCTACCTTACGCTGTGGAGGAATTATGCAATGTGGCTGAATCCCTCATTATCCCAGTCCGAATGGGTATTGCACGCCCTACAGCACCTTTTACTTTGGCAAGCACTAGTATAGATGCTATGCAAGGCAGTGAAGAGCTATTCTCGGTGGAACCACTGCCACCACGACCATCATCTGATCAGTCCACCAGGTAATTGTACTTCTTAGCATCTTCTTATAAGTATGTTCTTTTAAATATAATTATATATTCTCTTTGGCACAGTAATGTGTTCTCTCTAGTGCAAATAAGGAAGTAGACAAAGAATGTTGTATACAAACAGCAGTAAAAGACCTGTTTCATATCTATAACGCCTGGGATATTCATTTAATGACTGCCTGCCTGAGTGGGTTTTTTAAAATGGATTGTTGTTCCTTACTGCCTTGAATGTATTTTTGTGGTGCTTTTAGTGTGGTATTTGTTTGATCCTTTTCAGTATTTGTATATCTACTGTTTTTAGCTTTAAATATTGTCTGAATGATGTAAGACTTTGGTCCTTCTTAAGGTAAAATATTATTGATCAAAATGATAACAGAGTATCTGTGTATTGTTAGAAGGGAAGCATAGTATTTAGTAGAATTTAAAGCCTCATCTGATGTGATTACTATCTTAAAAGATGGTAGTGATAGTGTGAAACAGGGAAGTGGGAAAAAAGTCTAGCTTCTTAAAAATAAATGGGAAGATGGTAATTTTTCGTATTTGTTATTGTAATCTAAAAGTAACATGTTGGCAGGGGGTTGCTTTCCCAAAATGATGTGGTCTTGAATTGTCTTTTCTCCCCTTCATTGGGGTTGGGAACATGTGAACTCTAGAGCAGTGACGGCAAACCTTTTAGGGCCCGAGTGCCCAAACTGGAAAAAACAAACAAAAAACCCCTGCGGGCGGCGGCGGAAGTGCTATGTGGTGGCAGAAGGGGGAATCCCGAGCACGGAGGTGCCTCCAGACCCCACTTTGGATCCGCCTCCAGTCGCCAGCGTCAGCTGCTCTGGATCTTGTCCCACCGCCTGTCGGGGCAGTAGCACCTCAGCTGCAGCCTCCTCCTCAGGTTCAGCTGCCGGGGGTGGGGGGAGGAAGTGATCCAGTGACTTATGGCTTGCGTGGCCACAGAGATGTCTGAGCATGCTAGCTGTGGCACACATGCCATAGGTTCGCCATCGCTGCTCTAGAGGTTGTTGAACTTCAAGTCGTCATCATCCCCTGGCTGTGTTTAATAATCCCATCGTCCTGTACTGTTAATGAAATTGGCTAGAACTGATAGCTCAGGAACATCTGGAGGATTGTGTGTGCCCTGTTAAATTCTGAATGTGCTGCCTTTTATTCAGTTTGTTACCCTGTTACAATCTCCTTGTATTTCTAAAATCCTTTTCTCTTGTAGCTCCAGTCAGCCTCAGTCTGCCTATATCATTAGGAATCCACAGCAAAGACGGATCAGTCAGTCTCAGCCAGTTCGTGGTAGAGATGAAGAACAAGATGACATTGTGTCAGCAGATGTGGAAGAGGTTATTGTCTTAATTCTTTTCAATACATAGCTTTGTATTTATTTGAGAATACATGTCTGTTTGGGAGTTCAGTTGATTTGGCAGAACTGCGCATGGATAGAACATGTCACAGTTGTATTGCAAGGAATGCATACCCTGACCTTTACAACTTCAGTATTATAAAACACTAAGAACAATTCATAATTGGATTGAAGCAGCAGAATGGTGTTTATGACTAGCAAAACAGCATGGCATTGTTTGAACTTTCACAGACAGCAGGCTTTTTAATTGCCTACTTAGGGTTGTCATTCTCCTACCTTTGTACACCAGAATTTTAATTTGCAAACACTTAGTAAAATAAAAAGTGCAAGTCTTAAACATCTATAAGGATCGCGTTTACTTTTACAGTATGTCTTTGAAACATCATACAGTGTTATTTAGTGCAACAAATCTCTTGTTCCAGGTTGAAGTAGTTGAAGGCGTAGCTGGAGAGGAAGACCATCATGATGAACAAGAAGAACATGGCGAGGAGAATGCTGAAGCAGAAGGACAGCATGATGAACACGATGAAGATGGTATACTTGGATGTCTATATTTGCTCATTGAAAATATAATGAACAGCAGTCCTTGTTGCACAGGCAAAATTATTTTCACACACCAGAACCTTTTCTCTCTATTGCACCTTTTGAAGCCTCCTACATTCCCTGAAAATATTCTCTTGGTGGTTTCAGTCCTTCAGATCAAATATTGAGGGTGTACAGGGGAAGGGGCCTCCCCACCATTTAACTGACAGTATTCGTTATATTAGCAGAAAAACAGTATTAGGTCAGGGTGTGTAGTATATTGCTATATAAGCTTATTTAAAGGTAAGCTCCACTGATTTTGTGAGAGGTATCTTTGGGTAGATGCACTTTGTATTACAACTGAGGATTGTCTCAATGAGGTCCTACTAAAATAAACCAGTAATTTATTTATTTATTTATTGGATTTATGCACCACACTATATAGCAACCAAGCCACTCTGGGTGGCTAACAACAATATAAACAACAAAATAATAATACACGATAGAAAATAAAATAATACATAAGTCATGCCTAACTTCTTACTTTAAAGTCCATGGGAACAAAATCTAGATTCTGCCCATAGAGTTTACCACAGAAGAGACCATAAAATATACGTCCTTGCTTACCAGAACAGCATGTGACAGAGGTAATTGTCTGTCAGTAATATTATCACAAGCAAGCTACATTTGTGGCTGTGAAAAACAGGCTGGTGAGAAAAATGCTTTGCGTTGTAAATGGTGGTAAGCAGTGGGAGAGTTTAAAATAGCTTTGTGAAGAATCTGTAATACCTTACAACACAGAATACTATATTAACAAAGTTCCATAAATTTAATACACGTCATATTAGGAAGTGATATGGAGTTGGATCTACTAGCAGCAGCAGAAACTGAGAGTGACAGTGAAAGTAACCATAGCAACCAGGACAATGCTAGTGGACGCAGAAGTGTTGTAACTGCAGCTACAGCAGGATCAGAAGCAGGTAATGTTCTCTTTATCAGCCTTTGTCTTGATGTGTCTTACACTGGAAATGTAGAACAGATATTTAAAACAGACAATACAGATACAGCTTCTGGAGATATTGAAAGCATGAAAAATTCACTAGATTGGAAAAGATTCACTTTTTAAAGTTTCATTTTAGAGTAGGGTACTCTAAAAGTCCAGGTTTGTGGTCCAGTGAAAGTTGGTGACGATACATCAACTCAAATGGCCATTAAATTGCTTCTAAACATTTATTTATAAAAGAAAATCTGACACAGTGATTTTCAAGATGTATATTTATTCCATAGGTGCTAGCAGTGTTCCAGCATTTTTTTCTGAGGATGACTCTCAGTCAAATGACACCAGTGATTCTGATAGCAGCAGCAGTCAGAGCGATGATATAGAGCAAGAGACTTTTATGCTAGATGAGCCTCTAGAGCGAACAACTAGCAGCTCTCATGCCAATGGTGCTGCCCAAGCTCCCCGCTCAATGCAGTGGGCAGTACGTAACACCCAGAATCAGAGGACTACCAGTACTGCACCATCTAGTACCTCTGCACCTGCAGGTATTTTAAAAATTACTGTTGTACACAGCTGAATGTATCATTTCTGATTTATTATGAACTTATTAGTTGTATTATTATTGTTATTTTTTTAACTTTGTTGAAGGGGTGCAAGTATATCTGAACCTGACATTGATAGTAAGCCATTGTGTGAAGCTTTTTTGTTGCTTGCATTTATGGACTGAATTGGATAAAATACAGTGGTGCCTTGCTAGATGATGATAATCCATTCCACTGAAATCGCTGTTTAGCGAAATCATCTAGCAAAAAGCATTTCCCCATTGGAATGCATTGAAACCTGTTTAATGCATTCCAATAGGGAAGAATCGTTGTTGTCTAGCGAAGATCGGCCATAGGAAAGCCACTTTGCGAACCACCGATCAGCTGTTTAAATAGCTGTCTTGCGAAGCTTAGGTCCCGAAAACACCCATTTTGCGAGCATGGAAGGAGCTGTCAAAATCATCTAGCAAAAATTGGTTTGCGAAGCAGGTGCCAAACATTGTCCAGAGAAATTCCCCCATAGGAATCATTGTTTTGTGAATCGCTATAGCGATCGCAAAAAGTCAATGTCTAGCGAAAAAACTGGCATGCGGGGTAACTGTACCTGTCTAGCGAGGCACCACTGTATCTGACTTTGCTTTGGGATACATATAGCTCACTTCTGTATATCTGTTCACTAATGAATATCTGTTTTTCTTTCTCTCTCTAGCAAGTTCAGCAGGCTTAATTTACATCGATCCATCCAACCTGCGTCGGAGCGGTACCATCAGTACAAGTGCAGCTGCTGCTGCTGCAGCCCTTGAGGCGAGCAATGCTAGTAGCTATTTAACATCAGCAAGTAGTTTGGCGAGAGCATACAGCATTGTGATCCGGCAGATATCTGACCTAATGGGCCTGATTCCCAAGTACAATCACTTAGTGTACTCCCAGATCCCAGCTGCAGTGAAGCTGACGTACCAAGATGCTGTAAACCTGCAGGTATGAGGCAATAAAAATATTCTGATGTCCATGTTTAAATTGGATAGTTTTAAAAGGAAAATACAGCTGTATTGCAATCTTTTAAACTTTGTAATATTTCTTTCGCAACAAACAGCCACTTGTTTGGCCACTATTTTCAATATCAGATTAGAGATGGGCGCGAACCGTGGTTCCCAATGCTGAATAACCCAGGTGTTCTTGAACTGCAGCTCCCAGAAACCCTGGCTGGTTCAGGGGGTGAAGGCTCATGGGAATTGCAGTCCAAGTACACCTGGGTTATCCAAGAGTGGGAACCACTGCTGTAAGAAGCATGTGGAGGTTGTGGGTTTTAAAAAGCTTGAGATAAACAGATGTAACAAAGCTGTATTAAAACCATAGGAGCTGGCTTTGGTCACCTTGTTTACTCCAAGGTTAAGCGGTCTTGTCCTGTAAGCAACCTCCTCTGCCATTTGCAATGGATCACAGTTGGTATGAAGATAGAAGTGGGGTCCAGAACAGTTCATGCTGCCTTTCTTTCTTCTCACATGTGTTCTTTACAAGTAAGACAGAATTGCATGTTGTACAATACTTTGATTGCATGTTGTGACATAGGTTGAAATCCTGTTGCTTAGTGTAGTAAGTCACAACTACAGTAGACACATTGAATCAGTGGGGATTTGGTGAGTCGACTCTTCTGCAGTTCCATTAATTCAGCGGGCCTACTGTAGTTGAGACTTACACTAAGCAACAGAATTTCAACCAGAGATTTGTGAACAAAATGGGTGTTTTGATTCCCCCAGCTGAATAAAGGATATAAAGTATTTACAAAAAGCTAAGTTATGGAGGTAAAAACTGGTCAGACATTTTATGACACTAAGTGGATTTTGTTTGAACACTGTAATAATGACTAACATTTTTTTATTCAGAACTATGTTGAGGAAAAACTTATTCCAACCTGGAATTGGATGGTGAGCATTATGGATTCTACTGAAGCTCAACTCCGTTACGGTTCTGCTCTTGCCTCCGCTGGAGACCCAGGGCACCCAAACCATCCTCTTCATGCATCACAGAACTCAACGAGGAGGGAGAGGATGACTGCACGAGAGGAAGCCAGTTTAAGAACTTTGGAGGGGAGAAGGTATAAAAAGAATTCACCCCTAAACAAATCATAATTCCAGGCCAAAAATATACCGCAGCAATTAATCTCTAAAATACAGCTATTTTTTTCAATACTGTTCTTCTATGTGTTGTGATAATCTATGTATTTCTTTGGCCCAGTGCCCACCATGTATGTTTATATATGTATTTTATCATTACAGGCGTGCCACGTTGCTCAGTGCTCGTCAGGGGATGATGTCTGCAAGGGGGGACTTCTTAAATTATGCCCTTTCCTTGATGCGTTCTCACAATGATGAACATTCTGATGTATTACCAGTATTAGACGTCTGCTCATTGAAACATGTAGCATATGTTTTTCAAGCACTTATTTATTGGATTAAAGCAATGAATCAGCAGACAACCTTGGATACACCACAGCTGGAACGGAAAAGGTACAGAAGCCAACTGCATAGTGGAAATTATCTATTCACTTAGGAATGGTGCATCTTTTAACACACAATGTTAAGAAGAAAAGTTTTGGGTATTTAGGCCAACCGAATGGTTGCAAAAGAGTGTGCAGAGGCACACAAAAATGCGCAAACTTTTGAGAAGATTAAGATGTTAAAAGTAGTAGAGGGGAAAGGAAGTTAGAGACTGGAAGGCTGATTTTAAATGCTTGTTGTCTGTATGTTGTGTGTGAGTATGCCAGACATAAAGAAATGGGTCTCATGGAATGAAACTGTAGTGTTAAATCTTACCTGAGATAATCCATAGACTTTGAGAAATGGAAAATAAGAAACTTTAGGTCCTCTGTCTTAGACAATCCCTCATGGCGGCTGAAATTTTGTTGAACAGTTACACAAACAGCATAATTTTTAGGTGAGAATTACCATTCAAAAATTTCTGTAGACATTGGCCAAAATCCTGTTGCTTAGTGGAGTAAATTGGACTAGAGTAGGCTCATTTAATCAATAACGATTTGGTGAATCAACTCTATATGTTCCATTGATTCAGATAGGCCTACCGTAACAACAATTTACTATGCAATTAGAGTCCATTTGAAACAATTTAACTTGTAGTTAGAGTAAGCCCATTTAAATCAGTCCTGTTGTTGTTTAGTCGTGTCCGACTCTTCGTGAGCCCATGGACCAGAGCACGCCAGGCCCTCCTGTCTTCCACTGCCTCCTGGAGTTGGGTTAAATTCATGTTGGTCGCTTCGTTGACACTGTCCAACCATCTCGTCCTCTGTCATCCCCTTCTCCTCCTGCCTTCACACTTTCCCAACATCAGGGTCTTTTCTAGGGAGTCTTCTCTTCTCATGAGATGCCCAAAGTATTGGAGCCTGAGCTTCAGGATCTGTCCTTCCAGTGAGCACTCAGGGCTGATTTCCTTTAGAATTGATAGGTTTGTTCTCCTTGCAGTCCAGGGGACTCTCAAGAGCCTCCTCCAGCACCACAATTCAAAAGCATCAATTCTTCGGCGGTCAGCTTTCTTTATTGTCCAGCTCTCACTTCCGTACATCACTACAGGGAAAACCATAGCTTTGGCTATTTGGACTTTTGTTGGCAAGGTGATGTCTCTGCTTTTTAAGATGCTATCGAGGTTTGTCATCGCTTTCCACTTTATTCGCCTGGATGTCTGGCTCAAGGTTAGCAAGCACACTATGTGGGATGTCCGGGACGTCCACATTTTCTGGTACAATTCCTCTGTGTATTCTTGCCACCTCCTCCTGATGTCTTCTGCTTCTGTGAGGTCCCTACCATTTTTGTCCTTTATCATGTTCATCTTTGCACAAAATGTTCTTTTAATATCTCCAATTTTCCTGAACAGATCTCTGGTTTTTCCTTTTCTATTATTTTCCTCTATTTCTTTGCATTGTTCATTTAAGAAGGCCCTCTTGTCTCTCCTTGCTATTCTTTAGAAGTCTGCATTCCATTTTCTGTAACTTTCCCTATCTCCCTTGCATTTTGTTTCCCTTCTCTTCTCTGCTATTTGTAAGGTCTCGCTGGGCAGCCACTTTGCTTTCTTGCATTTCCTTTTCTTTGGGATGGTTTTTGTTGCCAGTGATTCTACTCTAGTGCAATTTATGACACTAAGCAATAGGATTTTGGCCATTATATGTTGCATGATTTGTTGACTTGCCTGTGGAAATTTCTTAATTTACAGCAATTCACAACTGAAAGTTAACATTTGTTTGACTGTGCAAAGGATTTCAGCCAGGGGATCAAAGCTGCAAGCATCCTGCCTGAACACATGGGCTCCTTGATTGGTGGAAAACAGAGAGCCATCATCCTGAGATGGGATAGATTTTTTGAAACCTATTTCTTTGTATGTAGCATATCCTGCCCATTTCATGTGGGGAACAACATGCAGAGAACAGGGACTTAAAATCTCACTTTCCACTTCCTCCCCCCCTAATCCCTTTTAACACCTCGCCTAATAAATATTTTGAAAGCAGGTTCCCTTGAATTGACTCTGCACACTTTTTAAAAATATGCTGAGGGACAGAATGTATTTTCAAGAACTGTAAATGACTTGCTATATGGAAAATTAGTGCAGGGAAGGTGCCCCAGAGGGAGACCTGTGATACAAAGATATCCACAAGCGGGATCTGAAGGCCTTAGGAATGGACCTCAACAGATGGAAAACCTTGACATCTGAACGTTCAGCCTGGAGGCAGACAGTGCAGCATGGCCTCTCCCAGTTTGAAGAGACCCTTGTTCAGTAGGCCGAGGCAAAGAGGCAGTCCCCAAACCAGCAAAATCAGAGAGCTGGACAAGGGACAGATTGTATTTGTCTTCAGTGTGGAAGGGATTGTCACTCTTGAATTGGCCTCCTCAGCCACACTAGATGTTGTTCCTAGTCCTCCATACAGAGCATGTTACCATAGTCTTTCAAGACTGAAAGATGCGTAATCTAAATGACTTGCATCCAAATTATTTCAGAAAATCTTATAATCTGCGATTCTTCTACAGCTCAGACTTTTCTGTCTTTAATGGATGTCTTTTTTCTGCAAGAAATAAAGTCTCCGCTGCAGTGGAATGGCCTCCTTTTTTCTTCATTGCAGAAGCTACTGGAAACAATAATATTCTGCCAGGCTTTTGGAGATCTTAATTTTCTTATTTAACCAGCTGGTTATTGGTTTTGTATTTTAAATAGCTTAAAAGTTTATTTAAACAATCATTTTACGGAAAAGTTGTAGAAAGAAGTTAGATTAACATATGTCAATAAACATATTTGGTACTAAGCTCCACTGTAGTAGCAATGCAAGATCTGCTACTTGAACACATATTGCTGCTGGGCACACAGATGTCTTTGTCGAGAAAGCCTGACCTCTACTTGAACAGAGAGGCAATGAATGCCTTTGTGCACAAAGCAACAGAAGCGTCAAACTCAACAGGGCCTTCTGCCTTGCCTTTCCCTGTGTTGTTGTGTGTTGTAGTCCAGAATTAGGCATGTGTTGTACAGCTAGGCTATACTTACCTGGTAATTTGATTTGGGTAAAATGAGCCAAGATGGTATTCCACCTGACTTTTCTTTAAGTGCCCCTCTTTAGAGTTGTGTACCTAAAATAATCTGCATTCCTTATTTTTTTAAAGGACTCGGGAACTCTTGGAACTTGGTCTTGACAATGAGGACTCCGAACATGAAAATGATGATGACACAAATCAGAGTTAGTAGTATTCATATAGTTTGGGGATTAGGTTTATCTCAGTGACCTGTGGTTCTCGCAATTAAATGACCTCTAGAATTCCTGGATAATTTGTGTAGTTTATTATGATTTTCCAGTTTAGCATATTACAACATCATAATGTTACACACATCAGTCAATTAATATACACTGTAGAGATCAGGGAAACACTGTTAGAATATTAGTTTATAAGCACATAGCATTCCTGGATAATCATTGAGACACATTATAATTGATAAAACTACAAGGGCCTAAATTCAGTGCCTCCATATATATCCAAAAATAATTTCTTTTAGCTTTGAAGAGGCTGATCACGTCCTCTAAGGCAGGTTCACCAGGTTTGTGCCATCCGACATCCCCAATGTTGGCTGTTGTAGTCTTCTTTTCTGATTTTGAGAGAGAGGGATAAAACATTCCTGGGCTTAGAACAGCTTTGGTAGCAAATATATATAGTGGTGCCTCGCTTGATGAGGATAATTTGTTCTGTTGAAATCGCTGTTAAGCGAAATCCTCATCAAGCGAAACAAAAAACCTCATTGAAATGCATTGAAAACCGGTTCACTGCGTTCCAATAGGCTAAATACCTCAGCGTCCAGCGAAGATCCTCCATAGGGTGGCCATTTTCGGTGCCTGTAAAGCAAGGAATCCGTTGTAAAACACAGCGGGGAGCCATTTTGCTCAGCGGGCGGCCATTTTAGAGACGCCGATCAGCTGTTTTAAAATCATCATGTAGCGAAAAATCGGTTCCTGAAGCAGGGAACCAATCATCGTTAAGCGATTTTCCCCTGTCAAAACAGTGTTTTTGCGATTGCAAAAGCGATCTCAAAAACTTTGTCAAGTGGTTTCATCGTTTAATGAGGTAATCATTAAGCGAGGCACCACTGTATAATCTTTATATAGAGAAATGTGTATAAATTAAAGTAAAATAAAGTAAAATGACAAAACTGCTCCTTTTGAACTCTGTACACTCTGCAGAGCATAAATAACCTTTCTGAGTGGGAAAAATATTTGAATGCCAATGCCACGTGCAGCCTCTGGAATTTTGCCACCCCTGATTCATGCAGTATTTCGGAAATGAGTATTAAAACTGTTTTCAGTCTTATGATTCAAGTCTGGAATGCCTGAGGTATAAAATGTGTAATTCCTTTGCATGGGAACAGAGTATATTTGTCAGCACTGAGCAACTAGAGCTGTCTTCAGCCATCAGGTTTTTTTAACAATAGTTTTCTGTCACTGTAATTTTCTGTCCCAACTCCTTCTTCAACCATGTCACTTTATCAATAAGTCTGAATTTTCCAAGCGTTCACCTAAGAAATGATAATAGTGATACACCTGGATTAGATCGTCACTGGCCACTGTAATTTGTTTGTGGCATCAACCTACTGCATAAGGCTGGACCACTTCTTTCTGCTTCTGTCCTCACCTGAATGCAGGGATACAAAACTTAAGTAGTTTAGATGCTGAAAACGATGATAGTAATATATTTGGTACCCCAGAAAGAAGTACAAATTGCATCTCTCCAGTTGTATTGTGGTTAGAAACTGAGTGACAATATATACTAAGAACTTTGCCTATAGATAGTGCTGTGTGCATTTGAAGCTCCTACAAGGTATCACCCTCAGTATTCAAAAGCAGTGATGGTTCTAGCTATGACCACTGCATTGCTGGTACATTACTCAAGTTTCCATTGAGGAATGTGGAGAGGAAAGAGGGAATGTTTAAAAGGTCAGATGAAGAAAGAGAGACAGGGAAGGCAGATGACAAGAGAAGGGAAGGAGAAGTGAGTGGAATAGAGAAGAAGGAAAAATCAAACAAAAAATTAGAATAAATTACTGTGGTTGAACTGAGAAGTATTGAAGTGGGATGCTTTCTAAAAGTTTTTGCTACTTTTTATATGGAGTGTTAATTTGCAATGTTCTTTCCTTTTGCTAGTTCTCCAAACAAACCTAAAGTAGGACACATTTCCTTCTGTTTTCCAGTTTGTAGAGGCGGACATAAGATTTTGAGTGGTGTATCCCCCCCCCCCGGTGCTACATGGTGGTGAGGGTAGAGCTTAAACTCAAATCCTTCTCCATGTGCCCCCACTGTCTTGGGACTTAGATCAACCTCATATTTCCAGCTTTTGTAATAGTCCTGCTTTCAACCACTGACTTTTGCTTGTGGCAACAGGAGCACACTAAACTTTGCTTTTGATTAGCTGGCAAATCTATCTCATGCATATCAAATGTTGGATGGAATGGAACTCTTGTCAATACGCTGGTTCATAACCTTTATGACAAAATAATAAATGTATTGAGCCAAGACCCTTAAAGTTTAGAAAATGTTTTGCATTCCTACCAGAATATGTTTGAGTAGGAAGGCAGGTATTTCATAGAAAGAATCAATAGATAATCTTAAATCTGAATCAAAGACAGAAGAACAGTGGTGACATGGGGACAAATTAATTCTGCTAATTTTGCTAAGAATTTTCCAATAGTTTTGGAGCAAAATATTGATCAGTTAATGAACTTTTTGATTATTCCTTCATATTTTTCACATTTCTGCTTTCTAGGTGCTACACTTAATGATAAGGATGATGACTCCCTCCCAGCTGAAACAGGCCAAAATCATCCATTCTTCAGACGATCAGACTCCATGACATTTCTTGGCTGTATTCCCCCCAATCCCTTTGAAGTTCCTCTAGCAGAGGCCATTCCCCTCGCAGACCAGCCCCATCTGTTACAGGTAACATTTGCTAAGGAAACGTAAATCTACAATGCCTGATTCTTACTTATTGCTGGTACAGGTAGTAGCTGTTTCCTTCCCTTATTCAATATTTCAGTGTTGTGGAGGAATAATTCTAGGCAGCTTTTCAGATAATAGCAGGCAAGTGTTGTTGCATCTTTAATGCAAAGAAACCTAACTGCCCAGATACATTAATTTGCTCTTTTTAATATCAATGAAGTAAAATATTCTACATAACTTCCAAAATGGTGACACCGTCTTGTGTCGTGGTTGCTTCTTGCCACAATCATTCCACTGCAAGGGGGATGTTGACACGGGCAGTTGCTACTCCTTGACCTTCAGCACGCGATTTCTCCCAACTATCTTTTGATTACATGTATTGCTTGTATGTCTCTCTTTATAAAGCCAGCATGCAGAAATAGTGGCTTTAGGCCCACATGTATGCGTGGGAATTGAGGCTGTAGTTTATAGGTAAATACTTTCTTGATTGTGTCTGGTGGGCTAACTTAGTTTGTGGTTACCTTGAAGCAAATTCCCAACACAGATGTGTCTGTGTTTTGAGCCACAAGTGAGTTGTATGTATTTTTTATTCTTTATTGTTTCTTTATTGGCTCATGACCGACAGAAACAAGTCCTGGCATTTGCTGGGAAGTGTTTATATGAACAATCCAAAAAATGTGGCGAGATCTTAAGTTTTTATACTTAATGCCAATCAAAATTTGTTGTTAACCAAGACTTTGAAGCTGACTTCAAATAATGGTTTCAAATCCTGGTTGCTGTTGCTTGTGGTTAAGGTTAGCGCCGATTTGTGTCTTAATCATGGTATGGAGCATGAAAGTGGAAGGCAATTTCTCACTGAAGAGTGGAGGAGATGTGTATATCAGCAGCCATTATGGGTAAGTGATCAGCAATCTTATATCTTGAGAATGATTACGCCAGGATAACTATTGGTTTGTTTGTTTGTTTTAGCCAAATGCTAGAAAGGAAGATCTGTTTGGTCGGCCAAGTCAGGGTCTTTATTCGTCTTCTGCTAATAGTGGAAAGTGTTTAATGGAAGTGACTGTGGATAGAAACTGTCTTGAGGTATGAACTCTTGAGCTGCATGTCATAATCCATAACCTGTACTCTTTTCTGTCTGTCTGTCTTTCTCTCTCTCCACATACTGTTGCTACTGCTATCTTGTTAAAAAGTGGGAGCAAAGCACTGTATGCACACCTTTCTCCATATACCACTATTAATACTTTTCTTGGCCTTTTGAAAACTTTGGCCTTATTTAAGCATCAGAAAATAACCATGATACTCATTTTGTGTGTTGGAAAGTCTTTCATGAGGAAGCTATCCTGGCTGTTTCCAGGATCCAGGACACATATGTAATGGGTTCCAGCTTCTGGTGAACAAGGAAATACAGTGGTGCCTTGCAAGACGACATTAATCCGTTCCACATTTAATGCCGTCTAGCGAAAAGGTTGTCTAGCGAGGCATGGTTTTCCATAGGAAGGCATTGAAATTTAATCAATGCGTTCGTGTGGGGGAAAAAGTCCAAAACAACAACAACAAAATCACTTCAGAACAGCAGGAAAAAGAGCGCGAAACAGCTCAGAGCTGGCACCCAGCAAGGAGCCGGCAGCCATTTCCTGCTCTTCTCCGCTACAGCCCCTCCCCCTCCCCGCCTTACAGCTGATCGGCGCTGGTCTTAGAAGTTTCCCCAGGCTTCCCCAGCAGGTAAACAGGCAGTGGAAATGCACCAGGGAAGCCTCTGAAACCTGCGCTTTGCCAGGGTGGGGGTGGATGGCAGGGGCAGGCCCGCCACCACCACCCCTGCACCTCCAGGCAAAGCACGGCTTTCAGAGGTGTATTTTCACTGCTGAACAAGCCCCAGGAGGCTTCTGAAAGCGGCACTTTGCTTTGAACATATCTTGAAAACATTTTTACAAAGTTTATTGATTGCCTCCTTGTTTAGGTTCTTCCAACCAAAATGTCTTATGCAGCCAATTTAAAAAATGTTATGAGCATGCAGAATCGACAGAAAAAGGAAGAAGAACAAAATGTGCCCTCAGAAGAATCAGAGAGTTCAAAACCGGGGCCATCAGCTCATGATCTTGCAGCACAATTGAAAAGCAGTTTATTGGCAGAGATTGGGCTAACAGAAAGTGAAGGTCCACCACTAACATCCTTCAGGTATCAATATGTATTGCATAACTGTGCTTTATTACTGAGGTGGGCAGTCTACAGACCACATGAGGCCCTTGGCCTGATTTTACACAGACCCCAGTGTCCTTTGTACCTTCCTTCCACTTTCTGTGGCAAACCGCAAATCACTGTTTCCATCCTTAACCTATCCAACAGTTTCCACCCTTTAAGGCCTGAAAAGGAGGGGATTTGGCTGCTTCATTTCCTCCTAGGCAGTTAGCAAAGGATGTAGCTTAAGTATTTAGGTATCCTTTTCAGGAGCATGCTTGGAAGTTGCTCAGTCTTGTCTCTGGACAGTTAACTCACTCAGTAGTTGTTTGCCCATCCTCTGTGAAAGGAGAGAAGAAGCAAAAATGGCTGCAGCTATAGTAGTTGGGTACTGTTGGCACTGGCTGTCGCTTGTCATTCAGAGCTTGTGCATTGCTGCATCACAGAGGCCTCTCAGTGCTTTCTGCCAGTTAGCTCTCCAGCTTCCCAGCAGGCACAGAAAGAAACCCACCCCTATCCTCTTTTAAATGTGCACCATCAATGCAGAGGAAGACTGATTTACCACCCAGTCCTCTTTGGTGTCTTTTTAATCTAATTTCCTCCCCAGTTCACATGACACATCCTGGGGTGGTGGGGAAAGAAAACAGATCAACATCAACACTGCAGGAGAAAATTCCTTGGATCTCTTGACCATACTACTGGCAAATCTTAGAGTGCAGATAGCCATGATTCACTTCTTGAAGTGCACAGCAGCAGCAGGCCAAAAGAAAAGTGTAATATAAATGATTCAGTAGCAAATTTTAATCTTTCTGGTCTGGCAGTGGCACGAATATTTATCTTGGAGGTGTTAACCATTGTTGTTTGGCAGTTGAATTGTAGCAGTGAGAGTGTAGTGTATTTATGTCACTAACCTTAACTATTGAATCTTAATTTAAGATTATTCTTAATGGGTACTGCAGAGAAACTGTTTTGCACTTCTTTTGCTTAAAACAAAATTCTCCTACCTGAAAATCTCTGTTCACTATGCTTAAAGGCATCTCATTCACCCCAGCTTCCTTGACTGGTCTTGTTTGCTCTCTAACAGGCCTCAGTGTAGTTTTATGGGAATGGTTATTTCTCATGATATGTTGCTTGGACGTTGGCGTCTTTCTCTGGAGTTGTTTGGCAGAGTGTTTATGGAAGATGTAGGAGCAGAACCCGGATCAGTATGTAGCATCTTTTTCATTGGCTGTTCATATAGATTTGTTCTTTTAACTAATACGTAGCCTTTCATTATAATTAATATATCACTTCTCTTTGTAGATTTTGACTGAGTTAGGTGGCTTTGAAGTAAAGGAGTCAAAATTCCGCCGAGAAATGGAAAAGCTGAGAAATCAACAATCTAGGGATTTAACATTAGAGGTACTGTTCAGTGTTATCTTCCTGATATTAGCTTGACTGAAGAGATTAACTGTTGTGGAATGTATTATCACTGGCTTTACAGTGACATACCCAGAAATTCATGATGTAAAGTGTTAACTTGTATATTTTAGACTAGGTGACAGTACTACTGTACCTAACCACCAGATATATTGCTGGAAATAAGTTTCTTTCTCTGCTCTATAGAGCATCACATTTGTAAAGTGATCTGGTGGATTTAAAGCAGTTGCAAAATAACATGTATTGATATCACTGCTGCCAAGAAAATCACATTCAACTATTTAGCAAGTTAAATTGGGCAAACAGGGAAGCAACAGAGGTGAAGGATTTACAGTGGTGCCTCAACTTCCGAACATCCAGACTTATGACCATTTTCGACCAGCTCCGGCCACAAAATTTTGCTTCGATTTGCAGCTGGAGCTTCGAGTTACAACCAAAAAGGTGGGGAATTCAAATTGCTAACCATTGGTAGGCGAAGAGGCTGCTTCTTTGTAGCTCTTTCACCCCAACAGTTAGAGTGAGTGTGATTGGAGGAGACTTCGGACTGCATGGTAAGGTGCTACTTTTTAAAAACTGTTCTGGGTGGTTATGCAGCATGGTTTTTGGGCTGGGTGGTGAGATTATGTTTCTATGCCGTGATGGGATTTGCGGGATTTGTTTGTTTGATTTTTGGTTCCCCCCCCATTTCCGATGGGTCTTGGGGGATTTGTTTGCTTTTTGGTGTTTCCTCCCAACATTTTTGATGGGTCTTGCGGGGGTTTGTTTGCTTTTTGGTGGTTTTTTAAAAAAACCGTGAGATTATGTTTCTATGCTGTGATGGGATTTGCGGGATTTCTTTGTTTGATTTTTGGTTCCCCCCCCATTTCCGATGGGTCTTGGGGGATTTGTTTGCTTTTTGGTGTTTCCTCCCAACATTTTTGATGGGTCTTGCGGGGGTTTGTTTGCTTTTTGGTGGTTTTTTAAAAAAACCCTTTTCTGATGGGTCTTGGAGGGTTTGTTTGCTTTTTGGTTTGTTTTCCCCCCATTTGTGGGGTTTGCTTTTTGGGGGGTTTCCCCCCATTTCCGATGGGTCTTGCGGGGTTTCCTTGCTTTCTGCTTTGCTTTTTTTGAATTTCCAAAGAATCTTGCATGATTTGCTTGCTTTCTGCTTCGCTTTTTTGCATTTTTGATGGGTCTTGCGCAATTTGCTTGCTTTCTGCTTTGCTTTTTTGCATTTCTGATGGGTCTTGCATGGTTTGCTTGCTTTCTACTTTGTGTGTGTGGTTTTTTTTGCCTTTCCAATGGGTCTTGCGCAGTTTGCTTGCTTTTCTTTTCTTTTCCCCTTCTACTGGAACAGATTCATTGCATTTCTGATGGGTCTTGCAGTTTTTGTGTTTTTTGTTTGTTTGTGGTTTTTGTTGTTGTTGTTGGGGTTTTTCCCCCCTTTGGCTGGAACAGATTAATTGCATTTCAATGCATTCCTGTGGGAAATGGTGCTTTGAGTTACAACCATCTCCCAGAACGGATTAAGTTCGTAAATCGAGGCACCACTATATAATCTGCTTTTATAGAAATTTCTTGTGGTGCTAGTGGCTGTTTTACCACTTCATATCTGCCATTTTATAGGAAGGTTACCATAATTCAGAGGGGGTGACAACACAAATTCAGCATCAGTTTAACAAGATCGTGGGGCTCTTCCAGCCCATGTTTGAGCCTTTTGTTGGGTACAGGTAGGATTTACAAGGATGATAAATTATTTTCTTATGGTGTAATTCAAAGACAGCTGAATATGGCTAGGATGTAAGAATTCACCTCATCAGAGTTCAGTACAAAACATCCCAGGCCTTAGCTGAGGGAGCTTGCTAGATAGAATAATGCAGCTGTATAACATTTTATATTTTTGTATTGCATGGATGTTTCATTAGAAGCTTAAGCTCTTTTTCTAACATGTGTGCTAGGTTGATCGGGATAGAGATCTTCTAATCCAGCAAACAATGAGACAGCTGAACAATCATTTTGGCCGCAGATGTGCTACAACTCCAATGGCTGTGCACAGAGTGAAGGTGACATTTAAGGATGAACCAGGAGAAGGCAGTGGTGTAGCACGGAGCTTTTATACTGCTATTGCACAAGCTTTTTTGTCAAATGAAAAACTGCCAAATCTAGATTGTATTCAAAATGCCAACAAGGGGACACATACAAGTAGGTACCATCATGAACATGCTAAAAACTTCGGGAGTGGGCAAGAAATTATATAGAATCTTGCATTGTTCATGTGTTTTTTCAAGTGCACTTAACAGCTGTAAGGACTATAGATCTGCATTTTATAACAGTCAAATTGAGAATATCAGAATGCTGAACTCTACCTGTATTTACCTATACCAAGTGGACTAAATCTAGTGCCTAACATCAACTATAGTAGATTCCTTGAAGCAGTTACTAAATGGTAAGTCAACACTTACGCAGTTGCAACTGGCCAAATCCTGTTGCTTAGTATAGTACATAGTACTAGAGTAGGCCCATTGAATCAATGGGGATTTTGTGAATTAGCTCCTACAAAAGTTCTGTTGATTTAAATTGGCCTACTTTAACTGTGATTTACTGTGCAAAAAAAAAATCAGTTACAGTGGTGCCTTGCAAGACGAAAATAATTCGTTCCGTGAGTCCTGTCGTCTTGCAAAATTTTCGTCTTACGAGGTACGTTTTCTCATAGGAATGCATTGAAATGTAATTAATGCATTCCTATGGGCCAAAAAACTCTGAAAAAGTCACTTACCAGGTAGGGAGCTGGGGAAGCACCATTGGAGGACTGGCGGGGGTCTCCCATAACCGCGGTCGCTGGCTTCCGAAGCCTCTGAAGACTTCCCCGGCACCATCGGAGGACTGCCAGGGGACCTCTGAAAGCGGAGATTGTGGTTGTGGGGACCCCCGCCAGTCCTCCGATGGTGCTTCCCCAGCTCCCTACCTGGTAAGTGACTTTTTCAGAGTTTTTTGGCCCATAGGAATGCATTAATTGCATTTCAATGCATTCCTATGGGAAAACAAAAATATCTTCGTCTTGCGGAGCACCTAAAAACTCGCAAGAGGCATTTGTCTTGCAAGTTTTTCATTGCCCAAGGCATTTGTTTTGCGAAGTACCACTGTATAGGCCATGTGGTCACTTAAAAACAAACACCAATACAAATATGGAAGCAGGCTTCACGCTAAGGAAGACATCCAACAGCTAATCTGACTGTGAATTTACCAACATTTTCCTTTCCTAGTGGTTAAACCAAATTTTAATCCCAGCTCTCTGATGGACGTCTTGGAAAGGCCCCCAAGTAAAGTTCCCTTTAAGGTGCATATCTGTGCATGTGCCTCTGCTCCCCTCTGCACAGCGCTCTCCTCCACTTACCCATAGTGATTGTTTTCAGCCCCTTTCAGTGGAGTTGCGCACTCGAGAGGCAGAGCTCTGGCCAGTGAGGCTGAAAGTTACAGGGAACGTTGCCCCCAGGCCAAATAGAAATCTCAAGCTTCAGAGGAAGACTATACTGGGAGAAGAGGGAGAGTCAAACTGCTTGGTGATTCTTTGTTGGAAGAGATGGGACATAAATTGTGAGATGTTACTTGAGGAGGAATTTCTACTCCTCACCCCTTCCATCACAAATTGTTTGCATGCTGCTTAAGAATGCTTGCCTGGCATGAACAACTACTATGCCAAGAATCTTTGTGAAACAGCCTGATGAAGATGGATATTACCATTGAAAGCCAGTTATCCATTAATTTTTCATTGGTCCAAAAAAAGGTATCACCTGCTCCTGTATTTGTATTGAGAGGGGGGATTTACTATGCTAAACATACAACTCCTAGCATTCTTTTTAACTGTGTTGGTTAAGGGTTAAAATGACTGGAGAGCACCAGGCTAGGAAAGTCTGGGTCAAGTGGTACAACTAAACAAAAGTTCATAATTACCGTTTAAAATTTGAATATATTGACATTTTCCCAAAATAAATGGGGGGGGCAGGTATTGAACATGAAGGAAAAGGTTATGGCACATTTTTCTAAATCTGGAACTGAGATTTGAAGTTTACTTTTCTTTTCTATTCCCTCAGTATGGAGTTGTGCAGTTTTATGGCCTTTATAGTATTTATGAATGAATGATACCAGAAGTAATTTTTAATAAGTACAGTGGGGTTTCGACTTACAAACTTAATCTGTATTGGAAGGCAGTTTGTAAGTCGAAAAGTTTGTAGGTCGAATCTGCATTTCCTATAGGAATGCATTGAAAACCATTTAATCCGTATTTGCTCTTTTCCGTCCATAGAAACTAATGGGAAACTAATGGGAAGTTGCTATTCCGCCTTCTACCACTAGATGGGGATCTTTTCTTTTTTCTTGGGTCAAGAAAAGTTCAGGAAAGGAGGGGGGAGGCAGGGAACAGTTTTAAAAGCACTTTTGAAATCTTTTTTTTCAACGTGGAAGTCACACCTTAGCCCAGTCTTTGCAAGCCAGAATGCCTGACCCACACAATTCTTCTGCAAAAACACAGACAGGCAGGATTTTGGAAGTCACACCTTAGCCCAGTCTTTGCAAGCCAGAATGCCTGACCCACACAATTCTTCTGCAAAAACACAGACAGGCAGGATTTTGGAAGTCACACCTTAGCCCAGTCTTTGCAAGCCAGAATGCCTGACCCACACAATTCTTCTGCAAAAACACAGACATTTCAAACAAAACACATTTTAAGAACATTTTTAAAACCAGCAACTTTTAAACCAAACACATTTTAACAGGAACAAAGCAACTTTTAAACCAACCAACCCATCCACTCTCCCACCCACACCTTTTAAAACAAAAGACAGGTGGCTTACCTTTTGTTGTCTTCTGGAGGTCCCCTCCTCTGGGTCATCTTCTGCAGGGGGTCCCATGGTGGCAGGGAAGCCTTCGGATCTTTCAAAGGGCTCCCCCCCCGCCGACGCAGGCTTTCCCAGGGTGGACGGGCCTCCCAGGGGAGCGCTTCCCCCGGGAGGCCTGGTCTACTAACCCAGAGGGGAAAGTTTGGCAGACTGGGCCTCCCAGGGGAGTGCTTCCCCCGGGAAGCCCGGTCTACTGCCCAAGGAAAGCTTGGTAGACTGGGCCTCAGCTTTCCCAGGCAGTAGACCAGGCCTCCCAGAGGAAGCCCTCCCCTGGGAGGCCCAGTCTACCAGGCTTTCCTGGGCACTATCGGCGGCAGTGGGGGGACCTCCAAGAGGCCTCCCATGGCCACGGGGAAGGCCTCTAGACGTCCCCAGCAGCGGCCACAGCGGTGGCGGGGACCTCGAGATGCCTTGTAGGGCTTCTCTGCCGCCATGGAAGGCATCGTGGAGGTGCCCACCACCACCGATAGTGCTTCGGAGCCACTATCGGCGGTGGGAGAGCCTCCGAAATGCCTCCCATCACGGCGGAGAAGCCCTGGAAGGCATCCCAGAGGTCCCCGCCGCCGCTTCCCCTGGGAGGCCCGGTCTACCAAGCTTTCCCCGGGCAGTAGACCAGGCCTCCCGGGGGTTCGTATGTCGATTTTCCGTTCGCAAGTCGAAATGGAATTTTGCAGACGGAGAAGTGTGTAAGTCGAAAAGTTTGTATGTAGAACCGTTTGTAAGTCGAGACCCCACTATATCTCTTTTCCTTTCAGGCCTAATGCAGAGATTGCGGAACAGAGGAGAGAGAGATCGGGAAAGGGAGCGTGAGAGAGAAATGAGGAGAAATAGTAGTGGTTTGCGAACTGGTTCTCGGAGAGACAGAGATAGGTAAGTCATTCTTTTTATTTAAAAATCTGGCATATTTCAGTCAAAAATGTTAGCAGTTTAAAATCACAGCAGAAGATTTTCTCCTTATGAAGGCTTGGACCAGAAGCTCCAGCGTAGTAAGACACACAGGAAGACACCAGGAATAAGCGCAGAGAATATTTACTTGCTATATATATTTACATAGTGCTCACAGAAACATAAGGATTCAGCAGTCAAACGGACAGAATTTAAGCATGACAGTCAAAATAGAACTGTGAATGGCACATTATCCAGCCTTTTAATTTATACTACCTCCAATCAATCAAATTAATGGGTCACCTAATGGTAGATAATTCCACACAGCTCTGTCGTTCTTGTCACATAGGCAGTGACTGAATAACTCCACCTGCACTACCCAATTGTTAATTACATTTCTTCTTCTTCTTCTTAAAGACCTAACAAAAACTGGCTGCAATAGCAATCTGTTATTCCCTAATAGGCAAGCTTTTGCTTTCTAAAATAAATGTTGCTCAGAACCAAAGCCTGAAAGTAATTAAAGGAATTCCTGTTATATTGATACACAAATACAGCACAGCAGAACAAGTGTTTGATCCTGGAATATAACCCCACGGTACACTTTACCTAAGTCTTTTGCAGAACAAAGACAATTTCTGATGATGTGTTTTTTTTTAAGGGACTTTAGAAGGCAACTGTCGATTGATACCAGACCATTTCGACCTGCATCAGAAGGGAATCCTAGTGATGACCCTGATCCTCTTCCAGCACATCGACAGGCCTTGGGTGAAAGGCTTTACCCTCGTGTACAAGCAATGCAACCTGTAAGCTTAGCATATTTCTCTATCTAATGCAGTGAAAATTGTTACGTTGTGTTAATCTAGTTAATTTCGGGGTGCTTACACATATCTTGCACACTTTTCCCATTATAGTTGTGTAATCGGGCAGCGATTGCAGTAGGCAGGACTAAAGCAGAAGTGGATGGTTCATTTGGATCTCTCTAAAGTGTATATGAGAAAATGTGGGTAGTCTCATCCACTTTCTTTTAAAGCTTCCATTTTTCCTAAAAATAGTTATGTGTATATGTGTGGATAGATGCTCACCTTATACAAAATTAATTTTTCTGGGGAGGTTGCAGTGCATTGGGAAGAAAGTGTTGTGAGGTTGCCCCTCTAAACAGAAAATAACCTTGGAAAACAGGCCCAGCAGAGAAGCTTTTACAAACAGGATACCAGCCACACCAGTGATGGGTGGGCTGCAGGTTAGAACTGGCCAGGAAGTTTCCAGTTTCCTACCCATTGTTTTACCATATAGGAAGCCCACAAGCATCTGAATGCTTCATGTATGATGGGCTCTGGATGCAGAGTAGATGATTATAATTATGAAGCAATTTACAAAAATTGGAAATACCATTTCTTATTTTCAGGCATTTGCAAGCAAGATCACAGGCATGCTTTTGGAATTATCCCCTGCTCAGCTGCTTCTCTTGTTAGCCAGTGAAGATTCCCTTCGGGCAAGAGTGGATGAAGCCATGGAATTGATTATTGCACATGGAAGGTAATTTACCATTAGTGAACTTAACATTAATAAATTTCTCCCCCAGGAGAAACTTTGAAGAAATGTATTTGTGTGTCCGCTAGTGGGGTTAAATGTTAATTTGCATCATGGCTCCTTCTCAGAGTTCCTCTATGTTAGGAAAGGTTACGATTTTTAGCTTCCCCTGCCCCCCTTGGCTAACATCTAGACCTTCCATATGACGTTGCTGAAAAAAGTAAGTGTTAAGTAGTGAAAGAATAAGCTATGTATTTTGCATTATTTTTAGTGATGTTTAATATGTAATTTATATGATTGAAAGTGGATTTTTAATGCTTTAAATTGAGCGCTCAGTAAAAAATGTAATATAAGTAGGTGAAAATATTTAGAAGCCGCATTGCCAATGTAATTTGACTTTTATTTGTTTGTATCTCTGTGAAAAATAATCAATTGCACTTCATTTGTTACAGTTATAGAATTCCTAGTAAGGTCAGAAAAACCTTGCTCATATTAAGCAGAGATTAGAATTGAGAAGTTATCATTTGTCATTTTAGTCTAGTTATGCAGAGAGTGTAGTGAGAGTGGCCTTGAACTAAATCAGTTGGACTGACAAATCAGTTTAAAGTTTAATTTAATGATGAAAAAGATATGCCGTAGAAACAGTGAAAATAAAATCTAAAATAAACAAAATACTGTATTAAAAAAACAGAATAAATGAATCAACTACCATGTGATTATAACAAAGTTGAAAAAAATGTAATATCCTGTGTTGATCAAGCTGACAATTGAATATTTGTCAGGAATCTGGGATCCAGTAGTGGACTTCGCTAGCAGAATGTAAGATTTCAATGACATTGGGAGAAAATTAACCCCTTCTCCTTTATATCCCCCCAAACCCCTCTCTAGTGGCTAGGAAATCTTCAAAAGCCAGTTTTCAGGAGATATGCAAGTGGAGCAAGAATAAGTTCAGTTGCGCTTGTACTTCACCAGCAACGTAACATTGGATTTAGGGCATCAAATAAAAAATCCGCTGTGGGTCTTCTTAAATTATGTCTTGTTCAGTTTCAAAAATTCTTCTAGAATCCTAGATATTAGTGTAAAATACCAGACAAAGTAGTATCCAAATAGACCCTTTTAGGAGTGTTGGAATCCTAACAGTCTCTCTCCTTGGACCACGAAACCCCTCTGTTAGAACAGTTTCACTGGCTGCCACCCTGTTTCTGGCCCAATTCAAAGTGCTAGTTATGACCTAGATAAAGCCTTATTGCCGCCCAGAGTAGACCTTTGGTCTAGATGGGTGGGGTAGAAATTGAATAAAATAAAATAAATCAAAAATATATATTGTGTCCAGACTATCTGACTGTATCCCCTCATAAAACCCTCCTTGGACTTAAGATCTTCTGGGGAGGCCCTCTTCTTGGTTCTGCTACCCATGAGGCTCCTTCACCTCTTTGAAGACAACTGGAAACATTTTTGTTCAGGCAGGCTTGTCATGATTAGTCCAGACTGCTTCACAACCTTTGTCCTTTTCAATTTTAGTTGAGAGCTATGAAAACAGACTCTCTTATCATAATTAAAAATTAATTCTGTTAATTTTAATTAGGGCTCTTATTTACCACTTAAGAGCTAGACGTCTTTGCCAAGTAAAACCTTCTAGGCATTGTCTGTATTTGTCCAGTCTTAACATATGTGCCAAAAGGTGAGAATAGCTTCTCTGTTCTTATTTTCAAATCAGAAGATACAGCCATGACTGGTTTGTGAACCATACTTCCAAACTGTAAGTTCATATGAACCCACATCTCCACAAGCCCTTCCTTTTTTTCTTTTCTTTTCTTTTTTTACAATACACATCAGGTTCAGCAAGACCTAACCAGTGCTGTTCACCCATATAATACAAAATGGTCACTAAATGTGCTAGGAAATGGTCTGAATACATGTGATGCAGCAAACTTTGCTGAAACCAGTCAGGTGTTAGAGCATGGATGGAAAACCACCTGGAAATCATTGGTATGCTGCCTTGACCTCTGTGGAAGAAAGATGGAGTATAAATGTAATGTTATGGGTTGGATTTAGCGCAATTCCATGCATCCTTTGGGCAACTTGAGTGTGGTGCATTTTCTACTGGCAGCCACCCTCTTCAGCTGCAGTTTTAATTACATTTGATTCTGATTTCTCTTCTGTTCTATTAAAGGGAAAATGGAGCTGACAGTATCCTAGATCTTGGTTTGTTGGATTCATCTGATAAAGTGCAAGTAAGATGCCTGCTTTAACTGTTACTTTATTTGCTTGACATTGAAGTACTGTATATAGAAAATACTGTGAACTATCTGAGGGGACAAAATGGGCTCACCAAGAAGATTTATTGTGTCTGGTATAGGGATAATCAAACTGGACTGTGGGTGTTATCCAGTGCCACAGGTTACAGAAATAAGACAAAAAAAAAGGTTGAAAAACCTCTGCCCACTGAAGGTTATGCTGGAAAAGAGCATACCAGACTGAGTCTCTAAACAACAGCATTCAAGATCACAATATTGTGTTGCAGCTCCCGCTTATAACTTGTGTTTGATTTTATTAATGAAACAGATGGTAACTTTTTTTACAACATGGGTGACTTGCCTTATAATTTCTATGCTCAGATTTGGCACTCAGGCCACCTCTGAGTGCTCACTCTTGGTGTAGTAAATAGGACAGATGGGATAAGATGAAGATCATATTCTGTGATGAAGCTAGAAGTTGACACTGGGGTTTGTTCATGTAATTTGTTGCCATACTCATTGGGAGTGAGTCTCACATAATCACCATTCAAAGTCCCCTGAGCTCATTCATTAATACATCTTTCTGGTGCATGGGGGAGAATAAAGATATGGAACACATCAGCATAAGTCTATTCCTCATCTTCTGTCTTCATTCCGAAAGTGCTTGAAAGGACTACATCTAAAACTAGATCTAGTCCATATTTAAATAGTTTCACTGCATCAGTGTTAGCATCTAATTTACTTTTTTCAGTTGTTGTATCTTTGATATAGTTCTTAATAGGGCCATAGCCAACATCCCTTTTAATTCTGTATTTCTTCAAAAGGAAAATAGAAAGCGACATGGGTCTAGTCGCAGTGTTGTGGACATGGAGTTGGATGATACAGATGATGGTGATGACAATGCACCACTATTCTATCAACCTGGAAAGCGTGGTTTTTATACACCAAGGCCTGGCAAAAACACAGAAGCCAGGCTAAATTGTTTCAGAAATATTGGCAGGTAAGGTGTTCTTTTGATTTGCATATTTTGCAAAAAAAAATCTATAAAAGAAGACAATGGGTGTAAAGGAATTAAACACCTGTCGTAGAAGTTCAGCTAAAATTGGAAGATAAGGCACTACTTGTTTGTTTTTATACTTTTCTTTTGACTTGTTTTCAGTCATTCTCTTTTAAAATGTTATTTTCTATACTGTTTTTCAGAATTCTTGGGTTGTGCTTGTTACAGAATGAATTATGTCCCATCACATTAAATCGGCATGTCATAAAAGTTCTTCTTGGCAGAAAGGTAAACATATATATAGAGGGGGGGAGAGAATGAGAGAGAGATATGCATAACATCAGAGTTTGCAAAGGGTTTTTTGAGGGGAAGGGATTGTTTTTGTTTTGTTCTTGAGGTACAATTGCTATGTTGTGTTATGTGACGTTAAATCGCCCGTGACTTATGGTGACTCTATAAATGATTGATCTCCAAAATGTCCTGCTCATCTCCTGTAAACTCAGGACTGTGTCTTCCTTTATGGAGTGTCATCATTTTAAAACTGCAAAGCTGGAAAGGGACTCTTGGTTATTATATTTTCCGGAGAATCTTGCCTTCTCATGATGTGCCCAAAGTATGATAGCCACAGTTTTGTCATTTTTGCCTCTAGAAATAGGCTTGATTTGCCCTAGTATCACTTGTTTGTCTTTCTGGTGGTCCAGGGTCTCTGCAGTGCTCTCCTCCACACCATAGTTTAGCTAAATCAATATTTTTTCTGTCAACTGTCTTCACTATCTAGTATAACTGCTATGCCCATGCTGATTGAAGTATTGTGGGAGTTATTGTTCAAAAAGATAACTTTTCCAAAGCCTGAATACTACATCACAGTAAATGTAGGACTTCAGTGTGGTTTAATCAACATTGCTTACATGTCTAAAATGTTGGGCCAGATTACAACAATCTTGCCCTTACGCCATCCGGGTTTCAGTTTAAAGTTAGGTGCTGCTTCCACCCCTAAGTAGAAAATCACTCAAGAGTTCTCTGTTAGAAGGGAGGAAGAGGAAGCGGACATCAGGCATCAATATCCTTCTTGTGTTTCTGACTTTGGTGCTGATACTCCTATAGTTTGTTTAAATCATAGTTTTCTGGTTTAAAGTGTAATTCAAACAAGATGTGATGTCAGCACCATAGCTGGGGAAGAGGGGAGGGCAGGATATCTAGAGTGGCCACATAGCTTTCTCTTTTGTTAAGCTGGAGTATCTGGCTGTAGAGCCAAGGTTTTGGAACACAAATCCCCACTGTTCCTTCTAGGAAAGAGGCAATACAGTGGAGCCTCGCAAGACGAATGTAATTCGTTCCGCAAGGAGCACTGTCTTGTGAAAAAAATCGTCTTGTGAAAAGCAGCTTCCCATAGGAATGCATTGTAATGCATTCCTATGGAAACCTCGCAAGACAGATGAAATTTTTTCATCTTGCGAGGCATCGGTCTTTGGGGGGGGGTGTCTTGCAAAGCATGGCCATAGAAGAAGCCGTCTTGCGAGGCACCATAGTGATCGAAAAAACCATTTGTCTTGCGTTTTTTTGTCCCGTGAGGCGTTCATCTTGCGAGGCACCACTGTACAGTATCTGTAGCCTTGGGCAAGCTGCAGTATCCTAGAGCAGTGGTTTCCAACATTGGGTAACCCAGATATTCTTGGACTGCAACTAAGAAATCTCAGCCAGCAAAACTGGTTGTAAAGACTTCTGGGAATAGTAGTCCAAGAACATTTGGGTTATCCAAGGTTGGAAACCATTGTCCTAGAACATTACCAGAAGAAGTGCCTAATAAACAACTTCTGGTTTGTCTATAAGTAGGAAACCCTAAGAATCGCCACAAGTCAGAACCCACTTGACAGCACACAGTTGTTACTTTATTGATCTGAGATCATTACATCTGAACCACCTGGTCCAGTTTGTTTCTTTTCATCAGGGGGTGGAAGATACCAGTTTATCTTCATCCTCAACAAATTGCCTATGATGGACACCATGCTTGTAAAAGCTCCACACAATACTGTGCTCAGGACAGTAACTAAGCAGTGAACTGATAATAAAAACTCAAAAAGCAGTTTTACACCTGTACTTTATTTTCAGGTTAACTGGCATGATTTCGCTTTTTTTGATGCGGTTATGTACGAGAGTTTGCGTCAGCTTATCCTTGCTTCCCAGAGTACAGACGCCGATGCTGTGTTTGCAGCAATGGATTTAGCATTTGCAATAGATCTATGCAAAGAGGAAGGTGGAGGACAGGTAAGCATAAAATACAGTTTAATGCTGCCTATTCAGAATCAGTCACTCCCTTTCCTATTAAAGGAATGAGTACTTCAGAAATCTAAATGGCAGATTTCATAAACTAAGAAGAACTGAATTTTGCTTTGAAAATACAGTACATTTCCATTAATTGAATGTTGTGAATCTTTTAACAAGTCTTTTAAAAAACTGTGTTGTCATATTCTGGTTGTTCTAGGTGGAACTTATCGCCAATGGTGTAAATATACCAGTCACTCCTCAAAATGTTTATGAATATGTCCGGAAATATGCAGAACACAGAATGTTAGTAGTTGCAGAACAGCCTCTACATGTAAGTGATGTGAAATTCTTTTCTAGACCTGATATAATTGAAAGGCCGTAATGGTGCATGATTTGTTTCAAATTATACTGTCTCTTAAAATGGATAAACAAAGAGCAAGTTCTGTGTAGACCATGGAGTTACAGAGGCTTAGGAATGTTAGAGCACTATCAAATCTGCAGTGAGCACAGAAATCTGCTGGTGTAGGAAGGGGAAATTTTTGTGTTTTTCTGGTGGTACCTTACCACTGATTCAGGAGGAAGGGAAATGATAAAATTCACACTAGTGTTTGAATAGTGTTAGATTATGAGGAATATTTAGGACTTGTTAGAATGAAATGAAATCGATGCAGGAAGGCGGTGTCTGCTCTGTATTATTAGAGAGGATTTCATTTTGTGTGCAAGTTTAATGTTTTGAAATTAAAGATTAAAAAGCTGTAAAGGAATGGTAACCTGCAGGAGAAGACCCCTACATTGACAACATTTTGTTTGTACAATGGCCAGGAACATCCTCTAGTCCCAACGTCTTAGTGGTTTGACAATATTGGTGCAAAATAACAATTAGGCAGGAAAGAAGGAGCCACTCAGGACTGGAATAAAATGTCTTCTCTGCCTGCCTCAGATCCCATTACCTGCTGGACAGGGAGGAACTGGATGCCCATACTGGCTCCAGTTGTTCTTTCAGCCTAGAGGAAGGATAAAGTGCTGATTTGGGGAAACCTGGATAGCTGTTGATGTCATAGTTTGATTTTGAGGGATAGGGTCGGGTAAGATGTGACTTTAGCTTTTATTTTCTGAAGCAGTTTGAAATACTTCAAATCAGGTTTCCACAGATTTTGGCTGGTCTTAGTGGGCAGGCCACAAGCCATAATTGTCAAGGCTTTGTTCCTTGCACTTTGCCCCTTCCTGAGCTCAGGAACAATTCCCATCTCCTCATTTCAGCTTAGAAGCCTGGCATAATTAGAAGGATGCTTCTTTCTTTCTTTCTTTTGAACTTTGTTTGGTTGAAAGGGATTGTTTTATTACTGTGTTGCTGAGATATCCAGATACACTTGGAAATTCAGTGGCCTAATGTCTCTAATGTAAAGCACTACCAATGATCTTCCAGCTTACCCAGTGTGGTGTGGTGGATAGAGTAGTGGATGGACTACAACTTAGGAGGCCGGGTTTTGTATCCTCACTCAACCATGGAAGCTCACTAGGAGTGTGGAATTGTTAAAACCATTCAATATCTCCCTTACCTCAAAAGCCCTATTAAAGCCATCATAATTCAATTCCAACTTGGTAACATAGTGTTCTTCCTATACAGATACAGCATAGTGGTGGGGTCACAACCGGAGATTCTTTCATTCTGCTTCACAGTGTGTGGTAGAATATTTGCCATGGCAAACAGAATTGTGTACAACCATTCGAAATTACTCAGAAGGTAGTTCTTAACCTTTCCCACTGTTTAGTAACCAGCCACTATATATTTCTCATTAGTGCTGAAATTACAATTTATATTATGGCCTTTTCAGGCAATGAGGAAAGGTCTGCTGGATGTACTTCCAAAGAATTCATTAGAAGACTTGACGGCAGAAGATTTCAGGCTTTTAGTAAATGGTTGTGGTGAAGTAAATGTGCAAATGCTGATCAGCTTTACTTCTTTCAATGATGAATCAGGTATATTTTTGCTCATTATTTATTGCACAATAATAGTAGTATTCTGGTTTCTTCATCTGCATATTTCTGTTTTTAATTTTCTGTTGATTTTATAACTTTATTGTAAGTCATATTGTATCCAAATTCTCGGAAAACTGGGGGTGAATCAGAGAATTTTCATAAATACATAGTGCCAGGTCTAACATTTTAGGAGCTGAGTTTTCTGTTCATTTCCTTCCCCTGTATCCCTTCTCTCCCAGTTCTGATTCAGAATAGCCTCACTCATTGAAAAACATACAGATGACACATGAAAATCTACATGGAATGCAAGAATCTATTCTACCAGTAGTGTTTATTCCAATCATATACATGGATGATACTCCCAGCACAACCAGAATATTTCCATTAGATACACTTTTCATGGACATACTATGATCTGTTGCTCTTGTTTTAATGTATTTCACTTTTCCATAGGAGAAAATGCTGAGAAGCTTCTGCAATTCAAGCGTTGGTTTTGGTCCATAGTTGAGAAAATGAGTATGACTGAAAGGCAAGATCTAGTAAGTGTTCTTTCTCTTGCTCAGAGTTAGTTCATACTTCAGAGGTTCTAGATCCTTTCAGATCTGTGGTGTGGAGCAAGGATGTGTTCCTTTAACTAACCACTTATACTTTACCATTTTGATGTGGATCCAAAGCATTAATTCAGCCCACCCAAGACAGCTTTGGACATTGAGTTGCAGTAACAGCTCATGCTGTACTGCAACCTTATTTTGAAAAATTGAGTTTCAAAAGCAATTTATGGTACGCGTGAAGTCTGTATACAGAAGGGGGAAAGTGAACAACAGGCCCCAATGAGCATCCCATTTTGATTTCAGCTCTCCTTAATTTTATACTAAATATCGCATCAGCCATTTATACTGGGCAAACAGGCTTCTCTTTAAAGCAGAGACTGTGTGGTGACAAATGTAAAGTGCAAAACACTAAGAAACTAGTAAGTAGCATTTTAGTTTTCTAGACAGGGCTGTCAACTTCAAGATTTACACTTATTGTCGAATCACATGAATGTATATAATGCTAGTTGAGGATGTGTTCATAAAGACATTGGACTGTATTAACCTAAGGCTTAACTGGATATAATGGTTTCTTTGCACACTAATATTTCTGTATAATTTTAATCCTTACTGACCAGGCAGGGGTTTTCAGGTTTTGTATTTTTTTTTCCAAAGTATTTTGAACATGTTTACAAAATGCCTGCCATATGGAGATAGTAAAAATAGTTTCCCCAGATTGTATTGCAGCAGCAAAACACTCATGTGATTGGAAAAGCAAATAGGCAATATTAGAAGGCAGACAAGGCAACCCACAATTTTCTGATTGACTGAAGCACCTGTTTCACAAAAAGGCAAATGTGTTTGCCCAGATTACATCTACACAAATCCTTCAAAAATTCTAAAATTAAGTTTGATAATGGTATTTCCCACAAATAAAAACCCTTTCTCCCTTCCTTTCCTAACTCTGACTCGCTCCCCACGATCCAGAGATGGGATTTTCTTCCAGCTTGAAAGCAGTGGTACTCTGCCTTCAGCTTCCTCCACCTTCTTCTTTTCCCTTCAGAAGCATGTTCAGTCAGTAAAGCAGGGAAGAAGCTCTTCTGCTTTCTAGACATTCAGAGTAAACAAATGTTTTCAAATTACAAACAAAAATGAAACATAGGGTCAGGGGAAGCAATTGGGAGAAGCAGACTTTTGAAGGCACTAATTGGGGAAACCATGGGACAATGTGTTTGTGTATCCCACATTGCTGACCCCCACCTTCATGATCTGCAGAAGGATATGCTGTACAAAAAACATAAGATTCACTTGCTGTCAGAAATCTGTTTTTCTATATTCTTTGAAGTGAAGTTTGCATCTAAAGCAGGAATAGGAATTATGTGGCTTAAGAAGGTATTTCCTCAGTCTCAGAAATGCAGAATTGAATCTCCATTTGTGAAGGTTCATTTGAGTGGGCTTCCTTCTCTCTTAATAAACCACAAGACTCAGTCCTTTCAAACGGATTTGTAGTATTTATTACTTCAACTAACGGAACTTCAACATTAACACATTCACTTGGTAATGTCTCTTGTTCGAGCAACGGCTCTCTCAGGGGCGACCATAAATTCTCTTCAAACAGGTTAACCGGGTTTAAATTCCAGGGTCCAGCAATTACCCTCTCAGGGTCTGTTGTTACCAGTTCAGGTTCCATTTGACTCAGAAGCGGGTTTCCTCATCCCCAGTCCATCCCCACCATGGGGATCCCTCTCCCTGCGAGTTGCCCCAAGATCCAGAAAACACCCCATCTTCCACAACTCTTCGTTCTCTCTGGCAATGGCTTCCTTTTCTTCTCTAAGCTTTCTCCTCCATTCCCGAGTCTCCGACTCACCCCAGTATGAAGGTCTTTGAGGCAACCCTTTCCTTCTACGGCTTTCCGCCTCAGCCTTGGGAACACGCACCTGTTCCCACTTCCCCGTCCAGGGGTCCTGCATCCACAAAGTTTCCCAACCACCTGGGATGTTGTCCCTGTTCTCTCTTACATCCCCTATCCCCGCCTCTACCAGAGCCCGCCCCTTCTCCTCTTTTCTCACTATTTCAGGTCCTGACAGTGTGGCCACACTTAACCCTTTCAGTTCCCTTTCTAAGTCCTGGGTGTCCAGCGCACGAGACATGGTCTTTTCCATCTGGTTCTTTTTGTCTAAATCCCAGATGTCTACACTTTGGTCTTTCTGTCTGGGTGGAGTATGTGATGGAGTGGTTTGAGTCTCCTTAGATGTTTTAGGGAGAGAAGGCACTCCTAGAAAGACCTCTTGTCCCTGGTCTTTCCCTTCACACCATTTAATGGTAAACTGTCCTCCTGTGGATGTTTATGGCGCATGGATAGTTAGATGCTGGTGAAAAACTGGACAAAAGTGGACACTAGAACTGTTGTGGATGTGTTCATTGAAGATGGTAACAGGTTTCTTTTCCTTGTTCTCTTTAGGTTTACTTCTGGACATCCAGTCCTTCCTTGCCTGCTAGTGAAGAAGGATTTCAGCCTATGCCATCAATCACAATAAGGCCACCAGATGACCAACACCTTCCTACAGCAAATACGTGTATTTCTCGCCTTTATGTCCCACTTTATTCTTCTAAACAGATTCTCAAACAGAAATTGTTACTCGCCATTAAGACCAAAAATTTTGGTTTTGTGTAGAGTATAAAATATGAATTGCAATGTAATTATTACTAGCTAATTTTTGTAGATTTTCCATTTGTCTATAAAAGTTTATGAAAGGCAATGCTGTCATACTCCCCCTGCTGGTACTGCAATGACTAAATGCAACATTCCCGTTTGCAATCCAAAAGCCGAGGAAGTGCTAGAGATGTTAGACTGTAACCATTTGCTGGTTCTCAGTGTCTTGGTCAAACTCCAGCCAAAGACGACAGCAGAACAATATGAATTACACTGTGATTTAGCTTTTTGTGGGAGGGGGAAAATATAAAATGTTCTTTAAAAAAATTCACTGCTGCCTTTGTGGAAAGTGTTTCAGCAAAGGTTCTTGTATAGAGGGAATAGGGAATTTCAAAATAAAAGATGAAGTATGTTCTGTGTTTTATTTTAACTTTTTTTAAAAATTGTGTTTAATTTTGTGGTTGGCTGCAGTTGTGCATCATGTATATTCAATTTATAAAAAGTTCTTGCCACTTAGAGCTAAGAGTTGAAATCATTCACATTTGCTTACGAAAACCACTGCCGCTGCAGTTTTTGTCTATTTGCATTGGACTCTGGTACACTAAATACCACCACTGATGTTTTGCATGTAATCTGTATACCTTATTGAGGATCCTTTTGTACATAAGAAAAGAAACCAATGCACAGTATTTAATCCTTCACAATCAACATTTTTGTACCCCTCTTTCCTTGAGCAGTCAGTCTTGTTCCACTTCCAACTCAAACCTGGACACTTGTTCTGCTGTGTCTCAAGCTGTTTACATTTTCAGCCTAGGCACTACCTGATAACTGTAAAATGTTTATAAGATCATGATTATTTGAAGGTACATTTTGAAGAAATTTAATGTTCGTGAGCAGCTTAACTACTTTTGTATCTAGCCTTTTTTAAGTATCTTGTTACAGTTTTTAATAAATTACAGACAAAGTACAAAGTCATACTGAAGAAACAATAGTTTTTATTTACATAGCCTGTATATTTTTAGTTATCACGACACACCACAGTGGCCCACAAGCCCTTCTAAATTTTGTAAATGGCAATCACAAAGCAGAAGCAGTTCAGGCCACATTTTACAGTTAGCAGAAAACCCACAGTTGCCTGGGCTCAGCAAACTCACTTGTTTTCAACAGACTCTGTGGAGGGGGACAATGTGGCTTGCTTAGTCAGCACAAAAATTTTGCCAAATGTTTTATGGTGTGCGTACAGAGTGCTTGTTTTTTATTTTTAAAAGTGCTCATTTTTGGAGCATATGAGAGTGTGTCCAGTTAATTTCAGTATGCTAGGCTCTTATTTTGTTGAATATTGGAGTGTATGAAAGAAAACGACTGCATCATTGCATGTTGACCATTTTGTAGTAAACATTAGTCAGGATTTAATTTTCCAATGATGGATTTGTTATCCTACATCTTTCCTCTCTTTCGGGGGTTGTTGGCATGGGGGAAATTGCACATCACTGAGAACTTGCCTGAATTTCTGCAAAAGTGGACCATTCTTCTTAACTTTCCCTTGCCAACAACTTTTGCGCCTTTCTCTGCCTTAGCTTAAAGATAGAATGGCCTGCTTCTGTAGGACACCAGACTCTGTGGCAGGCATTGGGGAGCTTTCTAGAGCACAACTGTGACCTCCGTATAGTGGAGACTCTTAAAACTCTTCTCTTAAAGCTGACTATGCCAGACTTGTATAGTTAAAAAATAATAACATCAGGTGCTTTTTTGAATAGTTTTTCCCCCTGCATGTTTTGATAAAATAATTCATGTCCCCAGTGGCAGCCCTTATAGGGAGAAGGATGGAGTTTCTCGATGTGTTCAGTGGATATTAAGTTTTGGATTCTATTTCTGAATCTGCTACTGGTTAATGGCAACTTTCATAATGTCTCTCAGCCTCTTACTCACATTCTGTAAAATATTGATAGCTACCTACCTCACAGAGGTGTTGAGGCTTAATGTTGTTAATCTCCTCCACAGCCCTCTTATGAAAGGCTATGTATATTGTAAAGTATTGTTATATATATAACCTGTGTGTATATATAGCATATCCATATGTTATATGTATAATTTTGTATATAACATAGCTGTTTTACAACTATCACAGCAGGATGAACTGCAGTTAAAAAGCCCTGTACAGTAGCTTAATAACATACAGTATACACACATAGAGATGCGCGTGCACAAACATAAGCAAAACTTTGCTGATACTCTAATCGAAGGGGAAAGCTAGAATGATTTATGCTGTCATTTACTTAAGATGTATATGTAGCTATTTAAATAGCTTTTCTCTGTATATTTGAACAGTATCAAGCTTTTAATAAGAAATGTTTATTAAAATTGTACACCGCATTGCTGTCTGACTTAAGTTAGTTTCTTTTAAATATATGATAGATTAAAAGGAAAGTTAATAGAAAAGCTTTAGTAGTGTTGAACACTTAAGTCTTGAAACAGGTGTCTAGGACAATTATTTCTTTTTTTTAAAAAATCATTATAACTGCTGTCATACAGTGCTGGTTTATATAGCTCTTCCTGAAATTTTCTGACTTTGGAAACATTTGGGTTTGTAAGTCTGTTCCTCAGAAGTTACTGAGCTTGGTGAAGTAAAAATACATGTATGTTGCTTTACCCTATTGATTAACCCTGCTGACTTGAGGATTCATGAATCTCTAGATTGTACATGTATTATGCAGTTACATTATTTTGATATTATTTTCATTGGGATGGCTCCATCTACAGAGTCTGAAGAAGAAGCAATTTGAGGATAATAGAAATTGAATGCGATGGGGACATTTCATATAGTAGTTATTTCTGACTGTCAGTATGATTTGTATCCTTTAGTTTACAAAGAGTATCCTAGTAAAAATTAAAAGTATAAATTCATGTTAGGCAAGAAACAAAAATGAAAAATAAAGAAGACAGAAACATTGCAGCACTTTAAAGATTAACTGCCATATTTTATTATGACCTTTGGTAGACAAGTACAATTCAGAAGTGAGAGGGGTCTGTATGGGAAATATTGATACAGTGGTGCCTTGACTTACGAACTTAAATCCATATTGGAACAGTGACTGTAAGTCAAAATGTTCGTAAGTCAAAGCACCATTTCCCATAGGAATGCATTGAAAACCGATTAATCTGTTCCGGCCGAAGGAAAAAAAGACAAAAAAATTAAAAACAAAACACTGCAAGTCCCATGCTGGGACTGCAAAAAAACAAAAAGAAAACAAATCCAAAAATAAACATTGGAGCAAGTCCCACGCTGGGACTGCAAAAAAATAATAATCAAAAAACAAGCAAAGCACACAAACATACCCGCAGCCCAATCCTACCCTCCAAAACCCACCCAGAACTTTTTTTAAAAGAAAAAAGCACCTTCGGAGGTCTCCCAGGCCTTCGCCGCCGCCATGGGAGACCTCCCAGGGTGGCGATCAGCAGCAAAAGCACCTTCGGAGGTCTCCCAGGCCTTTCCCACTGCCATGGGAGACCTCCCGGGGTGGCGATCGGCAGTGGCAGGGGACCCCCAGGAGGTTTCCCATGGCAGCAAGGAAGCCCCGGGAGGCCTCCGAAGATGGCGATAGAGGCAGCGCCAAAAACCTGGGAGGCTGAGCCTCCCTTTCCTTAATCGTTGGGGTGAAAGAGCTACAAAGAAGCAGCCTCTTCACCACCAACGCTTATGTTTTTTGAATTTCCCACCTTTTCCCCCTGCCTTTTTCCATTTGCAGGTCAAAGGTCCAGCCACAAGTCAAAGCAACATTTTGGAGCTGTTCGTAAGTCAGAATGTTCGTATGTCAGGGGGTTCATGAGTCAAGGCACCACTATACAGTTAAATTTGACCTACCTAAAAAAGAGACTGTTTCCTGGGCACAACAAATTGAAGGGCGTTCATAAGTCAAGGCACCACTATACAGTTAAATATGACCTACCTAAAAAGAGACTGTTTCCTGGGCACAAGAAATTGTAGTATTTCACATATGACAATGACCATTAAGATTCATGTGGCTACTCAGGTCCCCTTCCAGGAAGCATTGTTCAATAAATAATGACAATGGTTGATGGCTTAATTAATCCCAGATATAGATAACAAAGAGGAATAACATAATATAATTTCCAGTGAGGCTTGTGAGGTGGAACTGGTGAGTTAGTAAGGAAATATAGCTGGGAATTACAGCAGATGCAGCATTTTAGATTTAATAATGGCCTACAAATCCTTGGCTTATATTGAGTCCATTGGCATTGCCTTGATTTTATGTAAGTTGTTTTGTGTACAGTATTTTTTAAAGCTAAAAATGTGTGTGTGTATTAAAATACATGCTAAGGAAAGGTCTCAGCTCAGTAGGAGAATGTTTCACAAGTTTATGAATTTAAGAGCCCTATGGAATTAAATGAATGAACATCCCATTTCCATCTTTATCTGATTTCCCACAAAGATCACCTTGAAGTCCACAACCAGGTTATGAGGGCAGCAATCCTGTTTCACTGTTCTCTGACAACTATCATTCAGAAGTGTCTTTTTTTAAATTCTTGTGGCACAATATAGCCTCATGCCTAGTTGTCACCGGAAGTCTTATCCTCCATGAATTCATCTAATCATCTTTTTAAACCCATCTCGGTTACTGGCTGGCTATCTTATTCCTACGTCTGGTAATATGCTGTGTTAAGGAAATACTTTGGTTTTTCCCGTTCAGCATGATCTGGCTTGTAGATTTAGGGATTGGGAAGAAAACATTTTCTCCATCAAAGTTCTCCATATGCAGCTAAATTTTATATGCCTTCATTTTATCTCCCAAGCTGCGACATCTTTGCAATGTGTGATTAAGCAGTTGCCGATAGATTGTTCCGATTTTTCATTTAGTCTGCAATATATGAAAATGTCTTTCATGGAGCAAGGTCGGGCCACCCCACGTTATTCCTTATTGTATATACACACTAAGAAGTGGTCATAGGTTTCTAGGGTTTCGAATTTGGGAGTTTTTCCTCCTAATTGAAGATCGAAAGTGTTCTGATCCAAGGGTCAAAGTCACAATCCTGAAAGTGTCCCTACCTCTTAATGGCAGTAAAAATGACAACAATATGAAATCACAGAAATACACCCGGACTCCCTTTTGTTACGGCAAAAAGCAGCTTGCCCGAGAGGGTGCTGGTTTGTGGTGCCCTATCAAGGTGAAAACCCAATCTTGGAAGAGATTTAAGGATCAGCACGCGTTCTTGTCACGGTTTCGGTGGGTCTAGAATCCACGGCCCCTCCGGCAAGGGGGGCTCTGATCTAGACCCCGATCAGAGCTTTTGCAAAACGACGCGGTGCCCCCACCGTCTCTGCTCTCCAAGAGGACGAATCGCTGACCCCCAACAGTCCCGCCTCCTGGAGGAGGAGCCGGAGCCGGAGCCGCCGCCGGGCTAAGGCCTCCTCCTCCTCCTCCTCCTCCTCCCAAGCCGGTTCTCTTCCAGGGCGCGCTGGTGTTGCGCGGCTTGTGTTTTCATCGCTGCGTTTGTGCGTCGATCACCGGCGCTGCCCGAGGCTGGTGTGCAGGGGCTGCCGGGCGCTATGGGAGAGCACCAGGGCCGCCCCACGCCGTGCGGTGCCGCCAGGCCGACGAGCGACACGGTGAGCGAGCGAAAGAGATCGCGCCGGCTGCGCTCCTTGGGAAGAAGCGCCGCGCAAGTGGGTGGCTCTTGTTTCTGCGGAAACACGTAGGAGCGGGAGGGTCCTCCGGTTAAGGTGACAGGCGCACCGTTTCTTGGAAATAAGCCCCGGGGACGGCGGAGGCGTTTTCAAGTAAACGTGCCTAGGGTCAAGCCTCAGGGCTGGGCGATCCTGAGCACGCACGCAGTGGCCTGGGTGTGTAAGGTCTGTCGAAGTGCCTGCCAGGCTCTTTCAGAGGCCAGCTTGCACCTCCCTGTGGCTAAGGATGTGGGAGCAGCTCCCTTTGGCCTTCATACTTGTTTCCGAGTAAAGACACATCTGGAGGATCGAGGTGTAATCTCAGTAGGGATATGTGTTCATCGCTACTGTAGGAGAAACCCAGTTAGACCTTAAATAGTCATTTGTGGAATACTGAGCGTTTGCGAAGTGGCTGCTTGTTGAGCTGAGTGGCTTGGGCCCAGAAAAAATAAAGAGAGACGGATAGAGACGTTGATGTGGGTTTGACACAGGGGCCGACAGAAGACAAGTCCCTTAGTTGTGGATTTGTATTCCCCATGCCCAGCTGTGTGGCTTGCATGCTAAGAATTCCTTTTTCTTCAGGGGGCAAATTTTCAAGGTCCTGTCAGGTGCTCAGTAAGAGTCCTGTGGCACCTGGCGAATGAAGAAATGGGCTGTAGTTCACTAAAGCAGTGGTCCCCAACCTTGGGCCTCCAGATGTTCTTGGACTTCAACTCCCAGAAATCCTGGCCAGCAGAGGTGGTGGTGAAGGCTTCTGGAAGTTGTAGTTCAACAACATCTGGAGGCCCAATGTTGAGGACCACTGCACTAAAGCATGTATCAAATGGAACACTTAGCCCATAAGCTAAAAGAAGACTTCAAGTTGTTCTAGTTGCAACAGACTAACAGGGCTACCGCCTTGGAAACTGCCTAACAGGAGACTATGTTGCTGTGGCTTAATGGCTTCCCGGATATATTTATTTATTTGATTTATATACTGCCCCTCTAGTCACTAGGACATGCTACTCTGGGTGGTTTACAGATTAAAAACTCAGAACCTCCCATGACCAGTAGCGATACGTCAATATGGTGGTTCAGAAATTTAGATCTAAAATTAAAAAACAAAAACAAAAAAACAAAAGCACAAGAAAATAAAAAAATACTAACAGCATCTGGGAGATGTTACTGAAGATGAATTTGTATTGTGCTGCCTTCACTAATTTTCTGAATGTCAGGAGGGAAGGAGCCTGGCGTACTTTGATTGGGAGCTTATTCCACATATTGGGGGCCACCACAGAGAAGGCTCAGTGCCTTGTTACCACCTTCGTGGCCTCCCTTAGTGTGACCACTTTTAGCAACCTGGATTGAGAGGAGCTGTTTTCTGAGAGATGTTCTGACAAGTATCAAGGTCCTAAACCATTAACAGCTTTACAGATCATATCCAGCACCTCGAATTGGAAACTGACAGGGAGCTAATAATAATCGTAAGTGTTTAAAATCTCCCGAAGAGTGTCTTAAGCCAGTAGGTATGACTGAAAAATCCATGACTAGATGTTGAAGTTGTTGTATCTAGATGGCAGCCTGAGAAGGAAGGGGGAAGAGGGGTCAGTGGGCTTTCAAATGAGGATATAGCAGATGACACACTCATTTTACATTTCACCAGATATTGATTCCCTAGGAAAGCTGGGAACAAGCAAGGCAGAAAAGTGGCAGTGTCCATTTTTGGAAGTACAAAATCTGTCTTTAAACTTAGAACTATCTCCATTCTGGGGGGAAAGGACAGTTGGTCTTTTATCTCTCAGTAGAAAATAAAGAGAAGACCAAGCAACCAATTTGTCACCAAAGGGGTGGGGGAGAATTTTTCATGTTGGCTTAGATAAAATAAATTTGGTAGATGCTGAACTGTGCTGTCTTATGTTAGAGGCTCACAATGTTGGCCTTTCAGAAGTTTTTTGGAGTACATATTCCCTCGCACTGGCTTTTGTCTAGTAGACCTCAGTTGCTCATTTCTGTTTTACATAGCAGTTGCAAAACTAGGATCTGGTTCTAGGATCCACACCCTTTATGACTCTTAGTTGTTATTTTAGAGGTTATCCTCTGATAGCACAAAATCTGACGAGGAGCCCCTCTTAAGAAAAAACCCTGGTCGATTTGTCATCTTCCCAATCCATTATCCTGACATATGGAAAATGTACAAGCAAGCTCAAGCTTCTTTCTGGACAGCAGGTTCGGTGAGTAGTATCCAGGAGTGTACAGTATATGGTGTGTCCTCTGAAGGAGGCACTGGTTTTATTTTTGCTGTACAGTGGTGCCTCGACTTACAAAATTAATCCGTATTGGAACGGCGGCTACAAGTCTAAATTTTCGTAAGTTGAAGCACCATTTCCCATAGGAATGCACTGAAAACCGATTAATCCGTTCCGGCTGTTTTTGGTTCTTATGTTGAGGTGTCGAAGCATTAGTTCCCATAGGAACTAATGCAAAGCCGGTTAATCTGTACTCTACCACTTAGGTCAAAAAAGGGCAGGAAAGGAAGGGGGAGGGAACACCTCTTAAACAGAACACCTTTTAACCCAAGCACCTTTAAAACAAAACCAAGTACCTTTTAGGTCAAAAGGGACAGGAAGGGAGGGAGGGGGGAGGGAAAGAACAATGGGGAAAAGAGGAAAGAAAGAAAGACTGTTGTCACTGGGGCACACAGACCCCTCAGACAAAGGTTTGTGCTGTTAAGCACAAAAAAGAGAAGAGAGAGAGAGAGAGAGAAGACAATGGGGGGGGGAGAGAGACTTGAGTCTACAGTCACAGAATATTTTCTGATTTTAAAAGAGACAGACCTTGGAGCCACATTTTAAACACACACCTTTTAAAACAAAAGAGAGGTCACAGTACACAAACCCTAGAAGCCACAGAAGGCAAAATAAATAAATAAATAAATTTTATATTTTAAAATTACAGTCTAATTTTCACATTTAATTTTAACTTAATATTACAATCTACTTTTCACATTTTAAATCCACACTGCAAGAGCCATCACATCAGAGCACAGAAACATACCCCCCTAGCCCTACCCCCCCAGCTGCAAAACCCCCTGTACAGTACAGTAAGTACAGTGTACTCACCCGGAACAGGCAGTCTCTCCATTTTAAAAAAAGAAAGTAAAAAACCCAAAATTTAAAAAGAGCCCCCAAAAAGCGTTTTAAAAAAGAAAGTAAAAAATCCAAAATTTAAAAAAAGCCCAAAAAAAAAGCCAGTCGGTACAGTACAGTACCAGGCAATACCAGGCAGTCTGAAGACTCTCTCCGTATCCACTCTAATTGCTGGGATGAGCGAGGGAACAGATACCAGGCGGTCTGAAGACTCTCTCCCTATCTACTCTAACTGCTGGGATGAGCAAGGTAGCAGACAAACAGCCTCTTCGCTGGCCAACAGTTAACTAAAAGTTCAAATTTCGTCCCTTCCCTGCCTCCCCCGCGTTTTTTTCATCTGTAACCCGAAGCTCCGGCCGTAAGTTGAAGCAATATTCTTCAAATTTCGTGCTTTCCCCGCCTCCCCCGCGTTTTTTTCATCTAACCCGAAGCTCTGGCTGCAAGTTGAAGCAATATTTTGCGACCGGAGCTTTTCATAACTTGAAATTTTCATAAGTAGGGACGTTCGTAAGTCGAGGCACCACTGTACATCCTACTGTTACAAGAAAAAATGCAGATGAAGATGATTGAAATCATACTTTCTTTGTGTAGCCCATTGTTACTTTCAAGATTCTAGTTTCGGAAACATTTCTGGAAATGAAAATAAAAAGGAAGAGCTTAGAGATGTGTATAATGGAGTCGGCAGAAGTAGATCAGATTCTACAGTTAGACATCTGGATGGATGATTTGTGAAAGACAGGCAGCTGTCTAACAATATCAGCAACTGAAAAATGTTCTGATCCTAACTTGGATTGCTCATTTAAAAAAATCATTCTGTGGAGAGCAGGAGTGGATTTTTCTGTGAGAGGACTTTGGAGCTTCGTTCTGGTACTAATCACAAATTCCTGACTTCTTGGAGCTGTACATTCTAGTAAACAAAGATCCCCAAAAATGAGAGAGGGAGACAGAAATCTGCTTAACCCCAAATCTATGATAATTAGAACAGGGTGGGCAAAGTGCAGGCCTCCATGATGATGTTTGACGGCATCTGCCACCAGCCCTAGCCAGCATAGCCAGAGAGACGAGGAGTGCTGGAAGGTGCATTCCCAGAACATCTGGAAGGCTGCCCTTCCTTGCCCACTGATTCAGAGCTGGGAAATGTTTCTTTTTGGGACCACAATTCACAAAATCGTCTAGCTAGCCATGCTGCCTGGTGATTTATGGGAGCTGTTGCCCTAAAAAGTAGTGTTTCCAAAAGTTTGCCTTGTAGAGGAGAAACCAGAAGAAAATGACAAATTGTGCCAGAAGAAACTCCATTCCTTCACTGTGCTGTGAGGTTCTAACATTCCTCTCCTGAACAAGGTTACTTGGAAATAAGTGCTGTAAATTCAATGCAAGATGACATCAAGCAAAAGCTGGTTTCTGTAATAAATTAGTGGCTAGCATTTACAAGTAAACAAACCCCACCGGCTTACATAGAGCTCAGAATGTCACTGGAAAGAAGAAATGTATTGTGTTTCTCATTTTTCTACCCCATTAAACTGTTAAACACTGTTGTATTGCTGCTTATACTGAGGTAGTGCATTCCGTTATACATTCTCCTGCCCTCTGTTTGCTCGGCCCACCAAAATACTGCCTCCAAACCTAAGGGATCTGAAACCTACTCCCCAATTTTAATTTTCTTTTTAAGTTTACTTGCTTGCTTCCAGGAACATATTAACTAGAATGGGGACATGTGTGTCCTGTTTCATTATGTACAAGTCCTGCCTGCAAAGTACTTGGCTTATTATTCTATACTTCTTGAAGTGAAGAAGCTGATGATGGAAGCCTAGAGAGAGGTGTCTTGTAAGCTAACTTTCTTCAGTCTGGCACTCTCAAGAAGTGTTGAACTCCAGTGAGGAAGATGTACTTGTGCTGCATTTGAAAGGTGTCAGATTATGGAAAGCTGTTGTAAAGTATAAAAATTGCCATTAATTTCTTTCAACTGTTTTTTAAAAGTGTTGTTTTAAACAAACAAATAGAATATTAAATTGTAATGAATGTTACTTCTTCCTCACAAAGGTGGACTTATCAAAGGATCTTCCCCACTGGACCAAGCTAAAGGCAGAAGAAAAACATTTTATTTCACATATTCTGGCTTTTTTTGCTGCTAGCGATGGAATTGTGAATGAAAATCTGGTGAGATACTCCATGGCCTATCTCTCATAACCTTTTCACTAAATAGAGTATTTTCTATTTCAACAAGTGCGGTTAAGGTTATTTGAACACTTTACTGTTTATCCAACATCTTTGCGGAAGGATGTCACCTAGACACCTGTTGTTAATTTGCACCTTATTCTTATTACGGAACACTTTACTGTTTATCCAACATCTTTGTGGAAGGATGTCACCTAGACACCTTTTGTTAATTTGCATCTTATTCTTATTACATATCCATTTTCATAGTTTATTTTTTATATTTTCTGTAAACTGCCCAGAGTAGATATGTTCTAGATGGGCTGTATATACAGTAAGTTTAATAAAATTAATAATGATATTCTAGATGGGCTGTATATAAGTTTAATAAAATTAATAATGATACTAAAAAAACAGAACAGTGTTAAAATTGTCATTACAGGTAACAAGGAAGTTCAGCAACAAAAGGTTGTAGTGTGTCATATTTCTTTTCAGCGTTCCTTCTTCCAGTTTATTCCCTCTTCCTTACATTTTCTGTTTTTAACCTTGTAACAGACAGCATTCTGTCCTTAGAGGGCATTCAATGAGCTGTTTCGTAGCCCTCACTAGATCTTTTCTTAGTTTTTTGGGGTTTTTTTTTTAGGAACACGGACTATTCACTTCCTAGAAGCTTGTGCTTCATTTGTGCTCGCTGCTCTTTTGGCTTGTAAGGAGCAGAACTTGTAAGATCAGTCTTACTGTTGTTTTATATGGCACCAGAATTCATGATGTGCAGACGGATTTTTACAGAGCAGTAAAATAGTGTTGATTTGACAGGAGTCGACCAAACATTTGTCACTAGTGTTTTTGCAGAGAAATCCAAATATTCAGACTTGTTAAGGCAGAGTTCACATAAGGAACTCTGTGAGGAAATTTCAGCAGGTCCAAAATGCAGAAGCCAGGCTGCTAACTGTTGCTGGATACAGGGATCCCACAACCCCTCTGTTTCAGCAGCTCCTCTTGCTGCCGATCCGCTCCCTGGCAGAATTCAAAGTGATGGATCTAACTTATAATGCCTTAAACGGCTTGGGCTCAAGCTGTCTCAAGGACTGTATCTCTCTTTATGATTCTATTTGAGAGTTTTAAAAATGGACTACTGTACCTTACTGCATTGAATGTATTTTGGTGTTATGTTTTTTGACATCGTATACATTGATCCTTTTAGTATTGTATACTCATTGTTACTAACTTAAATATTATCTTGTAATTGTTGTAAACTACAGTCGTGCCCCGCTTAACGATTGCCTCGCTTAACGAGGAAATGGCTTTACGACGAGGTCTTTGCGATTGCAATTGTGATCGCAAAATGATGGTCCAAATGGGGGAATTTCGCTTAGCGATGATCGGTTCCTTGCTTCGGGAACCGATTTTCACTTTACGATGATCAAAAACAGCTGATTGTCGGGCTTCAAAATGGCCACCAGCTGAAGAAAATGCCCCCCCCCGCTGTGCTTAGGGACGGATTCCTCGCTGTACAGGCATGGAAAAGGGCCGCCCCTGGACAGTGAGTTTTCAGCCCATTGGAACGCATTAACCAGGTTTTAATGCATTTCAATGGGCTTTTTAATTTCGTTTGACGATGTTTTCGCTCTACAGCGATTTCACTGGAATGAATTAACATTGTCAAGCGAGGCACCACTGTACCTTGAGTCTTTTTTTTAAGGAGAAAGACAAGTTAAAAATATTTTACATAAATATATAAGTATATTCTGCTGTTGATGGCTACAGCACCAAGCTGTGACTTGTGTGTAAAACAGCCATTGCCAATCAGATAGATTCCCTTTGTAGAGTTTTCCTAATGCCTGATAATTGCTTTCAATGCAGTAATTCCTAGCAATGGGGTGGTAGAGGTCGTACATTTGGCTGTCAGTCTCTGAGGGACATATTGTATTGAATTGATTGTGGCCTTCTTTCATTGATAGGTAGAGCGTTTTAGCCAAGAAGTGCAGATCCCAGAGGCTCGCTGTTTCTACGGCTTCCAGATAGTAATAGAAAATGTGCATTCAGAGATGTACAGTTTATTAATAGACACTTATATCAAGGATCCAGAGAAAAGGTAATCACCGTAAGTATTGCCACAACCCAGTATACTTATGTATTGACTAAATTGTGTTCTGTTTATGTTGAATGACTCTAACCTGTTTCAGGTGTAACAGGAGAGAAAAATGAGCCATGACAAGCTTTGAGTGTATACATACCCATTTTTCTCCCCCCTCCCTGCTTTTGTAGGAGATTGAAAGAGTCAGCCTTTTGCTTTTAATTGACCACAGTTCCCTGTGACCTCTAAGTCAAGAAACTGTGGTTTATTTTAAAGTTCAGCTATGCATGGTGAGAAGAAGCCAGAATCAAACCATGCTTTTTGATCCTGTGTTTTCATTAATCACAGTTTAAACAACCAAACCAGTTGCTTTAAAGTGGGAATGGATGTTTTCAGGCTCCTCCTGAAAGAGCCGAAGAGGGAAATGCTTGAGCCTTAGGCTTATCATAACTGGTTCTCACTTCAGGAAGTCATTGTATTTCATTATATTTGAATTGAGACTCTATATGTCTTTAATCAGATTTTTCCAGTGTCTGCTTTTGTCATTAAAAAGGGTAAAAAAATATATATATCTTCTGGAGCACAACCCAAAACCTATGGCAGCTGAAATGTTTGGTCTATAGTTAAAATTATTTGCATACATATTCTTATTTTTCATCTATTAATGGGGATGGATAAAGAGCCATGCAGGGCACTGAAGTCCTACCATTTGATTTCTAAAATTTTACTCAGCCCAATCCGTTGGACTGAACATTTGAGATTCTGACAAACAATTTAGTATCAAGTATGGACTAAAAGACTGATGTTGAAATTAAATGAATACTGAAGTTTTTCAAAAAAGACTTCTGTAATAATGGTCACATTTTGTGCAACTTATGCATAGAATCCCGGATAATACGGACCACAATTAGACGTTTTGAGCAGATAAGTGCCTTGCTATATGGAATACATTTTCCATGAAGAAACAGGCTGATATTATATAGTCAGGTGCCAAATAATTGGTCTCTCCTGTCTTTCTTAGTAAGTTCAAATGGCAGCTTTTAAAGTAGAACAGTCACAAATGAGTGACTTTCCACTTCATGAGCTTAGATAAAATTGTTGTCACCAATATTCTGAGTCACTCAGCAGCCACTCACGTGGTGAAATTAATTAGTATTTCCTCAGTGTTCAAAGGCAGATTTTGAAAAATGCTACTTTCTAAATGTTTCCCAGGGTGTTTACTTACTATATACAGTAACTACTTTGACTTCTGAATTGATCAGGAATTTATAAAGTAATTTTAGAGTGACATTCCCCCTCCAGATGTGGTTGTTTAATGTTCTCCTGCTTTCCTTGGTTAGACTGGAAACCTTGTGGGCAGGCAGTGTGCATGTGTACATATGTGTGTGTACATCTGGGGTGGGCAGTGCTCAGCACTACATATAACTTTCTAACTCTGTGAGATTTCTTTTAACCCTGTGACACTGTAATCTCTCACTGTTTGAGAGATTACAGAGTAGTCTTCACACATTTCTGCACCATATAGATTTGTTACTGCCATGATACTCAACCTAGACATTTATTGTCTTTTGATTTGATTTTCCAGGGACTTCTTATTTAATGCTATTGAAACAATGCCATGTGTCAGGAAGAAAGCAGACTGGGCAATGAGGTGGATAAAAGACAGGAAAGCTACTTTTGGTAGGTGACTTCTGGGTATTGTATATGTTGTACATATGCTTTAGATTAAGTAGAGGTAATTGCTGTGGGTCTGAATACACAGCCTTTATTTAGAGAGTGTATGTGAATGGAGCATGGATTAGTTGGGTTTTGAACCTTTGATTGAGGGGGATTTTAATTCTTTATGTGGAGAATGAAGGTGTTGCTTCGTGGTAGTCCAAAGAGAATAACACGGCCTACCAGCAACCCAATCACAATGCTCCAACTTCCTTGTGTTTCATGTGGTGCCTGAAAACTTCAGAGTTCATGCAGTGGAAAGTAAGGGACAGGAAAGACTAGAGGATGATAGCTAACTAGCTAGCTAGCTAGCTAGATAGCTAACTAGCTAGCTAGCTAGATAGATGGCTATCTAGCTAGCTAGCTAGCTATCTAGATAGATAGATAGATAGATAGATAGATAGATAGATAGATAGATAGATAGATAGATAGATAGATAGATAGATAGATAGATAGATAGATAGATAGATAGATAGATAGATAGATAGATCATCATAGAACTGCAGAGCTAGAGGGGACCATATGGATCATTGACTCTAACCTCTGTCAAAGAGGCACAGCAGGGAATCGAACTCCCAACTTCTGGCTTTGGAGCCAAGTACTTAAACTATTGAGCTATTCAACCGTTCTATAAAGTCACTTATCTTCCAGGATGCATTGATCTTCATCAGTCTGTAGGAAAGGAAAGGCCAGAGGAGGAGGTCTGTACCCAATTGTATGCTATAATTACAGCTTGTTCTCCCCGCCTTTGCACTTCAGGAATGCCTGAGGTGTGTCCTTTGAGGGAGGCCCTGTTTTCCCAGGAGGGTGCCCTGGCTCAGCCTCCCTCCTTGTTCTCCTTCTTAATGGGGGGTAAGAAGGGCAAGGCTAGAATGCAGGAATCATTGGCAAGCGCAGGTTCCTCTCTTTCTCGAAGTCTGATATTTTGGAAGGGGGCTGAATGTGGGTCTTGATTTCAGAATGTGGGGAAGTGACTGTGTCACGAGGCCTGGTATCTGTTTTTAGTGCAGCTTTCTGCCTAAAATTAGACTCTGATTTTTCTCCAGGCATGTGTGTATGTCTCTCCTTCTCAGGAAATTCTGAAAAAGAATCGCCATGCGTTTAGGGGTAGGCAACAGATACCATAAATCAGAGAATGTGGTTTTCATCTAAAATAGAATCCTGGAGGCTGTGTATATGTATTCCATCTTGCATTTGAGATGAGAAACTTGTTACCCTCCAGATATTGTTCAGTTCCAAGACTGATTGACTCCAATCACATGGCTTCTGGGCAAGAATGGTGGAAGTTGTAGTGATTTTGATGCAGTGTCAGGGCTGGGATGTCTGTGGCCATCCAGATGTTGTTGGAGTCTATATCTCATCTGGCCTACTCAGCATGTTGAATAATCGAGGATCAGTGAAACAGTGAAACCAGTTATCTCAAGAAGTGGTGACTGCTCCAACACTGGAGGCATTCAAGAGAAACTCAGACAACCGCCTGGCAGATACCTTTTCGGATTCCTGCGTTGAGCAGTGGGTTGGACTTGAGGGCCTTATAGGTCCCTTTCAACTTCACTATTCTATGATACTGTGATGGGAGTAGATCCTCTGCATCAGTGAGACCACATATTCCTCACTGCCGGTGTATCCAGTCTTACATCCTTACCCCGTGGCTTAAAAAGTATACTTTTGTAGCTTGAAAAGGAATTGTCAACTATATGACTAACTGGTTGTGTTTCTTAAATCTTTGAAACAGGAGAGAGACTGGTTGCTTTTGCCTCGGTTGAAGGAATTTTCTTCTCTGGTGCTTTTGCAGCTATATTTTGGCTCAAGAAGAGAGGACTGATGCCGGGTCTTACTTTCTCCAATGAACTTATTAGCAGAGATGAAGTAATGCATGGGGAGTGGGGCATGCTTTGCAGTGAGGTTAAGTCTGGTGCTTTTTTGAAGATACCAGAACGGCGCAAGTAGAATACTGTACCAGTACTTACTAGGAGATTGTCCACCTCCCCTATACAGATGTAATTCCTATCAAAAGACCAGTCCGATATTGACTGAAATCCTTTTGCTTAGCCTAATACTTGCACTAGAGTAGGCCCATTAAATCAGTAAGAATTTGGTGATTTCCATAGGTTCAAATGGGTCTGCTCTAGCTTGACTTGCTATGCTAAATAATAGCCAGTGTTTTCATAAGAAGCCTTAGAGTTGCTTTCGATAGGAAATGTGTCTTTCCTCCTGTAGTCCATATTACTGTTTTTAAAAATAAGAATTATTGGGGTGGGAAGTAAATCTCACCTTTTAATTTTCTCCACACCATCCTGGATAATTATATACACCTTTGCCATTCTCTTCTCCCCTGTGCACCTTACAGAGCCCAAAACGTTGTAACTTTTTCTCATAGCACAGTAGTTCCTGCTGATAATATTGATTGTCCTTTTCTGAAACTCAGTGGGAATGTCTAAAACAAAAATCTATATTTACTCCCCCTTCCCTTAAATTGAACAGCCCATACTGTGTTTTAGCAAACAGGAGTTTGAGTCTGTTTGACTATTGATGAATGGTAAGCTATATGGTCACATGGCAGTTGAGTCACTTCAGAATGCTGGTATAATATTGTGAACATTCCTCCATGTTAAAAAACGGCAGCATTTGAGAAGCTAGCATAAGGGAGAAGATTCATTCATTCAATCATTCAGCTTGAGAGCCTTGTTGAGTATGACACATCTTCCTCTTTGTTGTCTCCAAGCGAAGGGGGTTAAAGTGAGAACAAAGCTTTCCACTAGATCTGCAGAGCTGATGAGATCCACTCAGCTTATGCAAATAATCATGCTTATTAGTTGTCTTGTCAACAAATAGAGCAGATAACCACATGCTAAGATGGTTTAAAAGACAATTAATGTAGTTAAATTTTCCTTTGTATTCCGACAATTGACATCATACATGAGGACAATTAGAAATATGTAGGTTTCTCCCAGACTGGTGATTTTATTGGGGGGGGGGTGTTATTTGTTTTCTTTCACTATGTTTTATACGGTTTTAATATTTTAGCTGTATGTTTTATAATATTTTGTAAGCTGCCCAGAGTAGTGGCATGCTCACTAAATGGGCGAGATATAAATCTAAAACAAATAAAAATTAAATATACGCTACCAAAGCAGGTCTGGTTTGAGAAGTTTCCAGGTAGCGCTGGTGTTTGCCCTGTTCTTCCCCAGTATTGTATCTCTAAGGCCTCAGCATAGCATGATTCCAAAAGCAAGACTGAGAGGTGGGCAGAGTGACAGATGAACTACTCTTTCTCTGCTAGACGATTGCCCATCTGTTTCAGGATAAAAGGAGCAGTGCAGAGCAAAACTGCTTGATCTACATCACCTTTGGGCATTTTGCAGATTTGGCTTGCTGTGGGACACACTAAAGCTGCTACTGTAGAATTTGAATATGCTGCTTCTTTGACTACAAGTCCCAGAATCCTCCAGGCTTTTCCAAAAAGTGGTGGTGCTGGAACTTTCTGGCATCTCCTTCACCACTCACTGAGGGAGGATTCAGGCCCTCTTTGCTCCCCCCCTTCTCAGGGAGTAGCTGTCATGTTTTATTTGGCAGTCTTACTGGTATCTTATTTCCCTGTTCATCAGATGGATCAATAAGTTTTAATGTTTTTTAGAATGGTCTGTAAAATTATCTTTAGCAGGTTTTGCTGTAACCTGCCATTGGAACATTTTAAACTTTAAATGCATGAATTAACTGGTTTGCTTATGTTAGCTGAAATCCCATTGCTCAGTGTGACTCAATATAGTAACAAGATTTTAGCCATTGGCTGTGGTTTTTGTGTGTGTGGGTTTTTTTGTGGGTTGTTTTTTTTTGGAGAAGTAAACTGAGAAGCTCTAAATCCCCATTTGGCTTGTGTTTTTCAGGGTCTTCATTGCAACTTTGCTTGTCTGATGTTTCAATATTTAGTGAATAAACCTTCAGAGGAGAGAGTGAAAGAGATCATTGTCAATGCAGTTCAAATTGAACAGGTGAGCAGATATGACTTCTTTTCTGTGCCTAAATTACTTATTAACTTGATAAATAAAATGGATGATCTTCTGTAGTTTCACAGCTCTTATAATGGGTTACTGAAGTTCAGCAATGACGGACATTCTCAAAGTTTGGACCACTGAATTGGTGGACCTATTATCCATAAAACATTGGGCTGTTTCAAACACTGCTGGCCCAGTTTGAATAAAAGAACTGGGCTTTGTGTCTGACAACCACAGTAGGTACCTTTCTCTGTGAATAAACGCTGATAATTGCTTGTAAATTCTTGCTTCCCTTTATGTACCTTGTGTGGGAAACATTTCATTGTGTGAAGATGGAGGTTGGTTTACAAGTTGGGACTGATGAGTGGCAACTTGATAAGCCAAACAGTTTGTTTTGAAATACCTTCCTGGGCTTAAATCCAATTGCTAGTCCCAGGTGGCATTAGGCCCATTGAATCAATTGCATTGACAGAAGGGCTAATTTAACCACCAAGCAATTGATGCAGTGTGACTGCTCTGGTTGAGACTAACAATTGGATTTAGGCCCTCAATTGTGTAATATTGAAATATACGAGAAACAGTAGTTGACAAATGAGTCAAAGTAAGCTGAATGACCAATTGTGCATAGAGCTGTGTGTCCCTTTTTGTTTTCTGCTTGCCTTCCTATACTTCTTTTTTTAAGATAATAAGGGTGTAACCTAGTAATTTGAATCTTGAAATCTTAAACTCTAATATTTGGCATGTCTGATACAGTATATGCACCCTTAACAATAAAGCCCGGGAATGATTATTCTCCCCCCCCCCCCAATTTCTTTCCTAATTTGTATTTGGTTCAGTTGCATCATGTTCAAATTCCAGCAGGGACTGCTCTGGTAGGTTGAGGAAAGATTCTTGTTTGAGATAGCAGAGAGCTTCTGCCAGATACTGTTGGCAAGAGATGGGGAATGCATAGGTTTACAGATTATATCAGACTAAAACCCCCATCACTCTTTACCTTTGGCTACCCTGTTTAAAACTGGTGGCACATTTCCCATTCTTGATTAAGACAATCCTGAGCTATATTAATCTGATTCAGTATAAGGGAACTTGAACTTTCAGTTTGAGAATCTTTATTGGCATACAGTACAAGAGAGTGAAATACGGTAAAATGTTTTAAAAAAACCATATATGTCATACATGCCAGGGTGTTCACAGATGACATCATTAGGACTCAATGGTGTGTGACAGCATGATGCAAAGCTGGCCGGTATAGGCTTGAAGCCCTGTCTTGGTTCAGATTTTTCAAATACTGGGTCAGAATCTGTTTTGTCTCAGCCCAGGACATCCTGTTTCAAGCACTGCTCTCTGATTCCCAAAGGGTCTGGCCCTATTCATTAAGAAAATCAAGACTTTCAGGCTGTCACCAGATCTGTTGGGCTCAATGCCACCATCTCAGGTATTCCGTATAACCAACAATAGAGTCTTGGATATTGAGGGGCAAATCCTGCATAGTGCTGCACTAAAGATTTGCTCTCCGCTATACTTCTAGCTTCTCCTCTCCCATGTCAGGAGACTGGATTATTTTTATTTTTTAGATCATCCCCAGGACCACTGAGTAGTCATCCTTGCTAGGTGCATTGTTGCACCATCTAACTTGGTGTAAGGCAGATTTAAGGGATTACCCATAGAGCTGAGAGTGTGCCCTTGTGGCCAGAGAGCAGTTGAATCATTGCAGCACATGCTGTTCTACTACTGCATATGGTATCAGGATATCCGCCTGCAATACTTGAGCCCCTTTTTTCCCACTCTGGCTGGGGTGACCTGGATAAAATCCAGCGCCTGCTGAGTGACATTAATAAGGAACTTACTCAGAACTTACTCAGACAACAGACAACTTGAGCTTTGTGGCTGTGTAAGAATCTGAGCCTAGTTCTCCCAGTTTTTAGTCCAACTCTCTTAACTGTACTGACTTGGATCTCCAGATCTGTAGGGTGAGTCAATGCACATGAATTGCCCTTGTGTTGTAACTAGAGATTAGCGTGAACTACCGGTTCAGTAGTTTATGCTGGTTCATCCTTCGAACAAACAGGTATTCGGTGTTTTCCAGCCCCTCCTCCTCCGGTAGGTGCTCACTCAGAGGCAGTGCCCAGAGGAGGCAGGGCAGGGAGGCTTCTGAGTGGGTGCTTGCTGGAGGAGGCAGGGCTGGGAACCGCCAAACATCTGTTCATCCAAAGGACAAACTGGCATAAACCACTGAATGGGTAGTTCGTGCCCATCTCTAGTTGCAATGGTTTCCATATGGCATTGTTTTAAGTAGTTTGTGTGTAACACCTTCATCAGCTGGAAAAATTGCTGTGGAGATGCTGGTAAAGTGTTCGTCCTAAAACTTATACCTTTGCTTTCTAAATTTACAGGAGTTTTTGACAGAGGCCTTGCCAGTTGGCTTGATTGGAATGAATTGCACTCTGATGAAGCAATATATTGAGTTTGTGGCAGATAGGTTACTTCTGGAACTGGGCTTCTCCAAGGTAATGTACCTAAGAGAAATATTCATTTAAGATAACATAATGAGTTCTGTTTCCAGATGGTGCTTGTGCTCCATTGTTACTTGCAAAGAAAATACATGCATTTAAAAAATTCCTTTTAATAAGTAAAATTTTGGTGGTCCACCGTTATTTTGTTTTTATTACGTTGCTTTGCAAATCAAGGTGTGAGATTTAAGTGAATTCTTATCCACCTTTCCTTAGATTAAAAAAAAAGCAGTGATCAGAGGAGTTTACATAATAGGGAAGAAACATATAATTTAGAATGTTATAATTAACACTAAAGAGATAACAGCAGGTCATAAAAAACAGGTGAAATATCAGTCATCCCATTAACGTCCAACCAAGCAAATTATTCTTGTCTAAATAAAGTAAGTAAGTAAGTCTCAACTACAAAGTGGAAAAGAGGCTGTGAAATAGGAGAACTGCAGTGTTTGTAGTAATACATTTTATGTTCACAGATATTTCAAGCAGAAAACCCTTTTGATTTCATGGAGAACATTTCACTGGAAGGAAAAACCAATTTCTTTGAGAAGAGAGTTTCGGAGTATCAACGTTTTGCAGTGATGGCTGAAACAAATGATATCGTGTTTACTTTAGATGCTGACTTCTAGTACTGCTGCCTTCTTTGGGAAATGAATCTTGTCGAAGTATTCATTCCCCACCTGATAGCTGCAAAAGCTTCTATTAGAAGTGGAGTATTCTGGGAATATTTCTCTGACTTCCCTCAGTTGGCTTGTTCTCATCACTATATTTATTGCAAGTTGCAATTTAAACTTTTTCTGTGTGTGTACATTCTTTCTGTAAAATCATCCAACATTTTACACTTACCGTACATGCCGGCGTATAAGATGACTGGGCGTATAAGACGACCCCCCAACATTTCCACTCAAAATATAGAGTTTGTTATATACTCGCCATATAAGACTACCCCCCCTTCCGCACACCTTCCACACACCAAATAAAAGGTGCTATTCATTGTCACCATTGTATGGCCGCAGCGCGACCGCAGCACCTCCGGTCCACCCCTGCATCTCCCTGTGACCGGCACTAGTGCGCAAGTGTGCATATGTGAGCTCTGCGTCGACAAGGGGAGGGCTGGAGCACCGCTGCTTCCCGCCGAGCAGAACGGGCCGGTCATGTTGAAAAGGCTGTCACCCCTGTCTTGCTGCTGATGCTCACTGCGGCTGCGCTGGATACCGCGCGATACTGGACGGTATGTAGAATGAGGCGGGCAGGCATCGGGAGGCTATTATGAGCACTGGGTGAGCATCGGAAGGCCACTATGGGCAGCTATGGCTATCCCAACTGAAGTGCACCCGGCGTATAAGATGACTGCCCCGCTTGGAGGCATGTTTTTCAGGGCAAAAAAGTAGTCTTATACGCCAGCAAATACAGTATTCAGAGGTTGGTATCACTGTAGTAGTTGCATAAACCTCAAATGCCAAGTATTTTGTCCAAAATGTGCAGTTGGGGAATACTCTATTTGAGCCTTTTTGAACCTTTTGTTGACTTTAATGGTACAGTATTAAGTACAGATTTAATTGCCCAGCAAAATTTGTTTTGCTCCTTTCTGCTTGCTCTTGATTCATTTTACTGAGATGAAGGACAGAGAACATAAGAAGAGTCCTGCGGGATCAAACTGAAGGTTTATTTAGTCCAGGACCTGTTCTCGCGCCATGGCCAACCAGATGCCTAGGAGAAGCCCACGAGCAGGACAGAGGAACAAAACCTTCCTGCTGTTGTTTCCCAGCAAATGCTACTCAAGGACACGCTAAAGATCCGTGTCCTTTCTCATCAGGCTACTGTGGCTTTCTGTCTAGCATTTGGGCAGGGTGTGGATAGAAACCACATGACATAGTCACCTTGCTGCGCCTAAGCAGTTGTAACCAACTGTGTAGCATCTTGAATCCCTAGGAGGGAAGGTAGGATATTTAAGGGGCTGTTTATTTATGGAACTGTCTGGATGTTGAGATCTTCAGAGAAAGCCCTCTTGAGAATATCATCACCTGTATACACAGGCAGGAGAAGATTTCAGAGTTGTGTCTAGTTCCTGTTGTCACTCCTTTTAGGAAGGGTGTGAAGGCACAGCTCTTCAGACTGGCCATGTGAACTGTTCTGATGCATATGCATTATTTTGATCATCTTAATTGGTTTTCATTGTGATCATTTTAATGTTTTTTATTGTTGAATCTGTTTTAATTTTTAATATTATTAATAGCCACTTGGATGTTCTCAAAAGGGAAGGCAAAATGGAGAGGTGGTAAGTACAATGAACAGCCATTCTTAAAGTGTCGAGAGAAAATTATAATGGAATAATAAATATATAATATAAATAAAAAATGATGGTGTGTAGATTATTTTGTTTTATTCTTTACAGTGTAGGTTTCTTTAGCTTATTTTTTTTTGCTATTAAATGCCATTTCTGTTTGAGTAGCGTAGAAGGAATGTTGCGTGTGGTTTTGAAGATGAAGGAGGAACAGGGGAGCACCGTTCTTAAATATGATGTGCAATACATGAAGTTTAAGGAGGGTAAATCAAGAAATATGTTTTTTCTCTTTGTGTTCCTTTTGTTTAGAAAAAAAATTAAAACAAGTGAAATAAAATGAGCTGGAAGAAACTGGTGTCTGTGGTGTTCATCTTGCAATCCCCCCCCCCTTTTGCGTGGTAGTCTGGAAATAATGAAAATAATTGTCTTTAGACAATGAGTTGAATGGACATTTTTCAGAATGTTTCTTTTCAGGTGTTAAGGACAGGATTAACAAACACTTGAGGAGACCAGGCCAGGAAAGAGCAGCGTCTCCTCCTTCAGTGTAACTCTTTTCAGATAGTGGGTATGTGTGTGAAAAGGAACATTCTGTTACATGCAGAGGCTTTTCATTTGAAGTGAAAAACAAAAGTTTTGTGATCACATGGAGACGTTGCACATGGATATTATCCTCTTCAGACTTTTGCTCTGCAAGTGAAGAGGATAATAAAGGAGAGGAGTGAGACTCTTATTTTGTGTTGAACCCTATCCTGAAAACCTGAACATGAGTCAACAGAACTGATTCCCAGATCTCTGTTTCCTGGAGACATGGCTGAGAATTAATTGTAAGACTGCACTGAAGTCTGTGAAGTGATGACAGTACTGGGTGCATTAATAATATTGGATACTACCATGCAAGGTCTGATATGCAGTTAACCCCAATGTGTTTTGAAAAGACCATGGCTTGGTGTTAAACCCGCTTTGTGTGTATCTGTTCCTAGGCTTTCTCAATAGCATTTTCTCTGCATCGTGACAACTTTCAATCTCCAGACCATTTTCTGACAGATTTGCTTGCCTTCCTGTACAGTTTCTCTTTCTTGAGTTTTTTTCACACTAAAGGGCTGCTAGGTAGCCCCAAGGACATGGGCATCCTGCACACAACTTTTGATTCCTGCCTTTGAACAAAATGTTTCTTTGCCATATCAGAAACTTTATGAACTGCAGGTGGGTGGAAGAAAACAGGGTCCTGCTAGTAGGGCAATCCAGCTGTGGATTGGTAGCTCTTCGAGTTGCTTGTAGCTGCCAGGAGATGTTCTAACAATTATTGGCTTCAGCTCTGCTCTCAGATGCAGATAGCAGCGGACATAGGTAACATCAAGGGAATATATAAGAGTTAAAATTCTGCAAAACCCATCAGGCTAGGTCAGGAGTTCCCCTGACATTCTTGAACTGAAACTCCCAGAAGCCTTCACCACTAGCTGTGCTGGCAAGGGCTTCTGGGAGGTGCAGTCTAAGAACATCTGGGGTCCCAAAGTTGGGAACCACTGGGCTAAATGTCTAAAAATATGGGGGTGGAGGAGCATGGAGGGACAAGAATTATTTTGGCCATGGGATTCTGCACTCAAATTTGGTACCAAGATGGACTTTAATTGCAGACTAATGTGACTTAAAACATCTAGTCAAAATAAATAGATAAGTAAAAGTAAAATAAATGTTGGGATCCCATGCTTTCCATACCCAGACTTTTACCATCCAGCCTGTATTGTTCTGGGAATCTCAACACATCATATGAACTTAACATTGATCTAATACAGACGTTGCCAATCAGTGGGTTTGGGATTTCATTTTGGCTGCATTGTTTATAGATGACCTATAGAAGAGGAGAGTGTTACCATATAACATTGGTCTGAGGAAGTGGACTTGTCCATAAAGGCTCACATTAAAACATAGCAGTTAGCCTTTATGGTGCCACAACGTTTTTTATTTATTTATTTATTGGACTTATATACGCTACAAGCACTCTCCGGGCGGTTTACAATCTTAATTATACAGGCTACACATTGCCCCCCCCCCAGCAAGCTGGGTACTCATTTTACCGACCTCGGAAGGATGGAAGGCTGAGTCAAACTTGAGCCGGCTACCTGGGATTTGAACCCCAGGTCGTGAGCACAGTTTTAGTTGCAGTACAGCGTTTTAGCCACTGCGCCACGTTTTTGTCTTCTTTATTTTTTGTCTTTCATTCATTTTCAGCCTGTTACCCTGTAACCTGACTGTTTCATTTCTATGTACCATCGCAGTCATTTTGGAATTAATTTTCCTAGATAGATATGGACAGGATGCCATCTAAAGTGATGCCATAAGACAAGTTATCCTAAAGCCTTAGCATTCCTGACAGATGTCTACACAGCTTTTATATAAAGTCTCTATCTTACATTCTGTCCATCCTTGAGGTAAAGCAAGGGAGGAATGAACAAACCTTCTGCTGTCCAGAGCATACCAACTTTCTGGGATTCTTCTCCAATGTTCTGAAGCCTGGGATCTACATAGATTTCAGAAGCCAGGTTGGCTCTGATACTGTGCTGCCCTGGAAATTACTAGCTACTCTGACATTCTGTTTTGACCTCAAAGCATTCTTTAATTAAATTAATTTTTTAAAAGGGGGGTGGAGTTATCGACTAAAATACACGATTAAGAAATCTGTCTTCAGACATCCCGTTCCTTTCGCCTCTGAAGTCTATTAACCCTGATGCAAATTTCCAGCTAGTTTTAACTAAAAATCTAATTCAACATTCAGAATATTTCACACTGTAATTGTAAAATATCTCCTCAATTTTTCCATGAGGTGGAGTACTTGAGCCAGTAACTTTTATGTTCATAGTAATTGAGCATTCTGAAAATAGAACCTGCCCAGAGAACCAACAATCAATGGCACTATGTTGTAATGTGCAGAATTAGGAGGTGTTTGTGCATGAATAAAATTTTCTGAAATGTATCTAGAAAAATAAATGCTATTTATTTTTCACAACCATTGAAAAGTCAGGAAAAGCAGAGTCATGTTTTTTTAGAGAGAAAGTGAAATTACTTCCAGAAGAATCTTTCTGAGCCAGTACTATTACTACCAAGTCTTACTCTTCTGCATGACAGCCCTCTCATTTGCATGAAGGATCCTGATCAATTGCTATTTTATAAAAAGATTGTTAATTGTAATTTTATTAATATTTGATTGACTTGTGAACTCTCTTGAAATGATTTGTACCCTCAAATGTGAGAAATAACAATAATACTATCATATCTATATAAAAGTAGGTAAAGTTAATATAATTACTTTGATTTGAAGAAATGTATCATACAAGCCCAATGAATTTTGTACTGTGCAGCTTCTGCTGTTAGACAATTTGATGATGATGATCTTAACTGCAGAGCTGGAAGGGACCCTATGGATCATTGATTTCAGCCCCTGTCAAGAAGGCACAGTGGGGAATCAAACTCACAACCTCTGGCTCCACAGCCAAGTACCTAAACCACTGAGCAATCCAGGCTGCTTGACAGATGCTTCCCCCTCTTCTTCTCCTGCTTTTTAGACTAGTAGGATAAGCATAAGGATTATCACAATTCCTCCATGATTTGTGGCTGACAGAAGACATGCACAATGCTCC